TAACTTTGACTGACCTTGTAACTGTAACCTAACTGAACTGGACGCATGTACTTGTAACTGACCATGTGACATGTAACCTAACTGTGGAGCTGACCATGTAACTGTAACCTAACTGTAAACTGACCTTGTCCCACTGTACCTAACTGTAACTGACCTTGGAAACTGTAACCTAACACTGGACTGCCCGACATGTAACTGTCACCTTACTGTGATGACCCATGTAACTGTAACCTAACCTGGTGACTGACGCATGTACACTGTAAACCTAAACTGTGACTGACCATGTAACTGTAGACCCTCAACTGGTAACTGACCATGTAAACTGTAAAACCTAACTGTAAACTGACCCATGTAAACTGTAACCTAACTGTAACTGACCATGTAACTGTAACCTAACTGTAACTGACCATGTAACTGTAACCTAACTGTAACTGAACCGTAAACTGTGACTGACCATTTATCAGTTATGTAGAAGTGTTTAGATTGCCTAATATTGTTCCATGTCATTTTCTAGCATAGATGACCCCTCGCCTTAGTTGACCTGACACACAGTCACGTAAGTGTTAATAGATAGTCTGACAGTGTTCCATGATATATCATAGCATTTACAATGCTAGCCTGTCCTTGAATAACCCCACACAGTCACAGTCATCCTTGTTCTTGGTATACTGTACATCAGGGGTGGATATCATAGGGCCCCCCAGGTCAGATCCTTCCCGCAAGTCCATGCATTTTTTTTTTTACCTCCAGGCCACTCTTGAACGTCTAAAACTAGATAGAAAGTATGTAGAAATTATAATTGACCTATACGTTTTCTAATAACTGCCCTTTTTCTGGCCCGCTAATTGCTTTAGACAAACAAATCGCTCTGGAAAACAATATGTGCAGCCCTCCGCTGAAAATCCAGATTAAAAATTATTGCCCACCCCTGCTGTACATAGTATACAGCACGTGTTTAGATTGTCTAACACTGTTCCAAGGCATTCCATTCCTAGAACCTGACCCCATACAGTCATTCAGGCAGGCAGTCACTGACACACTCAGTTAGTGAGACTGAATGTGCCAGTGAAGCACAGTCAAGCAATCAGTCAATGAGTGGAAAACAGTCAGTCAGTGAGACTAACTGGGACACTAACTGGGCCACAGGCAGGTAGACACTCAGTGAGGGAAAAATAGTCAGTAAGTAACTGGACCAGTGATTGGTAAACAGTCAGTAAATGAGCCAGTCTGTAGTAAACAGTCAGTAAATGGGCCAGTTAGTAAATAAGCCAGTCAGTAGTAAACAGTCAGTAAATAAGCCAGTCAGTGTTGGATATAGCTACTGACCTTTTTAATCTGGCTTTTGGCAGGAGCGAATTCGGCCTGTAGTTTAAGACAGCGGTGGAACTGGATCAGGGCTTCAGACTGACGGCCCATCTCCATTAACACATTACCTTTACGAAAGAAACCCTGGAGAGAAGAGACAAGAGAAGGAGAATAAATAAAGCGAGAGATAGAGAGAGGTAGAGAGAGAGGTAGAGAGAAAGAGAGATAGAAGTAGAGAAAGAGAGATAGAGAGGTAGAGAGAGCGTTAGAGAGAGAGAGAGAGGTAGAGAGAGAGAGGTAGAGAGAGAGGTAGAGAGCGAGAGAGAGGTGGAGAGAGAGCGGTAGAGAGAGAGCGGTAGAGAGAGGTAGAGAGAGAGAGAAAGGTAGAGAGCGAGAGAGAGAGAGAGAGAGAGAGAGAAAGAGAGAGAGAGAGAGCGCTCACAGTCAGACCACAGACACCCCTATGAAACCACAACAAAATCACAGTCTACTTGAACAGAGCAATACTCAATCATGAGGCATCAAAGCCAAAGGAACTGCATAATATTAAGAAATGCTATAGATGGAAGGAAAGTAATGTCGAAACCTACCAAAAAACAATTAGGCAACAACAAATTAAATCCCTTTTAGACAACTTAACGGACAAAACGTTCCACTGTAATAGTGAAGGTGTAAACTTGGCAGTAGAAAACCTAAACAGTATATTTGACCTCTCAGCTTCCCTATCAAATCAAAAAATCTATAACCGAAAACCGAAGAAAAGTAACAACAATTACAAAATGGTTTGATGAAGAATGCAAAAACGTAAGAAAGAAATTGAGAAACCTATCCAACCCAAAACATAGAGACCCAGAAAACCTGAGCCTACACCTTCACTATGGTGAATCACTAACACAATACAGAAATATACTACGGAAAAAGAAGGAACAGCATGTCAGAAATCAGCTCAATGTAATTGAAGAATCCATAGACTCTAACCACTTCTGGGAAAATCGGAAAACACTAAACAAACAACAACACGAAGAGCTATCTATCCAAAACGGAGATGCATTGTCACACTCTGGCTCCAGGACTTGTGTATTTGAGCCAGGGTGTATGTTGTTTGTTGGGTTTTGGGTGTATTTTATGTTTGCATGTCTGTCACGTTTATTTCTAGGTGAGGAGTTCTGTTGTGTCTATTTCTAGGTTGGTGTTGTGTTTCCTTGTTTGTATTCATTGACTCCCAATCGGAGGTAACGAGTGTCAGCTGTCGCTCGTTATCTCTGATTGGGAGCCATATTTAAGATGTAGGTTTTCTTGTGTTAGTTGTGGGTTATTGTTCCATGTTCCAGTGTCTCTGTTTATTGGACTTCACGCATCGTCTTTGTTTGTTTTGTTTTCGTGAGTACGTTTATTAATAAATCATGTTCACTCGCAACGCTGCGCTTTGGTCTCATCCTTACGACGCTCGTGACAGAATAACCCACCAAAAGAGGACCAAGCAGCGTAACAAGCGGCAACAGGACCTACCTCCAACGGATTCATGGACATGGGAGGAGATACGGGCTGGAAAGGGTCCTTGGCCACAAATGGAGGAATATCACCGCCCTCGTGAAGAGCTGGAGGCGGCTGCAGCCGAGAGGAGGTGGTACGAGGAGGCAGCGCGGAGTCGAGGCTGGAAGCCCGTGGTTACTCCCCAAAATTTTTTTGGGGGGGGGCACATGGCTTGGGCGCCTGGGCAGCAGGAGGCTGCCACAGGTAGAGCTGGAGAGAAGGCATTCGGATTACGGGAGCCATTGGCGAGTGGAAGGAGGGAAGTTGTTATGGCACGGCATGAGAGACTGAAGTGTGTTCCCAGTCTGGTCCGGTCCGTTCTTGATCCCCAGTTAAGGCCAGTGGTGGGTGTTCCCGGTACGGGCCGGTCTGTTCCTACTCCACGCACCAGGTCCACGATGTGCGTCGCCAGCCGGCCAGAGTCTGCCGTCTGTCCTAGGGCGTCTGAACTGCCCGTCTGCCAAGCGCTGCATAAGCCGCCCGTCTGTACTGAGCCTGCAAAGCCGTCCGTCTGCCATGAGCCTGCAGAGCCGTCCGCCAGACAGAATCAGACACCTGCTATGGAATCAGCAGGAGCCGACGCAGCCCATACTAGACTGGAAGCTCAGGTTCGGAACCAGAAAGAGCAGATCCTGCAGATGGGAGCCGCCCTGCTGGAGGTGATGACTGCTATCCGAGGCTGGGGTCCGCCTCCACCGCCAGCCTCCCAGCCAGCACCATCAGCCAGCCATGAGCAGCCAGATCCGTCAGCCAGCCATGAGCAGCCAGATCCGTCAGCCAGCCATGAGCAGCCAGATCCGTCAGCCAGCCATGAGCAGCCAGATCCGTCAGCCAGCCATGAGCAGCCAGACCCGTCAGCCAGCCATGAGCAGCCAGACCCGTCAGCCAGCCATGAGCAGCCAGATCCGTCAGCCAGCCATGAGCAGCCAGATCCGTCAGCCAGCCATGAGCAGCCAGATCCGTCAGTCAGCCATGAGCAGCCAGATCCGTCAGCCAGCCATGAGCAGCCAGATCCGTCAGCCAGCCAGGATCAGCCAGAGCCGGCCAGCCAGGATCCGCCAGAGCCGTCCAGCCAGGATCAGCCAGAGCCGGCCAGCCAGGATCCGCCAGAGCCGGTCAGCCCGGATCCGCCAGAGCCGTCCCGCCAGGATCCGCCAGAGCCGTCCAGCCTGGATCCGCCAGAGCCGTCCAGCCTGGATCCGCCAGAGCCGTCCAGCCAGGATCAGCCAGAGCCGGCCAGTCAGGATCCGCCAGAGCCGGTCAGCCCGGATCCGCCAGAGCCGTCCCGCCAGGATCCGCCAGAGCCGTCCAGCCAGGATCAGCCAGAGCCGGCCAGCCAGGATCCGCCAGAGCCGGTCAGCCCGGATCCGCCAGAGCCGTCCCGCCAGGATCCGCCAGAGCCGTCCAGCCTGGATCCGCCAGAGCCGTCCAGCCTGGATCCGCCAGAGCCGTCCCGCCAGGATCCGCCAGAGTCGTCCAGCCTGGATCCGCCAGAGCCGTCCCGCCAGGATCCGCCAGAGCCGTCCCGCCAGGATCCGCCAGAGCCGTCCCGCCAGGATCCGCCAGAGCCAGCCAGCCAGGATCCGCCATCTAGTCAGGTACTGCCACTTAGTCCGGTGCTGCCCCTGAGTCCGGTGCCGCCCCTTAGCCCGGTGCTGACCCGTAGTCCGGTACTGCCTCTTAGCCCGGTGCTGCCCTTTAGTCCGGTGCTGCCCCGTAGTCCGGTACTGCCCCTTAGCCCGGTGCTGCCCCTTAGTCCTGTACTGCCCTTTAGTCCGGTACTGCCCCGTAGTCCGGTGCTGCCCCTTGTCCCGGTGCTGCCCCTTATCCCGGTGCTGCCCCTTAGTCCGGTGCTGCCCCTTAGTCCGGTACTGTCCCGTAGTCAGGTGCCGCCCCTGAGTCCGGTGCCGCCCCTTAATCCAGTGGGGTTGAGTTGGGGGGTGGTCATGAGGAAGGGAGGACGGAAGCGGAGAGTGACTAAGGTGGGATGGGGACCACGACCAGAAGCAGAACCGCCACCGTGGACAGACGCCCACCCAGACCCTCCCCTAGACTGTATGCTGGTGCGCCCGGAGTTCGCACCTTTAGGGGGGGGTACTGTCACACTCTGGCTCCAGGACTTGTGTATTTGAGCCAGGGTGTATGTTGTTTGTTGGGTTTTGGGTGTATTTTATGTTTGCATGTCTGTCACGTTTATTTCTAGGTGAGGAGTTCTGTTGTGTCTATTTCTAGGTTGGTGTTGTGTTTCCTTGTTTGTATTCATTGACTCCCAATCGGAGGTAACGAGTGTCAGCTGTCGCTCGTTATCTCTGATTGGGAGCCATATTTAAGATGTAGGTTTTCTTGTGTTAGTTGTGGGTTATTGTTCCATGTTCCAGTGTCTCTGTTTATTGGACTTCACGCATCGTCTTTGTTTGTTTTGTTTTCGTGAGTACGTTTATTAATAAATCATGTTCACTCGCAACGCTGCGCTTTGGTCTCATCCTTACGACGCTCGTGACATGCATGGGTGGCTCTGTAACATTGAACAAACAGCAAAAAAATATACGATCAAATGCAAATCTTAGAATCAACTATTAAAGTCTACCAGAACCCACTGGATTCTCCAATTACTGTCACGATCGTTAGAGAGAGTAGACCAGGGCGCAGCGTGAGATTTGTACATCTTATTTAATTAAGTGCACACACAATAAACAAAACAACAAACGATACGTGAAGTCCATGGTACAAACACAAAACCAACTGGAACAAGATCCCACAACTATTGTGGGAAAACAGCCTCTATAAATATGGCTCCCAATCAGAGACAACCAGCAACAGCCGACACTCGTTGCCTCTGATTGGGAACCACTCTGGCCAACACAGAAATACAATACATAGAATCCCGACATAGACCAACAACACATAGAATATACACACCCTGGCTCAACATATAGAGTCCCAGAGCCAGGGTGTGACAATTACATTGAATGAACTACATGACAAAATACAAACCCTCCAACCCAAAAAGCCCTGTGGTGTTGATGGTATCCTCAATGAAATGATAAAATATACAGACCACAAATTCCAATTGGCTATATTTAAACTATTTAACATCATCCTTAGCTCTGGCATCTTCCCCAATATTTGGAACCTAGGACTGATCACCCCAATCCACAAAAGTGGAGACAAATTTGACCCCAATAACTACCGTGGGATATGCGTCAACAGCAACCTTGGGAAAATCCTCTGCATTATCATTAACAGCAGACTAGTTCATTTCCTCAGTGAAAACAATGTACTGAGCAAATTTCAAATTGGCTTTTTACCAAATTACCATACGACAGACCATGTATTCACCCTGCACACCCTAATTGACAAACAAACAAACCAAAACAAAGGCAAAGTCTTCTCATGCTTTGTTGATTTCAAAAAAGCTTTTGACTCAATTTGGCATGAGGGTCTGCTATACAAATTGATGGAAAGTGGTGTTTGGGGAAAACATAGAACATTATAAAATCCATGTACACAAACAACAAGTGTATAGTTAAAATTGGCAAAAACACACACATTTCTTTCCACAGGGCCGTGGGGTGAGACAGGGATGCAGTTTAAGCCCCACCCTCTTCAACATATATATCAACGAATTGGCTAGGGCACTAGAACAGTCTGCAGCACCTGGCCTCACCCTACTAGAATCTGAAGTCAATTTTCTACTGTTTGCTGACGATCTGGTGCTTCTGTCACCAACCAAGGAGGGCCTATAGCAGTACCTAGATCTTCTGCACAGATTCTGTCAGACCTGGGCCCTGACAATAAATCTCAGTAAGACGAAAATAATGGTGTTCCAAAAAAAGGTCCAGTTGCCAGTACCACAAATACAAATTACATCTAGACACCGTTGCCCTAGAGCACACAAAAGGCCTAAACATCAGCGCCACAGGTAAATTCCACAAAGCTGTGAACCATCTGAGAGACAAGGCAAGAAGGGCCTTCTATGCCATCAAAAGGAACATAAAATTCGACATACCAATTAGGATCTGGCTTAAAATACTTGAATCAGTTATAGAACCCATTGACCTTCATGGTTGTGAGGTCTGGGGTCCGCTCACCAACCAATAATTCACAAAATGGGACAAACACCAAATTGAGACTCTGCATGCAGAATTCTTCAAAAATATCCTCAGTGTACAACGAAAAACACCAAATAATATATGCAGAGCAGAATTAGGCCGATGCCCGCAAATAATCAAAATCCAGAAAAGAGCCGTTAAATTCTATAACCACTTAAAAGGAAGTGATTCCCAAACATTCCATAACAAAACCATCACCTACAGAGAGATTAACTTTGAGAAGAGTCCACTAAGTAAGCTGGTCCTGGGGCTCTGTTCACAAACACAAACAGACCCCACAGAGCCCCAGGACAACAACACAATTAGACCCAAGCAAATCATGAGAAAAGAAAAACAGAATTACTTGACACATTGGAAAGAATTAACAAAAAAACAGAGCAAACTAGAATGCTATCTGGCCCAGACAGAGAGTACACAGTGGCAGAATACCTGACCACTGTGACTGACCCAAGCTTAAGGAAAGTTTTGAATATGTACAGACTCTAGAATATGCCGTAGGCAGACCTGGCTCTCAAGAGAAGACAGGCTATGTGCACACTGCCCACAAAATGAGGTGGAAACTGAGCTGCACTTCCTAACCTCCTGCCAAATGTATGACCATATTAGAGACACATATTTCCCTCAGATTACAGAGATCCACAAAGAATTTGAAAACAAACCCAATTTTGATAAACTCCCTTATCTACTGGGTGAAATACCACAGTGTGCCATCACAGCAGCAAGATTTGTGACCTGTTGCCACAAGAAAAGGGCAACCAGTGAAGAACAAACACCATTGTAAATACAACCCATATTTATGTTTATTTATTTTCCCATTTGGACTTTAACTATTTGCACATTGTTACAACACTGTATATATACATAATATGACATTTGAAATGTCTTTATTCTTGTGGAACTTCTGAGTGTAATGTTTACTGTTAATATTTATTGTTTATTTCACTTTGGTTTACTATCTACTTCCTTGGTTTGGCAATGGTAACATATGTTTCCCATGCCAATAAAGCCCTTAAATTGAATTGAATTGAGAGAGGTAGAGAGAGGTAGAGAGAGGTAGAGAGAGAGAGAGAGAGAGAGAGAGAGAGAGAGAGAGAGAGAGAGAGCGGTAGAGAGAGAGAGGTAGAGAGAGAGGTAGAGAGGTAGAGAGAGAAAGAGAGAAAGAGAGAGGTAGAGAGTTAGAGAGAGGTAGAGAGAGAGAGGTAGAGAGAGGTAGAGAGAGAGAGAGAGAGAGAGATAGTTAGAAGAGAGAGGTAGAGAGAGAGGTAGAGAGAGAGGTAGAGAGAGAGAGAGAGAGAGAGAGAGAGGAAGAGAGAGAGAGGCAGAGAGAGGAAAAGAGCGAGAGGTAGAGAGAGAGGTAGAGAGAGAGAGCGAGAGAGAGAGCTGCACTTCCTAACCTCCTGCCAAATGTATGACCATATTAGAGACACATATTTCCCTCAGATTACAGCGATCCACAAAGAATTCGAAAACAAACCCAATTTTGATAAACTCCCTTATCTACTGGGTGAAAAACCACAGTGTGCCATCACAGCTGCAAGATTTGTGACCTGTTGCCACAAGAAAAGGGCAACCAGTGAAGAACAAACACCATTGTAAATACAACCCATATTTATGTTTATTTATTTTCCCATTTGTACTTTAACTATTTGCACATTGTTACAACACTGTATATATACATAATATGACATTTGAAATGTCTTTATTCTTTTGAAACTTCTGAGTGTAATGTTTACTGTTAATATTTATTGTTTATTTCACTTTTGTTTACTATCTACTTCCCTTGCTTTGGCAATGTTAACACACGTTTCCCATGCCAATAAAGCCCTTAAATTGAATTGAAATTGAATTGAAAGAGAGAGAGAGAGAAGTTTGGGAAACCCTGGATTAGCGGATTTAGGTGAGAGTGCAGGGCTGGAACAAAAACCTAAAAAAACAAAGCAGACCTCCAGCACCAGAAGTGAATAGCACTGACCTATATTTGGGCTTGTTTCTACACATAGATGTTATGGTCAAAAGGGGTAATCCTACACAACAGCCTTACTTCCATGACATAACAACAATGTGTAGCTGTTATAGTACTCACCCACTAGTGTCCATGATTCAGTTACGTTATGACATAAGTATCCGTTTGCATAATGTGCCCCAAATCACATTACATACTGTACATTTTTACAGACACACTCCATCAGCAGCAGCCACAGAGAAAACAACCATGACACACAAAACTAGAATGGTGTCCAAAATGCCTAATTAGTGCAGTATTTTCAATTAGGGCCCATAGAGTGAACTATAAAGACAATATTAGGGTACCATTTGGGATGCACTCTAGGAAACTGAAAATCTGCCATCAAATCTAATCAATCTGATTTGATACAACTCGTTGTAAGTTTACGTGGTGGTGACTTATTACGACAGCAACTGATCTGCCAACACAGTAGACTATTGAGATGCACCCATAGATGACGGATCAGTAAAGGGGAATAAACAGTGATAGTGTTATAGGAAAACAAAGAGGATGCAGCACACGTATAGACAACTAGGCAGGCCCCGATTCAGTTACACCATCCTCTCTCCTGGTATGGTCTGACATAGCAATTAGTCTCTCTCTCTAATAACATGGTGTTTCTTACCTCTGTCCAGTTGGGGCGAAAGCAGCAGAGCTCTTCCAGGTCCTTCAGGGCATCAGGGAATAGTCTCAGTCCCATATTGGCTTCTGCTCTCCACACCTTCAGACTTACATCACCAGGAGCTGGGAAGGGGGGGGGGGGGGGGTAATTAGATATAATTAACATTGATCACTATCAGTGATCGTAGTATGACAGCTTCCCAGTCAGAATTGGGTTAGTTCGATTTGCCCTTGCACCTGCAGTGCATAGGGAATATTAGACAACACTGGACATCTCCCAAAAGCCTGAAGTGACAATATGAACTCAACCCATCTCCATTCTTGCTAGAAGTTGCACAATCATCTGATCTCACACCCTCACCTTCACTCCTCCCCCAAGACCAGGATGCTCTGGGTGTGGCTACCTACTAGTTTTACAGCAAAGCCTGCAGAGTATTAATAGAATATGATTATGTGTATCAAAACAATGACACAGCAGGGTTGCATTAAAACCAGAACTGCTATGCATAGTCCTGTGTGGTGCATAGAAACAGTTATTTATGCAAAGTGTTTGGTGCACTGACACCCTCAGTATGACAACCTAGACAGAAAAGCAGTTAAACTACTGGTGGGTGGAGGAGAAAGATTCAGTCAGAGTCATCACAGACTTACTTTTATAGGAAGTTGTTTTATTCTCTGTTGCTCTACACTGAGTGTAACGAGAAAGACAAGGAAACTGTGAATATCACCTTACACTCCTCAGCTCAACAACTCAGAAGTAACCCAGGTCACTTCCCTAAACACTGCTGTGCTTCTCTGGGGGAGTGGCACGTGTGAGGACTACTGGCATTACTGACATTACTGTCTAGCCATAGCAAAGAGGAACAGTAACGAAGACTCACTAACACTCCAATGCTTATAACACAGCCTCTCTCTCTCTCTCTCTCTCTCTCTCTCTCAGTGTATATCAATGAATTGGCGAGGGCACTAGAACTGTATGCAGCACCCGGCCTCACCCTACTGGACTCGGAAATTAAATGTCTACTGTAGATGATCTGGTGCTTCTGTCCACAACTAAGGAGGGCCTAAAGCAGCACCTAGATCTTCTGCACAGCTTCTGTCAGGCTTGGGCCCTGAAAGGTAACCCATAAGAGTCTAAGCCCTATCTTAGGGGGGGTTCTACTAAGCTATATGGAATTGTTTTAAGAAGGTCATACCAAGGATCTTTTAGCTATTTGATTTGGAATTTTAAGACCCCTTGAAGTATAAAAAATATATATAAAAACATTAATTGATGAAGAAAAAAATCAGGCCTTACTGCTATTAGCCGATACAAACGCATTGAATAACAGATTCACTACATGGAACAAGAGATAGTCCCCAAAAAAATATCAAAAGGAAGTTCGTTCTGAAGTGTCTGTCCTACAGTGAGGGAAAAGAGTATTTGATCCCCTGCTGATTTTGTAAGTTTGCCCACTGACAAAGAAATGATCAGTCTATAAATTTAATGGTAGGTTTATTTGAACAGTGAGAGACAGAATAACAACAACAAAATCCAGAAAAACACATGTCAAAATTTTTATAAATTGATTTGCATTTTAATGAGGGAAATAAGTATTTGACCCCCTCTCAATGAAAAAGATTTCTGGCTCCCAGGTGTCTTTTATACAGGTAACGAGCTGAGATTAGGAGCACACTCTTAAAGGGAGTGCTCCTAATCTCAGCTTGTTACCTGTATAAAAGACACCTGTCCACAGAAGCAATCAATCAGATTCCAAACTCTCCACCATGGCCAAGACCAAAGAGCTCTCCAAGGATGTCAGGGACAAGATTGTAGACCTAAACAAGGCTGGTATAGGCTACAAGACCATCGCCAAGCAGCTTGGTGAGAAGGTGACAACAGTTGGTGCGATTATTCACAAATGGAAGAAACACAAAATAACTGTCAATCTGCCTCGGTCTGGGGCTCCATGCAAGATCTCACCTCGTGGAGTTGAAATGATCATGAGAACGGTGAGGAATTAGCCCAGAACTACACGGGAGGATCTTGTCAATGATCTCAAGGCAGCTGGGACCATGGTCACCAAGAAAACAATTGGTAACACACTACGCCGTGAAGGACTGAAATCCTGCAGCGCCCGCAAGGTCCCTCTGCTCAAGATAGCACATATACAGGCCCGTCTGAAGTTTGCCAATGAACATCTGAATGATTCAGAGGAGAACTGGGTGAAAGTGTTGTGGTCAGATGAGACCAAAATCGAGCTCTTTGGCATCAACTCATGTCGCCGTGTTTGGAGGAGGAGGAATGCTGCCTATGACATCCCCACCGTCAAACATGGAGGTGGAAACATGCTTTGGGGGTGTTTTTCTGCTAAGGGGACAGGACAACTTCACTGCATCAAAGGGACGATGGATGGGGCCATGTACCGTCAAATCTTGGGTGAGAACCTCCTTCCCTCAGCCAGGGCATTGAAAATGGGTCGTGGATGGGTATTCCGGCATTACAATGACCCAAAACACACGGCCAAGGCAACAAAGGAGTGGCTCAAGAAGAAGCACATTAAGGTCCTGGAGTGGCCTAGCCAGTCTCCAGACCTTAATCCCATAGAAAATCTGAGGAGGGAGCTGAAGGTTTGAGTTGCCAAACGTCAGCCTCGAAACCTTAATGACTTGGAGAAGATCTGCAAAGAGGAGTGGGACAAAATCCCTCCTGAGATGTGTGCAAACCTGGTGGCCAACTACAAGAAACGTCTGACCTCTGTGATTGCCAACAAGGGTTTTGCCACCAAGTACTACAGTGGGGAAAAAAAGTATTTAGTCAGCCACCAAATAGTTCTCCCACTTAAAAAGATGAGCGAGGCCTGTAATTTTCATCATAGGTACACGTCAACTATGACAGACAAAATGAGAAAAAAAATCCAGAAAATCACATTGTAGGATTTTTAAGGAATTTATTTGCAAATTATGGTGGAAAATAAGTATTTGGTCAATAACAAAAGTTTCTCAATACTTTGTTATATACCCTTTGTTGGCAATGACACAGGTCGCACGTTTTCTGTAAGTCTTCACAAGGTTTTCACACACTGTTGCTGGTATATTGGCCCATTCCACCATGCAGATCTCCTCTAGAGCAGTGATGTTTTGGGGCTGTCGCTGGGCAACACAGACTTTCAACTCCCTCCAAAGATTTTCTATGGGGTTGAGATCTGGAGACTGGTTAGGCCACTCCAGGACCTTGAAATGCTTCTTACGAAGCCACTCCTTCGTTGCCCGGGCGGTGTGTTTGGGATCATTGGCATGCTGAAAGACCCAGCCACGTTTCATCTTCAATCCCCTTGCTGATGGAAGGAGGTTTTCACTCAAAATCTCACGATACATGGCCCCATTCATTCTTTCCTTTACATGGATCAGTCGTCCTGGTCCCTTTGCAGAAAAACAGCCCCAAAGCATGATGTTTCCACCCCCATGCTTCACAGTAGGTAGGGTGTTCTTTGGATGCAACTCAGCATTCTTTGTCCTCCAAACACGACGAGTTGAGTTTTTACCAAAAAGTTCTATTTTGGTTTCATCTTCAGATGGGCCTGGACATGTACTGGCTTAAGCAGGGGGACACGTCTGGCACTGCAGGATTTGAGTCCCTGGCGGCGTAGTGTGTTACTGATGGTAGGCTTTGTTACTTTGGTCCCAGCTCTCTGCAGGTCATTCACTAGGTCCCCCAGTGTGGTTCTGGGATTTTTGCTCACCGTTCTTGTGATCATTTTGACCCCACGGGGTGAGATCTTGCGTGGAGCCCCAGATCGAGGGAGATTATCAGTGGTCTTGTATGTCTTCCATTTCCTAATAATTGCTCCCACAGTTGATTTCTTCAAACCAAGCTGCTTACCTATTGCAGATTCAGTCTTCCCAGCCTGGTGCAGGTCTACAATTTTGTTTCTGGTGTCCTTTGACAGCTCTTTGGTCTTGGCCATAGTGGAGTTTGGAGTGTGACTGTTTGAGGTTGTGGACAGGTGTCTTTTATACTGATAACAAGTTCAAACAGGTGCCATTAATACAGGTTATTTTCCACCATAATTTTTTTCTCAATTTGTCTGTCATAGTTGACGTGTACCTATGATGAAAATTACAGGCCTCTCTCATCTTTTTAAGTGGGAGAACTTGCACAATTGTGGCTGACTAAATACTTTTTTTCCCCACTGTAAGTCATGTTTTGCAGAGGGGTCAAATACTTATTTCCCTCATTAAAATGCAAATCAATTTATAACATTTTTGACATGCGTTTTTCTGGATTTTTTTGTTGTTATTCTGTCTCTCACTGTTCAAATAAACCTACCATTAAAATTACAGACTGATCATTTCTTTGTCAGTGGGCAAACGTATCAAATACTTTTTTCCCTCACTGTATATCTGAGAGATATAAGAAAGATCAGGATTTAATCCCTTAGTTTTGGCACTAAACAGTCTCCATATATACTTCCATAAATTTTTTCAACTGGTACCGGGGGCCTATAGACGAATCTTGTGAGGCCTGTGGGCGTCCTAGAGCAAAACAACCATGTACGTGTTCGTGAGAGTCTCATCTTTCCATAGAGGGGTGAAAATAGTTTCTAGGTCAAACAGTTTGGATGCTACAGATGACTTTGTGAGAAGACCGATTTTCGAGATGTCTCATGGTCTGACAAACACCGCTCTAGCTCTATCACCTTTCACTGCAGATGTGGAAGTGTTAAATCGGTGGATGCAGTGGATTGAGATGCATCCAATGCAAACAAAAGATATCTCTAGCTTAAACTGACAGATTTTTATGGGGATTTTTAAAATATGCTAATTACATTTCCACGGGGGCACGTACATCAACTCTAGGGGGTTAATCTAAGACAAAAATAATGGTGCTCCAAAAAAGACCCAGTAGCCAGGACAAGAAATACAAATTCTATCTAGACACTGTTGCCATAGAGCACACAAAGAACTATACCTACCTTAGCCTAAACATCAATACCACAGGTAACTTCCACAAAGCTGTGAACGATCTACGAGACAAGGCAAGAAGAGCCTTCTACGCCATCAAAAGGAACATAAAATTGGACATCCCACTTAGGATCTGGCTAAAAATACTTCATTCAGTTATAAAACCCATTGCCCTCTAAGGTTGCGATTGAGGTCTGGGGTCCACTCACCAACCAATAATTCACAAAATGGGACAAACAGCCCAATTGACTCTGCATGCAGAATTCTGCAAAAATATACTTTGTGTACAACGCAAAACCCCAAACAATTAATGCAGAGCAGAATTAGGACTATACCCGCTAGTTATCAAAATCCAGAAAATAGCTGTTAAATTCTACAACCACCTAAAAGGAAGTGATGCCCACACATTCCACCACAAAGCCCTCACCTACAGAGATTAACCTAGAGAAGAGTCCCTTCAGCAAGCTGGTTCTCTGTTCACAAACACAAACAGAAAGGGTTGGTTGCCCCTTGCCAGTCCCCTCAGCCTGAAGCAATCCTAGAAGTCCAGTCTTCAAAACAATGACCTCACAGCTGGTGTCACTGTCTGATGACCTAGTGACAGCAGCGTCTGTGTGTGTTGCCGCTTTACGTGCTAGTCGGAATTAGGAAACTCAGAAATGTCGGACTTGCTAACTGGTTGAACGCAGCACGTGTGTATGTGTGTGTATCACCCCATGGTACACATTTAGAGCCTCAGTGGTAACCAATGATGTATAGAAACTCTGGATTTCTGATGCTATGTAGTGGCCAATGAGAGGCTTTGAAGCCACCGGACAGCCATATTGGCACTCCTCAGAAAAGTAGTCCTCCAAAAGGAATTATTGGAATTCTATGGTGTTTCATTTCAAATGTTTCAAGGACAAAATTACATGCATTTAAGTATTGTTGTAGCGGGGACAGTAACATTAGTACTTTAAAAATGTTTGTATATTATTATATATATATATATATTTTTTTTTTTATGTTTAGCTCACATAATATAATTTAAAAGTATGCATGAAGGTGTCTGTAATAGAATAACCGGGGAAAAAACAAATGTAGACATTTCTAAATGCATTTCTATAGCTTCCAAAATATTATTTTTTTTACAATAGTGGGGGATTGCCAAGATGAAGGCGCAGTGGCTTCAAAACAGCGCCACCTGTCAGTCATCTAGTGTATATATATATATATATATATATATATATATAAAGTGTAGATAACAAGCATGTGAATGTGTAAAAGGTTATTTATTGCCATGTTATATGCCGTGCACAAACACAATAAATGTTATCGATAATAACATGTAATATTTGATCTGTCCACGACCATGTAACTTGTTGCCTATGAACATGTGTAGAACTGCATTCTATCACAGCCTTATAAAGATAACTGCATTCAATAAGGCCAATTCTTAAAACTGTGATATCTGGTGTATGTTATTACCCATCTTATGATTAGTTCAGTGGCCGTGTGTGTACTCATCACTGACCCATATCTTCACACACTTCCAATAATCATCAGGCTTATACAGTGAATACTAGGAACACGGTAGTTCCGGATATTCCAGCTAAGATACACTATATATACAAAAGTATGCGGACACCCCTTCAAATTAGTGGATTCGGCTATTTCTGCCACACCCGTTGCTGACAGGTGGCCCCGTGTAGCTCAGTTGGTAGAGCATGGCGTTTGCAACGCCAGGGTTGTGGGTTCGATTCCCACGGGGGGCCAGTATGAAAATGTATGCACTCACTAACTGTAAGTCGCTCTGGATAAGAGCGTCTGCTAAATGACTAAAATGTAAAATACGAGCACACAGCCATGCAATCTCCGTAGACAAACATTGGCAGTAGAATGGTCTTCCTGAAGAGCTCAGTGACTTTCAACGTGGCACCATCATAGGATGCCACCTTGCCAACAAGTCAGCTCATCAACTTTCTGCCCTGCTAGAGCTGTCCCGTCAACTGTAAGTGCTGTTATTGTGAATTGGAAACGTCTAGTAGGCCACACAAGCTGACAGAACGGGACCGCCGAGTGCTGAAGCGCGTAAAGACAGTCTGTCCTCAGTTGCAACGTCAGCACAAGAACTGTTCGTCGGGAGCTTCATCAAATGGGTTTCCATGGCCGAGCAGCCACCCACAAGCATAAGATCACCATGCGCAATGCCAAGCGATGGCTGGAGTGGTATAAAGCTTGCCGCCATTGGACTCTGGAGCAGTGGAAACGCGTTCTCTGGAGTGCTTCCAACTTTGTGGCAACAGTTTGGGGAAGGCCCTTTCCTGTTTCAGCATGACAATGCCCCCGTGCACAAAGCGACGTCCATACAGAAGTGGTGTGATCGGTATGGAAGAACTTGACTGGCCTGCACAGAGCCCTGACCTCAACCCCATCTAACACCTTTGGGATGAATTAGAACGCCGACTGCGAGCCAGGCCTAATCGCCCAACATCAGTGCCCGATGTCACTAAACAGTTTTGCTTCCGTCCCTCTCCTCGCCCCTACCTGGGCTCGAACCAGGGACCCTCTGCACACATTGACAACAGTCACCCTCGAAGCACCGTTACCCGTCGCTCCACAAAAGCCGCGGCCCTTGCAGAGCAAGGGAAACAACTACTTCAAGGTCTCAGAGCGAGTGACGTCACCAATTGAAATGCTACTAGCGCGCACCGCTAACTTGCTAGCCATTTCACACCGGTTACATCAACAGCAGATCTTTCTTTTCAGCACCACGGAGTGAATCCTTACCACTGCTACACCTGGCTATCAGCGGAGCCTTCTCTGGCAGCGAAACAGTTCATTCAGAATATTTTACTGCCTTTTAAAAAAAACATAGCTGATATGGCTGAGTTGCTTAAACAAATGTGGTTTCTACTGACAATTGAGATGTACAAACTATGGCATAAGGGGACGACGAGCGAATAAGAGGCAATCCGTCATTTCGATTAAGACATTAATGAGCGAGCTAGGACGGACGTAGTCAATATAACTATTTGTTCATCACTTTTGAAATGTACAGCCACAGAATTCAGAACATGGGCCGTTCTTACAGTATTCTCCCTATACACCAAGTCAGAACCATAGGATAAATAAAGGGGGCATATAAGCAGCCAATGAAAGTTCTTACAATATTCAATGATTACATTTCTCTAAAACAGGCTATAGGCTACATGTGCACAACCAATTCAGAACAGTAGGCTAAGTTATGAGGTTGAAAGGGACCAAATGATTAGGGTGAGGCACATGGGCTACTAACAGCTTACTACACAACATACACTTAGTATCACTTTCTTAGCTACAGTATACATACAGTATCTCCCTGGAATATTACATAATTTATGCAGTATTCAACCTTTTCTAGCCCATGGTGTTGAATGTTAATCTTTTTAAGCTTGGAAAAGAGACCCTTAAACCCAGACTTGGACCACACACCCACTCCACTGAATAGCAGGCTAGTGATTGCTTTGCAACACTTGCAATTAGCCAGATTCCTTCCAAACCACTCATTGTTGAATTTGCGATTTCCAACTTGTTGTATAATGTTTATGTCCAATGGCCGATGAGCACCGATACGTTTTATCTATAATTTCTCTTCATACGACAAGGATTTAAAAGGATTTGCCAGTAGATTGTCAACGTGATTCATGATGATGACTGCTTGTCTAGCTTGCTAGCTAAGATTTTGAAAGTATTATGTTGACATGATCAGTCCAATCAAAGCTACTCTAGATATAAAGTGATTTGACGTCATTTTATCTATGGCCAATGACCTTGAGCCTTCTTGGATGGGCACTTCTAATGTAACTCTATGGCAGCACCCAGGGGACCTGAATTTCTCGAGCTCTCCCCATAGATTTTGTGGCGATGTAGTGTCCCCATGAGTGACAGAACACTGAGCCAATCACGGCGCAACTAGAGAACATTACCAACCCATATGCTCTGTATTTTCCACTTGCTGCCCCACCACCACCACAGAAAGCACTGAGCTAGGCTGAAACACCTGCATTTTGGAGCTGCCTTACTCAAGAAAGCAAAAAAAGAGACCATGTTTGTATGCGGCTTTATTAACTCAATGATTTTTTAAATTTATTTTTTACATTGTTTGCAAACTGATATTTGACAGGTATTTATGCCAAAATAACATGCAAAAAACGTTGTGTAAAATAAACATTTTGACTCTCGGTGCTGGTGATCAATAAAGGTAGGTCACAGGCAGACAAATAAGACCTCCTCATGATCTGTGGAGTCCCGGCTTTCGGTGTGTATCGATATATTCCGTGTTTACTTCGTTTATGCTTCACAACGCTAACCGGAATGTAGGTAGTAGCCATCTTCAAATTAGGTCATTGGCTGGGCCTGCCCTTATACATTCGTATGCAAATATATGGTAGTAAGTCACACCAAAGATTTTAAGGCACAGATCAATAGCCAAGATACTCAGCTTTCCGCAAATATGGGGACTTTACATTTAAGAGGTTAACACTATGACTTATTTGTTGTTGTTTTTTACATTGTTTGCAAACTGATTTTTTTAAATGTTTATGTATAGCTAAACAGGTGGGGCTCAATGACCTGAATAACGGGTCGCCACTGATGCCAGGTCACTACACCACTATTATATTATAGCAGTTTCAACAGTATTTTATTTAACCTGTATTAACCAGGAAAAGACCGTTGAGGTTTGAAGCCTCTTTTGCAAGGGGGGCCAGATTGTGTAGGCTATATTGCACTTAAGACAAAATAATTTAAACTAAGCACATTAATCTATAGGAATGAACTTCAAGTGTGTGTGTTTTTATGTGTCAGCATTTTATTTCCTACGTCTTAGCTGGAGTTTTTTCGGGCAAACAACTGTTGGATGTACATTTACGTAATTAGGGTCGTGTGGGGCTTTTATAAGTGGCTTGATTCCATTTTACACAACGTATATACACATTTTATCATAGGCCTGTCCTGCAGCCTACTCGAGGGTTGCATAAGGAAATGTATTCCCCAAACGTACTCAAGTTCACACATTCTTTTTAGGAACCTACCTAGTCGGATTCCTTCATCCGCGATGCGTAAAGCTTCTGTGTACTCGCTGGTTTTGAGTTTCTCCAGAATATGGCACTTCATCCTCGTCTCTTCTGGGCAGCACTTCTCAATGACACTGAAGAGCAGGATGTTGTTCTTGATGTTTTTGCCGTCTCTCTGTTTAAATCTTTCCTTGCAGGCTGGGCACCTGGATGGCAAGTAGTTTCCCAGGCAGCTCCGGCAGAACGAGTGACCACAGGACATGGTGGCCGGTTCACACATGAGGAACAGGCAGATTGGGCACTCAAGTAGATCCATGGTGGCACCGTTGCGAGGTGATGTCACCACAGCCGGTCCGTACACCCTCCGGCCAGGGGCGAGTTGAGAGGCCCCGCTCCCTAGATGCTTTCTCTCTCAGGTTAAATTATTATCGACGCGGACGCTTCTGTCACACGCGACATGGTTTCAGTGGTTGGGTTAAGTAACATGCGCAGCTTATGAGTCCCTATCTAATCACCATCTAAACAAGGACACACACTCCTCTCCGATTCACATGACCTGACTGCTGGACTCTTTCTGATCTAGTAAACAAAGGCTCTCTGAACCCAAGATCCAACCGTAAACCCCTTATAGTGTAATTCCAACTGACAAAACCCTTCCGAATCATTCACAGCCGTGTTCCATTGTCAAGCATAAAGTATTTGGTTTGGAACAACACCACGTAACGTCTTCTCTTTCCTGGCATCATGATGAATAGAAACTCCGATCGCCTCTGTCCTTCTCGTCTGGTTGTCTTCAACTCCAAACTCCATCAACACTAGACCAATATTGGGTCAGAATTTTAACAACGATTCATTGAATGTTTCGGCCCCAGGCTTACTGTAAAAACACAGCCGGGAGTAGTCAGCTTGTCCCTCTGTTACGCATAGTACGGATGGAGCTCGAAAAAGCCGAAGTGACACCATTACCTTACATAAATAAAGATCACGTGACGGGAAAGCTGGGTATGCTATTGGTCGAAAGACCGGCGTCCCACCCTGTTGTGAAACCGATTTATGCAGAGTTTCATAACACGCTTTTTCTCGGACTGGAGGAGAACTGGGAGGACCCGACAGACAGTGGCTTTTTATATTGTTCAAAATCATAAGAAGCGCACCGACAAGCACCGACAAGTTAACAAGTTACTAATCTCCACACTCTATTATAATGACCTGGGCTGTTCTAGTCATCTAAATACAGAGAATCCGCCGCCTGCAGAAACATGATGTGACAGAAAAACGTGAACGTTTTTTGTTCTGCAAATAGACACTTTTCTAACAGATGCGAAGCTATACTGTGCAACGCAATATGCTACTTTCTTTGTCTAATGATCAGTGGCGATTTTAACATGTCAATCTTGGTGAGGCAAACTCCCCAAAAATGTTTTAGATGCATGCCAGCAAAGCCACTACACAACACTAAACAATACATTAATTGCACTATAACGGTGACAAGCGGTGCCCACAAACTGTTAGGGCCTACATAAAGCTGTCCCAACAGCAGAGCTTTCTTTTCACCACCATGGAGTGAATCCTTACCACTGCTATACCTGGCTATCAGCGGAGCCTTCTTTGGCAGCGAAACAATTCATTCAGACTCATTTACTGCCTTTAAAAAAAACATAGCTGATATGGCTGACTTGCTTAAACAAATTTGGTTTCTACTGACAATTGAGATGTACAAACTATGGCATAAGGGGATGATGAGCGAATAAGAGGCAATCCGTAATTTCGATTAAGACTAATGAGCGAGCTAGGACGGATGTAGTCAATATTACTATTTGTTAAGCACTTTTGAAATGTACAGCGACAGAATACAGAACATGGGCCGTTCTTACAGTATTCTCCCTGTACACCAAGTCAGAACCGTAGGATAAATAAAGGGGGCAGATAAGCAGACAATGAAACCTACAGTATACATATCTCCTTGGCATATTACATCATTTATGCAGCAGCCTACAATACATTTTTGGACTCGCCTTGCTGTGCTGTGCTCACTTGAACAGGAAGGTGACGCGGTGGTCCTTCTTGTTATCAAAGTCTGGCATTCTCTGGATTTATGGTGCTTTCATGATGGATTGACATTATGGCCAACGTATTCAACATTTTCTGGCCCATGGTGTTAAATATTTATCCTTTTAAGATTGGAAAAGAGACCCTTAAACCCAGACTTGGACCACACACCCACTCCACTGAATAGCAGGCTATTAATTGCTTTCCAATGCTTGCAGTTAGCCACTGATTCCTTCCAAACCACTCATTATTGAATTTGTGATTTCCAACTTGTTGTGTAGTGTTTATGTCCAATGGACGATGAGCACACATTTTATCTATAATTTTTCTTCATATGACAAGGATTGAAAATGATTTGCAAGTAGATTGTCGACTTGATTCATGAGGATGACTGCTTGACTAGCTTGCTTTCTAAAATTTTGAAAGTATGATGTTGACATGATCAGTCCAATCAAAGCTACGGTAGGTATAACGGGATTTTACGTCATTTTATCTATGGCCAATGACCTTGAGCCTTCTTGGATGGGCACTTCTAATGTAACTCTATGGCAGCACCCAAGGGGCTTGAATTTTCTAGCTTTCACCGTAGATTTTGTGGCGATGTGGTGTCCCCATGAGTGACAGAACACTAAGCCAATCACGGCGCAACTAGAGAACATTACCAACCCCCATGCTCCGTATTCTCCCCTGGCTGCCCCACCACCAGAGAAAGCACTGAACTAGGCTGAAACACCTGCATTTTGGAGCTGCCTTACTCAAGAAAGCAAAAAAGAGACCATGTTTGTATGCGGCTTTATTAACTCCATTCGAATTTTTTTTTACATTGTTTGAAAACTGATATTTGACAGGTGTTAATGCCAAAATAACATGCAAAACAGGGAAAACAAATATAATAATAATAAAAAAGACATATACATACAGTTGAAGTCGGAGGTTTACAGACACCTTAGCCAAATACATTTAAACTCAGTTTTTCACAATTCTTGCCATTTAATCCTCGTAAAAAAATCCCTGTCTTAGGTCAGTTATGATCACCACTTTATTTTAAGAATGTGTAATATCAGAATACAGTGGGGGAAAAAAGTATTTAGTCAGCCACCAATTGTGCAAGTTCTCCTACTTAAAAAGATGAGAGAGGCCTGTAATTTTCATCATAGGTACACGTCAACTATGACAGACAAAATGAGGAAAAAAAATCCAGAAAATCACATTGTAAGATTTTTAATGAATTTATTTGCAAATTATGGTGGAAAATAAGTATTTGGTCAATAACAAAAGTTTCTCAATACTTTGTTATATACCCTTTGTTGGCAATTACACAGGTCAAACGTTTTCTGTAATTCTTCACAATGTTTTCACACACTGTTGCTGGTATTTTGGCCCATTCCTCCATGCAGATCTCCTCTAGAGCAGTGATGTTTTGGGGCTGTCGCTGGGCAACACGGACTTTCAACTCCCTCCAAAGATTTTCTATGGGGTTGAGATCTGGAGACTGGCTAGGCCACTCCAGGACCTTGAAATGCTTCTTACGAAGCCACTCCTTCGTTGCCCGGGCGGTGTGTTTGGGATCATTGTCATGCTGAAAGACCCAGCCACGTTTCATCTTCAATGCCCTTGCTGATGGAAGGAGGTTTTCACTCAAAATCTCACGATACATGGCCCCATTCATTCTTTCCTTTACACGGATCAGTCGTCCTGGTCCCTTTGCAGAAAAACTGCCCCAAAGCATGATGTTTCCACCCCCATGCTTCACAGTAGGTATGGTGTTCTTTGGATGCAACTCAGCATTCTTTGTCCTCCAAACACGACGAGTTGAGTTTTTACCAAAAAGTTATATTTTGGTTTCATCTGACCATATGACATTCTCCCAATCCTCTTCTGGATCATCCAAATGCACTCTAGCAAACTTCAGACGGGCCTGGACATGTACTGGCTTAAACAGGGGGACACGTCTTGCACTGCAGGATTTGAGTCCCTGGCGGCGTAGTGTGTTACTGATGGTAGGCTTTGTTACTTTGGTCCCAGCTCTCTGCAGGTCATTCACTAGGTCCCCCCGTGTGGTTCTGGGATTTTTGCTCACTGAGCCCCAGATCGAGGGAGATTATCAGTGGTCTTGTATGTCTTCCATTTCCTAATAATTGCTCCCACAGTTGATTCCTTCAAACCAAGCTGCTTACCTATTGCAGATTCAGTCTTCCCAGCCTGGTGCAGGTCTACAATTTTGTTTCTGGTGTCCTTTGACCGCTCTTTGGTCTTGGCCATAGTGGAGTTTGGAGTGTGACTGTTTGAGGTTGTGGACAGGTGTCTTTTATACTGATAACAAGTTCAAACAGGTGCCATTAATACAGGTAACGAGTGGAGGACAGAGGAGCATCTTAAAGAAGAAGTTACAGGTCTGTGAGAGCCAAAAATCTTGCTTGTTTGTAGGTGACCAAATACTTATTTTCCACCATAATTTGCAAATAAATTCATTAAAAATCCTACAATGTGATTTTCTGGAGAAAGAAAAATCTCAATTTGTCTGTCATAGTTGACGTGTACCTATGATGAAAATCAGGCCTCTCTCATCTTTTTAAGTGGGAGAACTTGCACAATTGGTGGCTGACTAAATACTTTTTTCCCCCACTGTATCTCAAGGTCATCAGACTGTTAAATAGCCATCACTCGGCGGCTTCCACTCGGTTACGTAACCCTGCACCTTAGAGGCTGCTGCCCTATATACATAGACTTGGAATCACTGGCCACTTTAATAATGGAACACTAGTCACTTTAATAATGTTTACATATTTTTGCTTTACTCCTCTCATATGTATATACTGTATTCTATTCTATTCTACTGTATTTTAGTCTATGTCACTCCGACATTGCTCGTCCTAATATTTATACAGTTCTTAATTCCACTCTTTTACTTTTAGATTTGTGTGTATTGTGTGTATTGTTGTGAATTGTTAGATATTACTGCACTGTTGGAGATAGAAACACAAGCATTTCACTACACCTGCAATAACATCTGCTAAATATGTGTATGTGACCAATAAAATTTTATTTGATTTATGTTATACTCCATCCATTGCCCAATTGGATTCCTATCGCCTCCTTTCTCCAATATCTATGAGCTTGTCGGTATGTGCTATCTGGGATCCGTAGGATGTAAGGGTTAAGGTTAGGATTAAGGTAAGGGTAGGTGTTAGGGTTACCCACTGGGCACACACTGGTTGAATCAACGTTGTTTCCATGTCTTTTCAATGATATTATGTTGAATAAACGTGGAATAGACATTGAATTGACATCTGTGCCCAGTAGGTAGGGTAGGGACGTCCCAAAGCTCATTTTAGTTTTCATGAATTTTTACGATATAGCCCATTTTGACTTTTGGCTGTGGTAACTAGTGGAAATTCCCATCTTCTTCCACTGCCGGCCACTGGGCTTCCTCTCATCACCATATTTGGTGGTGAGTGGAAATGCCAACCCGATGCTTCAGATTTATACATCTGGTGGATCATATGGCTCATTGTTCTATCTGTGTTAACAAGGTAACACTCCATCTTAACTCCTCCACATTTGCTGGATTGGTTGAACAGTGCAGAAGAGAACCTCCCCTGAGAGGTTTTTTTCTTCTCTTCAAGACCTCTGTGCCAGGGTTTGTCACTAGTTACCACATCCACAAAGTCAAAATTGGGCTATTGTAAAAAGTAATGAAAACAAAAATTACATTTTGGTCTTAATTTAAGGTTACGGTTAGTAATAAGGTTAGCAGTGTGGTTAAGGTTAGGGTTAAGGTTAGGTTGAAAACAATAGATGCTGCTGAGGGGAGGACTGCTCATACTAATGGCCATGTTTGATGTATTTGATACCAATCCACTGATATCCTCCCCAATTAAGGTGTCACCAACCTCCTGTGGTTTAAAATCACATTTAAGAAGATCAATTGTAGAAATAGGCAGGGTTTATAACTTTGCGGGTGTGATAACTAGTGACAACCCGATGGCCTGTGCGGTTGCCAGGGAATCTTTTGTTTCTTTCACGCCTGCTACGTTAGGTTAGTTCAAGCACCGCCTTCACCCAATCTTGAGTCGTCCAAATAATGAATGATGAAAATCCAAAACCAGGAACTACTGCTGCTTGTAATCACATAATTCTACGTGAGCCTTGACATATTCTCACCGTTTCATCTGTCCATGACAGATTGCGCAACAGAAAATGTATTAGATGATTATTACAGCCTACTTGGCATTCCTTTAATCACAACAAAGAGAAGTGTTTTCTAACAGCAGGACAGGCTAAATTGGCACTCATCCCCATATAACCATGTAAACAGTTCTTCAGCCAGCTCCCCCTCCCTGTCCAACAGTAGTCTAAATAAAGCTGTAAACGCTCTGACCTTTCCCCCTTTGCTCTCTATGGCACAGGTAACACACAGTATGTATGTCAGGGTTAGTCTAATTAGGGTTTAATCCCTGGTCCATCACAACACCTTTTCAGTTTTTGGGTCAATCACTGTGCATGTGTCTCTGGTCAAGATAAGGGTTGTGTTTTAAATGGCACCCTATTCCCTATATAGTGCACTCTCCCCCCCCCCCACCCACCCCCCCCCCCAGAATGTGTCTGTATGTAACTACACACTGACCTTTCCAGCCAAACAGTGACAGACAGAGACTGAGGCAGTGTAGGGCGTCTCTGACTGGGACATTAGCTCACATTGCTACCAGTATATAAGCATAACATAGCATTACATAAGCTCACATTGCTACCAGTATATAAGCATAACATAGCATTACATAAGCTCACATTGCTACCAGTATATAAGCATAACATAGCATTACATAAGCTCACATTGCTACCAGTATATAAGCATAACATAGCATTACATAAGCTGCTGCACAAGAAGCTTCACGGACTAAGCCCCTCCCCCAACAACAACAGACTGTTGCAGTGGCTGTGTCACTGTGACACTGACATTCAATCACATATTAGGTTATGACGTGTGAATAGGGTTCAGGTTTGATCATAGGATGTGCAAGATCTTTTGAGCATTCTTGGACTACATAGTATAATGCAGTGGTTCAGCTCCTAAAAATCTATATTTTGTTTGTTCGTTCACACAGGGACTCATCTAAGGTATGAAATACAACGTTAAGTAGAAAACAGTGGTTTTTAGCCAGGACCCAGTTTTAAGTGGCATAATACAACCATTCTTAGATTAAAACAGAAAAAAGGTGGTAGGCCTAATTGTTTCTCAAGTTCAACAGTCAACCCCAACCATGATAGTGAAAATGAATCCTAATATAACAAATTCTCAATAATATAATCAATTATGTTACAGGACTTGGAAATTGCTTTATTAACTTCTTTATCAAATTATGAATGTTAGGAGCATCCAAACCTCAATGATATTCCAAATGTCTCAAGTCAAGGAAGGTGTGTGTCTTCATAGTCCATGACATATCATTTCAGTAAAGCTTTGACTTAAGAAAAATACTATACAACTGCAGACAGCGTATGTGATCATAACTACATTAAGCATACAAAACCGAGAACAATAACACCAATGAAACAAACAGGAGAAACCTATATTCAGCAAGGTGAATCGTTTTGAATCTGAACGTTGCATATAGAAATATAATGAATAGAGTGGACTCGATTCACAACAGACAATCATATGTTCTACAGAACACATTCCTATCTGAACATTCATCATTGCACCCTGCTGTAGAGACCCCAGCCCTAAATACAAAACTCATGCAATCTCGTCGATAATACTACACATGGCTGCATCCTTGTCCCACACTCTGTCCTTCTTAGCAGCACCACCTGTGCTTTTGTCCTGTTGTGGCCCAACAGCCATACAGCTAGCCCCAGCCTCCTCCACATCCATAGGTTCAGTCTTTAGCCTGGCGGCCAACCCCAACGCCCCTCCAGCCTCAGCTCCACCACCTCTCGCCCCATCCCCAGCCCCACTCGAGCCCTCAGTCTGGGGAAGGTCATCGGGCAGGGAGGCCAGGCACCCCTGGATCATCTCCATCACCCTCTCCAGATGTTTCTGGAACCTCTCTGCCGTCTCCAGGCGCTGTCTCTTCTGCACTTCCATCATCACCCTCAGGGTCTCTCTGGCCTGGTGCGGACGGTACTCATTGATCAGATGGTGCATGTGGACAAACAACAGCTTGAGGTCCTCCAGCTTCTCCTCTCTCTTTATACTGCCAGGGCTCTTGATCAGGATGTCCAGGAGATCCAGGAAATTCACCAGGATGGACATGTTGAGCTTCTTGAGCTCCCGTTTGTGGTGGAACTGCATGGGGTGGAGCCGCTCGATGCCCTGGCTCTCCAGCGGTCGGATGATCAGGTCGTCACACTGGAACTGGTTGCCGAACATCATGTAGGTGTCTCGGATGGGAGGAGGGGGTTTGGGGGCGAGCCCCTTGCGGATGTTCTCGTCCGTGTACTCCTTGATGTACTGCATGGGAGGGGGAGGCAGGGCACTCACCTGCTGTGGTTCACCCATGGTGGAGGCCTGGATAGAGGAAGATGAGATGACATTTATTATAGCCTACCACATTACTTCATCATCCCACTTTGCCTTTTCAGCTGTAGTGTCATTGATAAAAAATAAGCTGGGGAAAGAACCTGATGGCTATTATTCTGCTGATTTACAAAGAGGATGGCTGACCTCTATATAGACTGTATAATCAAATATACTTATTACTAGGATAATTTATAGGGTTTCCCCTATTAATCTGGTAATAGTAGCTAGCTATGTGAGATTCTTACCTAGCAGTCACGCATGCGCGTCTGGCTGGCTAGCTAATTAGCGTAGCTAGAAGTGTGTAACGTTATGTTGTCTAAAGCTAACCTGCTGGGCGAAGTGGCACTAATGCGCTAGCTAGAAGCCTACAAATGGTTTTTGTTTGAAACATAAGCGAACAATCTAGCTAGCTACACTCAATGACGATGTTTTATATTTTCAGTTGATTCAGTATCTAGCGAGCGCGAGAACTTGGAAGTCATTTCACGACAAGGAATGAGACAAAGGAAAAACATACCTTTCTATCGAGTCATCAAGGACTGTATTTAAAATAGACTGAATTTGCCACCACAATTATTGCTTTTCACAAGAAATGCGTTTGCGCGACTTCTCTTCTCGTTTCCCATTCAGCCCCTGTCATCCCATCCTATTGGTTGGATTTTTGTTTGACATGAATTGTTGGCAGTGCGGATTGGTCCGTTTTTCGTCAGTAATGCACGATTTAATTGGTTATCACAGACTGGGGTTGATGTATGTTTTCATCCAACACACTAGTACAATGTAACAGAGTGGCGTAAGAGAGGTCAAAAGTGCGACATTTAATCTGACATAAATTAATGTCTCATTGTGATGGTCAACATACAGGTAACTGCCATAATAAAGGAAACACCAACATAAAGTGTCTTAATGGTCCAATGCAGCTGTTTATTTAAGTGATAATGCCCGAGTAGCCGGTGTTTGGACGATATATTTGTCGAGGGCCGGAAAACCGTGCCAATATATCCCCGGAACACCGGCTTGGAGGGCATTATCACTTTTATACAACGGCTTACCAACATATTCAACTAATGATTTACATATTTTCCTTGAAAACGTTATTTTGATGAATTTATTCATACTATTTCATCCTTCCACAAATCTAGGGTTGCTACCCAAGCCGGCTGGTCTTTCGTTCTATCGGTTCGGTTGCCAGAGATGCAACCCAGTCGTTCCGTCTTTTTGTTCGGTATATGGATGCGACCCAGTCATTCGGTCTAAATGTTCTATTGCTATAACAATGAGCTAATGATGGGCGATTTCACCTGGCCAGGGTTGACAGGTGTAGCTCAAATATCTAGCCCAATGACCACTCAAAACCTGCAGAAAAGGCCTGAAAACTAGCTCTTTTTTTTCACAGCAAGAGAGGAGTTGCCATATCTATACAATAAACGTATTTTCTGTAACCTTATCGAGCCAATCTAGAAGGAATATCATAGTAACTTGTAACAATGTTAGAAGCAAAATTCGGTTTTCTTCAAAAGACTAATTATTGCAAGCTATGACATGACCTAATAAAGGAATTGGAATATATCCTAAGAGAAAATATAATTTGCCCTTATTAAACTCGCCAGATCATTTTCTATCAATGGATGTTGATTTAACTCATTTGACTGCTATGATTAAGCAATAAGGCACAAGGGAGTATGGTATATGGCCAATATACCACGGCTAAGGGATGTTCTTAAACATGACCCAACATGGAGTGCCTGGATACAGCCGTTAGCCGTGGTATATTGGTCATATACCACAAACCCCCGGGGTGCCTTATTGCTATTATAAACTGGTTACCAACGTAATTAGAACAGTAAAAAAAAAAAAAAAGATCATACCCATGGTATATGGTCGGTTATAAACTGGGTGGCTCGAGCCCTGAATGCTGATTGGCTATAGCCGCTGATAGGCCTATATCTCTTTTTAGATAGTCTACAGTAGCCTAGACAAGATGTAGGCAAGATGTAAACTGAACGATTTAGCAGCTTGCTTAGTTCAAATTAACATACACATTTATTCAACATGAATAGCGAGGCGATTTCGAGGGAAGAAGTGCTTGTGTTTCCCAATAGCCTGCTGGAATAGGCTACTGAGGATGGGGTCATATTTTCAATCACTGAATTAAATATTTATATTTATATGTACTGAATACAGCCAGTGTTTATTTTTTTAGATGATTTTTTTAGATGTTTTTTTAGATGTTTAGATGTATCATCACAACTTCCATTTCAAATTTCCACTCGGGCAGCCCCCGAGACCCAAGAACTGAGCATGCATAAAACATTTAGCTTGATACTGTTTTCGTTAAGTAAAGTCAATATTAGAATGCAGTTTAAACCACCTCCGAGCTAATTTATGTAATGTGCTCTAGTGCGCCCAAAGTTGTTTTCCAGTGCTTTGTCTCCATTATTTCTTGAAGGGTGGGAAATAGGTTGGTGTCTCCATAATGACGATCTAAATAGCCTACCTACAACTGGTAAAAATTTGTCACTAGCTGCCAATAACTGGAGTGCTCTCTCAACACAAACACACAAACATACACACACACACACACACACACCCCTCTGGCCCTCCCCACCACTCACTCACTCAGCAACAGCCAGCCTCACTGCCTGACAGTCAGCAGCATGTCACAGTGAAGTATATATATTTTAAGAGAAATCCCATGGCGGCCGCGGTGCAACTTAAAAATAGCCCAAAAACCCGCAACTCACGAACAATACATTTTCACCAGCGACATCGTTTTAAAAGTAGCCACATTTTGCTAGAAAATCGCGAACATGGCAACACTACACCTGGCATACAAAATGTGCTCTCTTGTCAGGACACTGTTGTTCAGAGGAGCTAGCCTACAACACAGCAAACAGGATCAGTTCAAACTGATGCTGGGAAGACTGCAGACCAGTGGCGATTTTAGAATGTAAATCTTGGTGGGGCAAACTCCCCCCAAATTTGTTTTATGCATGCCAGCAATGCCACTACACAACACAACACAACACTACACTACAGTAAACAATAGATTCATTGCACTATAGCAGTGACAAATGGTGCCCACAAACTGTTAGGGCCCACATTAAGCTGTCCCAACAGCAGCGCATTCTTTCAGCACCATGGAGTGAATCATTACCCAGTGGTGGAAAAAGTACTCAATTGTCATACTTGAGTAAAAGTAAAGATACCTTAATAGAAAATAACAAGTAAAAGTGAAAGTCACCCAGTAAAATAGTGTTTGAGTAAAAGTCTAAAAGTATTTGGTTACAAATATACTTACAGTGCCTTATAAAAGTATTCATCCCCCTTGGCGTTTTTCTTATTTTGTTGCATTACAACCTGTAATTTAAATGGATTTTTATTTGGATTTCATGTAATGGACATACACAAAATAGTCAAAATTGGTGCAGTGAAATGAAAAAATATAATAAATAACGGAAATGTGGTGTGTGCATATGTATTCACCCCTTTGCTATGAAGCCCCTAAATAAGATCTGGTGCAACCAATTACCTTCAGATGTCACATAATTAGTTAAATAAAGTCCACCTGTGTGCAATCTAAATGTCACATGATCTGTCACATGATCTCAGTATATGTACACCTGTTCTGAAAGGCCCCAGATTCTGCGACACCACTAAGCAAGAGGCACTACCAAGCAAGTGGCACCATGACCAAGGAGCTCTCCAAACAGGTCAGGGACAAAGTTGTGGAGAAGTACAGATCAGGGTTGGGTTATAAAAACATATCCGAAACTTTGAACATCCCACGGAGCACCATTAAATCCTTATTAAAAAATGGAAAGAATATGGCACCACAACAAACCTGCCAAGAGAGGGCCGCCCACCAAAACTCACAGACCAGGCAAGGAGGGCATTAATCAGAGAGGCAACAAAGAGACCAAAGATAACCCTGAAGGAGATGCAAAGCTCCACAGCGTAGATTGGAGTATCTGTCCATAGGACCACTTTAAGCCGTACACTCAACAGAGCTTGGCTTTACAGAAGAGTGGCCAGAAAAAAGCCATTGCTTAAAGAAAAAAATTTGCAAACATGTTTGGTGTTCACCAAAAGGCATGTGGGAGACGGTACTCTGGTCAGATGAGACTAAAATTTAGCTTTTTGGCCATCAAGGAAAAGGCTATGTCTGGCGCAAACCCAACACCTCTCATCACCCCGAGAACACCATCCCCACAGTGAAGCATGGTGGTGGCAGCATCATGCTGTGGGGATGTTTTTCATCGGCAGGGACTGGGAAACTGGTCAGAATTGAAGGAATGATGGATGGCGCTAAATACAGGGAAATTCTTGAGGAAAACCTGTTTCAGTCTTCCAGAGATTTGAGACTGGGATGGAGGTTCACCTTCTAGCAGGACAATGACCCTAAGCATACTGCTAAAGCAACACTTGAGTGGTTTAAGGGGAAACATTTAAATGTCTTGGAATGGCCTAGTCAAAGCCCAGACCTCAATCCAATTGAGAATCTGTGGTATGACTTAAAGATTGCTGTACACCAGCAGAACCCATCTAACTTGAAGGAGCTGGAGCTGTTTTGCCTTGAAGAATGGGCAAAAATCCCAGTGGCTAGATGTGTCAAGCTTATAGAGACATACCCCAATAGACTTGCAGCTGTAATTGCTGCAAAAGGTGGCTCTACAAAGTATTGACTTTGGTTATGTTATGCACGCTCAAGTTTTCAGTTTTTTTGTCTTATTTCTTGTTTGTCTCACAAAAAAAAATATTTTGCATCTTCAAAATGGTAGGCATGTTGTGTAAATCAAATGATACATCCCCCCAAAAAATCCATTTTAATTCCAGGTTGTAAGGCAACAAAATAGGAAAAATGCCAAGGGTGGTGAATACTTTCGCAATCCACTGTAAGTATCAAAGGTAAATGGAATTGCTCAAATATACGTTAGTATCAAAAGTAAAAGTATAAATCATCTCAAATTCCTTATATTAAGTGAACCAGATGGCACAATATTCTTGAGTTTTCTTTATTTACCTCCAACATTCAGACATAATTTACAAATAAAGCATTTGTGTTTAGTGAGTCCGCCAGATCAGAGGCAGTAGGGATGACCAGGGATGTTCTCTTGATAAGTGCGTCAATTGGACCATTTTCATGTCAAAATGTAACGTGTACTTTTGGGTGTCAGGGAAAATGGATGGAGTAAAAAGTACATTATTTTCTTTAGGAATGTAGTGAAGTAAAAGCAAAACTTGGCAAAAATATAAATAGTAAAGTAAAGTACAGATACCCTAAAAAAACTACTTAAGTAGTACTTTAAAGTATTTTTACTTCGGTACTTTACACCACTGTCCTTACCACTGCTACACTTGGCTATCAGCAGAGCCTTGTCTGGCAGCAAAACAGTTAATTCAACCTTATTTACTGCCTTTAAAAAACATAGCTTAGGTTTCTGCTGACAATTGAGATATACAAACTATGGTATAAGGGGACGACGAGCGGATAAGGGGCAATCCGTAATTTCGATTAAGACATTAATGAGCGAGCTAGGATGGACGTAGTCAATATAACTATTTGTTCAGTACTTTTGAAATGTACAGCGACAGAATTCAGAACATGGGCCGTTCTTACAGTATTCTCCCTGTACACCAAGTCAGAAACTTAGGACAAATAAAGGGGGCATATAAGCAGACAATGAAAGCTCTTACAATATTCAATGATTACATTTCTCTAAAACAGGCTATAGGCTACATGTGCACCACCAAGTCAGAACAGTAGGCTAAGTTATGGGTGAAAGGGACCAAATTATTAGGGTGAGGCACATGGGCTACTAATGGTTACTACACAAAATACACTTAGTATCACTTTCTTAGCTACAGTATACATATCTCCCTGGCATATTACATCATTTATGCAGCAGCATACAATACATTTTCCGAGTTGGATGACCGTTCAAAATGTATTTTCCCAGTCGTAGCTTATTTTTTTCTGATATCCCAGTTGTCTTGAACTCACTGAGGTCTGAGATTTTCCAGTTGTTTTGAACGTGGCAGAAGTCATGCTGGATTGACAGCATGGCCAATGTATTCAACCTTTTCTGGCCCATGGTGTTGAATGTTTATCCTTTTAAGCTTGAAAAAGAGACCCGTAAACCTAGACTTGGACCACACACTCACTCCACTGAATAGCAGGCTAGTGATTGCTTTGCAACACTTGCAGTTAGCCACTGATTCCTTCCAAACCATTAATTGTTGAATTTGCGATTTCCAACTTGTTGTGCAATGTTTATGTCCAATGGCCGATGAGCACCGATACGTTTTATCTATAATTTCTCTTCATATGACAAGAATTGAAAAGGATTTGCCAGTAGATTGTCGACTTGATTCATGATGATGACTGCTTGACTAGCTTTCTAGCTAAGATTTTGAAAGTATGATATTGACATGATCATTCCAGTCAAAGCTACAGTAGATAAGACATGATTTAACATAATTGTATCTGTGGCCAATGACCTTGAGCCTTCTTGGATGGGCACTTCTAATGTAACTATGGCAGCACCCAAGGGGCTTGAATTTTCGAGCTCTCCCCGTAGATTTTGCGATGACATAATGTCCCTGTGAGTGACAGAACACTGAGCCAATCACGGCGAACATTACCAACCTACGCTCTGTATTTTCAGCTGGCTGCCCCACCACCACAGAAAGCACTGAGCTAGGCTGAAACACCTGCATTTTGGAGCTGCCTTACTCAAGAAAGCAAAAATGAGACCATGTTTGTATGCAGCTTTATTAACTCAATGATTATTATTTTTTACATTATATGCAAACTGATATGTGACAGGTATTAATGCCAAAATACCATGCAAAACAGGCAACCCCACGCCCCCCCCCCTAAAAAAAGCTGGGGCTCTGATAGATAGATGGATGATATTCATATGCTCCGAGCTCCAACAGTGCAGGTAAAAAAATAAGTGAATGAGACAATAATAAACAAAAAATATATATATACACATTTACAACCGTAGGCTGTCTCGTCGTTGTTGGTAATCAGGCCTACTACTGTCGTGTCGTCAGCAAACTTTTGCAAAATGAATGTGAAATGTCAGAATAATAGTAGAGAGAATGATTTATTTCAGCTTACAAGTTTACATACACTCAATTAGTATTTGGTAGCATTGCCTTTAAATTGTTTAACTTGGGTCAAACGTTTCGGGTAACCTTACACAAGCTTCCCACAATAAGTTGGGTGAATTTTGGCCCATTCTTCCTGACAGAGCTGGTGTAACTGAGTCAGGTTTATAGGCCTCCTTGCTCGCACACGCTTTTTCAGTTCTGCCCACAAATGTTCTATAGGATTGAGGTCAGGGATTTGTGATGGCCACTCCAATACCTTGACTTTGTTGTCCTTAAGCCATTTTGCCACAACTTTGGAAGACCCATTTGCGACCAAGCTTTAACTTCCTGACTGATGTCTTGAGATGTTGCTTCAATATATCCACATAATTTTCCTTCCTCACGATGCCATCTATTTTGTGAAGTGCACCAGTCCCTCCTGCAGCAAAGCACCCCCACAGCATGATGTGCCACCCCCGTGCTTCACGGTTGGGATGGTGTTCTTCGGCTTGCAAGGCGCCCCCTTTTTTTCCAAACATAACGATGGTCATTATAGCCAAACAGTTCTATTTTTGTTTCATCAGACCAGAGGACATTTCTCCAAAAACGATATTTGTCCCCATGTGCAGTTGCAAACCGTAGTCTGGCTTTTTTTATGGCGGCTTTGGAGCAGTGGCTTCTTCCTTGTTGAGCGGCTTTTCAAGTTATGTCGATGGATATAGTTTTACTGTGGATATAGATAGTTTTGTACCTGTTTCTTCCAGCATCTTCACAAGGTCCTTTGCTGTTGTTCTGGGATTGATTTGCACTTTTCGCACCAAAGTACGTTCATCTCTAGGAGACAGAACGCGTCTCCTTCCTGAGCGGTATGACGGCTGTGTGGTCCCATGGTGTTTATACTTGTGTACTATTGTTTGTACAGATGAACGTGGTACCTTCAGGCGTTTGGAAATTGCTCCCAAGGATGAACCAGACTTGTGGAGGTCTACATTTTTTTTTCTGAGGTCTAGGCTGATTTCTTTTGATTTTCCCATGATGTCAAGCAAAGAGGCACTGAGTTTGAATGTAGGTCTTGATATACATCCACAGGTACACCTCCAATTGACTCAAATGATGTCAGTTAGCCTTTCGGAAGCTTCTAAATATTTTTCTGGAATTTTCCAAGCTGTTTAAAGGCACAGTCAACTTAGTGTATGTAAACTTCTGACCCACTGGAATTGTGATATAGTGAATTATAAGTGAAATAATCTGTATATGAGTGACAGCTAGCAAGAGGCACATCATGTACACACAGCAGAGCAAGAGAGAGCGCAATGCCTTGGTGCACAAAACTGCACATGTGACATAGTACAACATTTTCCTGGACCACTTTTGGCTCGTGAGTGCTACTTGCAGAACTACTGGCAAAAAAAATTATTTTAAAAATGTAATGGTCAGAAATAAACAAAAATAGCTACTTAGCAAAGAGCAATTTCTCAAGCAATAATTTTGCTAGGACTGTCTGGGAGTGGTCTGAGTGGGGAGGGGAAAACTAGCTGTTATTGCCAGAGAGGTTTGGGTTCTCTTTCTTATTGGTCTATTAACTAATTTACCACCTGGTGATGTCAGCAGGCAGGCCAAAACTCCATCCCACCAAAACAGGCTGAAATTTCAGGTGGTCTCTTCAAACAGCTCTTACACTAAAAGGGCATTATCAAAATGTTCACAATTTCACAGTATTATTCCAACCCCATAGTGTGGAAATATATATAAAACAAGAAAAATAACGTTTTTTACTTCACTGGTCCTTTAATAAGGCATTTCCTTTATTCTGGCAGTTACCTGTATATTGTGTGTATATGGACTGCCAAAATTATGGAAACACCAAGATAAAGTGTCTTAATTGGTTGTTGGGCCACCACGAGCCAGAACAGCTTCAATGCACCTTGGTGTATATTCTACTAGTGTCTGGAACTCTATTCCATCATTTGGTGTTTTGTTGATGGTGGTGGAAAACGCTGTCTCAGGCGCCTCTCCAGAATCTCCCATAAGTGTTCAATTGGGTTGAGATCTGGTGACTGAGATGGCCATGGCATATGGTTTACATTGTTTTAATGCTCATCAAACCATATAGTGACCACTCGTGCCCTGAGGATGGGGGCATTGTCATCCTATGGGGGCATAGCCATGGTATCCAAAATAATGGCCTGCCCAGCATTTTTATACATGACCCTAAGCGTGATAGGATGCTAATCGTTTAATTAACTCAAGAACCACACCGTTGTGGAAGCAATTTGTATCCCTCATTTACTCAAGTGTTTTCATTAGTTTGGCAATTACCTGCATAATAGCATTTGTTCAACTACAAATGTGTTTTAAGTGTGTGTTTAGCCTTATTTCTGTGGGAGAGAGCTGCTCATGCAGCCTGTGATGTTTTGACTTGTGTGTTTGGGCGTGTGTGTGTGCATCTTAGTCTGTGTGTGTATCTTTGCAGCATGAGTGTGTGTCTGAGTTGGTCTCTCTCTTTCAGCCGTGCACAAGGAAGTGGTTTACCTACTGTATCTACACCGGAAACTCACACGACACTAACTCCCATCACTCTTTTTCTTCTCTCCACTCCTCTATAGGTGTTCAGTCTATCTCTACAGCCTACCTCTCTGTCTCTCCCTCTGTCTCTCAATGTTAGCCAGGTGTCTGTGTTCACTATGCTCCCCAGGGTAATCTTGAAGGGGAGTCTCATCAAGAAATCTCAACAGAAGCGAAGGACGTCGCCCTGTAATTACAAGGAAAGGTTCTTTGTCTTGGACATCCCAGGACCTGACGTATTCTGAACACCGCCCTGGGGTATGTAACATTTTTATTGTTAAATTGTGTGGTTTGTTTGTTTATTTATCAATTGCTGGCAAGAATGACATGTTGTTGAAATACGTTTACATTTGACACCTCAGCAGTGTCATTTTAAAAATCATATGTTGAGTTATGAAGACATCTTGCTTTTACATGACAGTTACTGTATGGGTGTTGTATTGTTTTGATGTGCAAATATACATGTAAAAGGGGGGGGGGTATACAGAAGATAGCCCTATATTGGATGATCTCTGCATATATATTTCCCACCGTAAAGCATGGAGGAGGTGGTGTTATGGTGTGGGGGTGCTTTTCTGGTGACACTGTCTGTGATTTATTTAAGGCACACTTAACCAGCATGGCTACCACAGCATTCTGCAGCGATACGCCATCCCATCTGGTTTGGGCTTAGTGGGACAATCATTTGTTTTTCAACAGGACAATGACCCAACACACCTCCAGTCTGTGTAAGGGCTATTTTACCAAGAAGGAGAATGATGGAGTGCTGCATCAGATGACCTGGCCTCCACAATCCCCCGACCTCAACCCAAATTGAGATGGTTTGGGATGAGTCGGACCGCAGAGTGAAGGAAAAGCAGCCAACAAGTACTCAGCATATGTGGGAACTCTTTCCTGTTTGGTTACTACATGATTCCATATGTGTTATTTCATAGTTTTGATGTCTTCACTATTATTCTACAATGTAAAAAATAGTGTTTCCAAACTTTTGACTGGTAGTGTATATATATATATATATATATATATATATATATATATATATATATATATATATATACAGTGGGGAGAACAAGTATTTGATACACTGCCGATTTTGCAGGTTTTCCTACTTACAAAGCATGTAGAGGTCTGTAATTTTTATCATAGGTACACCAACTGTGAGAGACGGAATCTAAAACAAAAATCCAGAAAATCACATTGTATGATTTTTAAGTAAATAATTTGCATGACATAAGTATTTGATCACCTACCAACCAGTAATAATTCCAGCTCTCACAGACCTGTTAGTTTTTCTTTAAGAAGCCTTCCTGTTCTCCACTCATTACCTGTATTAACTGCACCTGTTTGAACTCGTTACCTGTATAAAAGACACCTGTCCACACACTCAATCAAACAGACTCCAACCTCTCCACAATGACCAAGACCAGAGAGCTGTGTAAGGACATCAGGGATAAAATTGTAGACCTGCACAAGGCTGGGATGGGCTACAGGACAATAGGCAAGTAGCTTGGTGAGAAGGCAACAACTGTTGGCGCAATTATTAGAAAATGGAAGAAGTTCAAGATGACGGTCAATCACCCTCGGTCTGGGGCTCCATGCAAGTTCTCACCTCGTGGGGCATCAATGATCATGAGGAAGGTGAGGGATCAGCCCAGAACTACACGGCAGGACCTGGTCAATGACCTGAAGAGAGCTGGGACCACAGTCTCTAAGAAAACCATTAGTAACACACTACGCCATCATGGATTAAAATCCTGCAGCGCACGCAAGGTCCCCCTGCTCAAGCCAGCGCATGTCCAGGCTCGTCTGAAGTTTGCCAATGACCATCTGGATGATCCAGAGGAGGAATGGGAGAAGGTAATGTGGTCTGATGAGACAAAAATATAGCTTTTTGGTCAAAACTCCACTCGCCGTGTTTGGAGGAAGAAGAAGGATGAGTACAACCCCAAGAACACCATCCCAACCGTGAAGCATGGAGGTGGAAACATCATTCTTTGGGGATGCTTTTCTGCAAAGGGGACAGGACGACTGCACCGTATTGAGGGGAGGATGGATGGGGCCATGTATCGCGAGATCTTGGCCAACAACCTCCTTCCCTCAGTAAGAGCATTGAAGATGGGTCGTGGCTGGGTCTTCCAGCATGACAACGACCCGAAACACACAGCCAGGGCAACTAAAGAGTGGCTCCGTAAGAAGCATCTCAAGGTCCTGGAGTGGCCTAGCCAGTCTCCAGACCTGAACCCAATAGAACATCTTTGGAGGGAGCTGAAAGTCTGTATTGCCCAGCGACAGCCCCGAAACCTGAAGGATCTGGAGAAGGTCTGTGGAGGAGTGGGCCAAAATCCCTGCTGCAGTGTGTGCAAACCTGGTCAAGACCTACAGGAAACGTATGATCTCTGTAATTGCAAACAAATGTTTCTGTACCAAATATTACGTTCTGCTTTTCTGATGTATCAAATACTTATGTCATGCAATAAAATGCAAATTAATTACTTAAAAATCATACAATGTGATTTTCTGGATTTTTGTTTTAGATTCCGTCTCTCACAGTTGAAGTGTACCTATGATAAAAATTACAGACCACTACATGCTTTGTAAGTAGGAAAACCTGCAAAATCGGCAGTGTATCAAATACTTGTTCTCCCCACTGTATATACACTACTATATATATATATATATATATATATATATATATATATATATATATATATATATATATATATATTGTATACCTAAAGGTGTCCTAAAATTCTAAATCAAATAGCTAAATGATCCATGATATCACCTTCTTAAAACAATTTTTCCAAAAAATCACATTGTAGGATTTTTTATGAATTTATTTGCAAATTATGGTGGAAAATAAGTATTTGGTCACCTACAAACAAGCAAGATTTCTGGCTCTCACAGACCTGTAACTTCTTTTTTAAGAGGCTCCTCTGTCCTCCACTCGTTACCTGTATTAATGGCACCTGTTTGAACTTGTTATCAGTATAAAAGACACCTGTCCACAACCTCAAACAGTCACACTCCAAACTCCACTATGGCCAAGACCAAAGAGCTGTCAAAGGACACCAGAAACAAAATTGTAGACCTGCACCAGGCTGGGAAGACTGAATCTGCAATAGGTAAGCAGCTTGGTTTGAAGAAATCCACTGTGGGAGCAATTATTAGGAAATGGAAGACATACAAGACCACTGATAATCTCCCTCGATCTGGGGCTCCACACAAGATCTCACCCCGTGGGGTCAAAATGATCACAAGAACGGTGAGCAAAAATCCCAGAACCACACGGGGGGACCTAGTGAATGACCTGCAGAGAGCTGGGACCAAAGTAACAAAGTCTACCATCAGTAACACATTTTACATTTACATTTTAGTCATTTAGCAGACGCTCTTATCCAGAGCGACTTACAGGAGCAATTAGGGTTAAGTGCCTTGCTCAAGGGCACATTTACGTCATTTAGCAGACGCTCTTATCCAGAGCGACTACAAATTGGTGCATTCACCCTATAGCCAGTGGGATAACCACTTAACAATTATACTATTTTTTTTTTGTTTTTTATTTATTTATTTATTTATTTATTTATTTTTTTTTGGGGGGGGGGGGGGGGGGGGGGGGGGTAGAAGGATTACTTTATCCTATCCCAGGGGTTCCTTAAAGAGGTGGGGTTTCAAATGTCTCCGGAAGGTGGTGAGTGACTCCGCTGTCCTGGCGTCGTGAGGGAGCTTGTTCCACCATAGGGGTGCCAGAGCAGCGAACAGCTTTGACTGGGCTGAGCGGGAACTATGCTTCCGCAGAGGAAGGGGAGCCAGCAGGCCAGAGGTGGATGAACGCAATGCCCTCGCCTGGGTGTAGGGACTGATCAGAGCCTGAAGGTACGGAGGTGCCGTTCCCCTCACTGCTCCATAGGCAAGCACCATGGTCTTGTAACGGATGCGAGCTTCAACTGGAAGCCAGTGGAGTGTGCGGTGGAGGGGGGTGACGTGAGAGAACTTGGGAAGGTTGAACACCAGACGGGCTGCGGCATTCTGGATGAGTTGTAGGGGTTTAATGGCACAGGCAGGGAGCCCAGCCAACAGCGAGTTGCAGTAATCCAGACGGGAGATGACAAGTGCCTGGATTAGGACCTGTGCCGCTTCCTGTGTAAGGCAGGGTCGTACTCTCCGAATGTTGTAGAGCATGAACCTGCAGGATCGGGTCACCGCCTTGATGTTAGCGGAGAACGACAGGGTGTTGTCCAGGGTCACGCCAAGGCTCTTCGCACTCTGGGAGGAGGACACAACGGAGTTGTCAACCGTAACACACTACGCCGCCAGGGACTCAAATCCTGCAGTGCCAGACGTGTCCCCCTGCTTAAGCCAGTACATGTCCAGGCCCGTCTGAAGTTTGCTAGAGTGCATTTGGATGATCCAGAAGAGGATTGGGAGAATGTCATATGGTCAGATGAAACCAAAATAGAACTTTTTGGTAAAAAACTCAGCTCGTCGTGTTTGGAGGACAAAGAATGCTGAGTTGCATCCAAAGAACACCATACCTACTGTGAAGCATGGGGGTGGAAACATCATGCTTTGGGGCTGTTTTTCTGCAAAGGGACCAGGACGACTGATCTGTGTAAAGGAAAGAATGAATGGGGCCATGTATCGTGAGATTTTGAGTGAAAACCTCCTTCCATTAGCAAGGGCATTGAAGATGAAACGTGGCTGGGTCTTTCAGCATGACAATGATCCCAAACACACCGCCCAGGCAACGAAGGAGTGGCTTCGTAAGAAGCATTTCAAGGTCCTGGAGTGGCCTAGCCAGTCTCCAGATCTCAACCCCATAGAAAATCTTTGGAGGGAGTTGAAAGTCCGTGTTGCCCAGCGACAGCCCCAAAACATCACTGCTCTAGAGGAGATCTGCATGGAGGAATGGGCCAAAATACCAGCAACAGTGTGTGAAAACCTTGTGAAGACTTACAGAAAACGTTTGACCTGTGTCATTGCCAACAAAGGGTATATAACAAAGTATTGAGAAACTTTTGTTATTGACCAAATACTTATTTTCCACCATAATTTGCAAATAAATTCATTAAAAATCCTACAATGTGATTTTCTGGATTTTTTTTCCTAATTTTGTCTGTCATAGTTGATGTGTACCTATGATGAAAATTACAGGCCTCTCCCATCTTTTTAAGTGGGAGAACTTGCACAATTGGTGGCTGACTAAATACTTATTTTCCCCACTGTATGTCAGTTTAGAACCCCCCCCCCCCACCCCCCACAACAGCTTAGAATTTTAAGAATGAACCACAAAATTCTCTTCTGTAGTGTCCAAGAAGCCCCTCCCTCCAACCCCGGACCCACAGGTAAACATGCATGACAAGTCGTCTCTATTTACTTCACTGTGCCTGTAAACGTACAGTATGTTGCTCTGAGTCATATTAATGCTAATGATCAGTGTTTCCCTTACATCGTGCCCATAGCGGCGGCTCTCTGACCCGGGCCAGAGGGTGGTGGTTGTGCTACAGAACTACAGTCCCCATGGAGACACAGAGCTGCCCCTTCACAAAGACCAGGAGTACATCCTGACTGACAGCTCCCACCATGACTGGTGGACCATACAGGACCTCAGAGGGTAAGGAGAGACAGCATAATAACCATATGACAACCCTATGTCAACCCTATGAAAACCCTATGATAACTCTGTGACAACCCCATGACAACCTTATGACAACCCTATGATAACTCTATGAGCCTCTCTGTAATATGTATTAATGGCTGTGTAGTTGTACACAGTAGTCATCCCATTTTGTCCTTTCCTTCAATAGAAACTCAGGTTTTGTACCTTGCGTGTATATAGCGGAAAAATCCTGCAACAACTTCAACAGATTTGAGTGAGTCTGATTTATATCAAATACAATTTTCCTGACTATTTATATAGTGTAAGATAACAATTGTTGTTTGTTGTTTATAATTCCCGTTCTTTTTTTCCCAGATGGTAAAACAAAGACATAGTAAGAGGGAGAGCTGAGGGACTGCTGATGACCAAGGTAAAACAACGCTGACCGTCTTCGGTTTGGTGTTCAACTGTACTACAGAAGCGAGAGGAAAGACACTGTGGGCCTGATTCAATCAAAAAGCAAGGTTATCAGAATTAGAACCAGACAAAACTAAAACTAGAGAGAAAGCATGTTTTTGTTATCCCTAAAAAAGAATATGTGTAAAAATTATGTTTTATTTAATTGATCATGTTTGAGAATGAGATGATCATGTTTTGAATTTATCCTGAAAATCTGGTTACCTGATTTGATTGAATACAATCCTGTATCTTGCCCCAGCAGCACGGATGTAAAAGCTGCATTTTGCAAGATGCATGCACATACACACACACACACACACACACACACACACACACAGAGAGAGAGTGAAACATGACATTTGAAACGGCGGTGCAGTTTGCTCAGGTCCAGGATTTCCTGTGTAAAGGTGTCATGCTGGGTTTTACAGACAGATGAGACAGCGCATGGTGACAGTGGGAGGGTAGGGTTAGGGTTGTGTAGTGTGACGGTGGGAGGGTAGGGTTAGGGTTGTGTAGTGTGACGGTGGGAGGGTAGGGTTAGGGTTGTGTAGTGTGACGGTGGGAGGGTAGGGTTAGGGTTGTGTAGTGTGACGGTGGGAGGGTAGGGTTAGGGTTGTGTAGTGTGACGGTGGGAGGGTAGGGTTAGGGTTGTGTAGTGTGACGGTGGGAGGGTAGGGTTGTGAAGTGTGACGGTGGGGGGGTAGGATTAGGGTTGTGTAGTGTGATGGTGGGAGGGTAGGGTTGTGTAGTGTGACGGTGGGAGGGTAGGGTTAGGGTTGTGTAGTGTGACAGTGGGTGGGAGGGTAGAATGGGTGTTGTGCATTTCAAGCTCCTGTCCTGGGGTGAGTCTCACTGTGTCAAGTCTCATGTCAAGCCTTATTCCCATAATATTCAATATTTCATATTGATTGAAAATGCAACATCCACGTAACTAAAGTATGATATGACATACAACAAATTCTACGTAATGAACTCAACAGATGCAATTGGCATGAATTATACAGAATTGTGACTGATGATTATGATTCATCCTACTCAAATGAAATGTTGTGTTGGTTTGTGCAGGGAAAGGAAGGAACCTTTATGGTGCGAGACTCAGGCATACAGGCGTCTACACTGTGTCTGTCTTCAATAAAGCCCCAGGGTAACTACTGCCTGTTTCAGCCATGTCACTCAGAGACTCCAGGCATGCAGGCGTCTACACTGTGTCTGTCTTCACTAAAGCCCCAGGGTAACTACTGCCTGTTTCAGCCATGTCACTCAGCTTCAATGACAGTCAGTTAAAGGGGCAATCTGTGATTGGTATTTGGACATCCCTAGCTCTGTCTATGAATTTGAAAGTGGTTATATGTCTCCAGCCCCATCCCTCAGCTTTTTACCAAAACAGTGGTGGGTTGGCTGCAAATAATTAAAGCTTTGTTATTGTTTGAACTGCATATTGCCCTTTAAAGATTTTGCTATGACATACAGTAGTTACATGATGATGAACCACATTCAGGTCCAACGGGCAGAAGAACCCGTGGGTGAAGCACTACCAGATCAGAGAGTCAGAGACAGAGGAGACGTCCAAGTTTTACCTGGCAGAGAAATACCTGTTCAGCACCATCCCTGAGCTCATCCAGTACCACCGACACAACGCTGCAGGTAATTAGTTTATCAGCACCATCCCTGAGCTACCTTATACACATGTTTACAGCCAGGCCAGTGTGACCTATTTTGATGTGTACCCAGGTCGTCTGTGTACCACAAAACTGTGTATGTTAGTCCGTTGAGATAAAGCCTAGGCATCTTCAGGTGTCATGTAAGGTTCAACCAGCACATGTGAATCTCCCACAGTAGAGAGGGAAATGGGAGATGAGCATTAATGTAGTGTGAAATGGTTTTATATATTCTATGGTCCCGATGTTCTTCCCTTAGTATAGGGTGCAATCGTTTCCCTGCATCAACATTCTACAGAGGAAACTGCCTGTAAAATAAGAGTTAATGTATTCTATTGTTGAGGCTGAATAGCCTAAAGCCTCTACATTATCTAACTACCGGTATATGCAAATGTAGTTTTGTTGTTTCATCTTGACATTCACCCTGTGTGTGTGTGTGTGTGTGTGTGTGTGTGTGTGTGTGTGTGTGTGTGTGTGTGTGTGTGTGTGTGTGTGTGTGTGTGTGTGTGTGTGTGTGTGTGTGTGTGTGTGTGTGTGTGTGTGTGTGTGTGTGTGTGTGTGTGTGTGTGTGTGTGTGTGTGTGTGTGTGTGTGTGTGTGTGTGTGTGTGTGTGTGGGGGGGGTGTGCTTGCACTCGTGCGAGTGTGTGTTCTCTGCAGGTATGATCATGCGATTGACACATCCTTTCTCTCAGGGTAGAGAGAGCTCTCAGAGCCCTACGGAACTCTCAGAAGGTCAGAGGTCGATCTGCTGCTCCTGCCTCCATGAAGCCAGCAGCCATTTTGTTTGGTTATTGATTATGGAAGTTACCATAGAGATAGTTAGAGGACTCATGTTTGTATCTGTGCCATTATAGCGTCTGTTACAGTATGGGCAGATGAGTCCTCTAAATATCTCTATGGAAGTGATCTAACCCTGAATTTACAAGCATTTCACTACACCCGCAATAACATCTGCTAAATATGTGTATGTGACCAATAAAATTTGATTTGATGACAATTATAAAGATCAAACACAAAGCAGATAACACACCAAACGCTTATATGTTACAGATACGTTTCTGTGTAATGAAGATACACTTAAACAAAACATATGCATGATAGTGCGAATTGGCATGTGTTTTGCTATTCTAAAAGCATTAGGACTGGGATGATATAAGTGGTAATGTAAGGTAGACACCTGCGTAATGAGGTAACCAGGTGTAGCAGCCCCAGGTGTTACCAATAGGCAGGCAGCTCCACCCTGAAAACCTTTCAGACAGGAGGGACCACCTGGAGGAGAATGTGGCAGGCAACCACAGTGTACCATGTTGTGTTCAGGCTTGATGTATTTTCCAATAATTGCATTAGTATGTCATTATTACCTATGCACTCTCTCTCCGCCTCCCCCCTCCCTCTCCCCCTCCCTCTCCCTACCTCACCCTCCAGATCAGTGGAAGGTGGACCCGGCAGAGCTGACCCTGGGTGAGGAAGTGGCCAGCGGTCAGTTTGGCCTGGTACTCCAGGGGCGGTGGAGGGAGCGCAGGGTAGCTGTGAAGATGGTCAGGGAGGGAGCTATGTCTGAGGAGGACTTCAAAGAGGAGGCCAGGGTCATGATGTGAGTGGACCTTATAGTGGAGGGAACATCTTAGAAGACACCCTATTCCCTACATAGTGGACTAATTTAACCAGTCTACTCACGTGAAATGCAGGGCTGAGCCTCAAATGACACCCCGGTCCCATACTATGTAATGAACTACTTTTGATCAGAGCGTGTGTGTGGGTGTTTGTGCATACGTGTGCCTGTGTGTGTGTGTCCGTGTTGCAGGATGCGGTCCCACTGTAAGCTGGTGCAGCTGTATGGTGTGTGTACCCAGCATTCTCCCATGTGTCTGGTGTTTGAGTTGATGGAGCAGGGCTGCCTGTCGGACTACCTCCGAGCCAGGAGGGGGCGTATGTCCCAGGACACCCTACGGGGGATGTGTCTAGACATCAGTGAAGGGATGGCATACCTGGAGAGCAACAACTTCATCCACAGAGACCTGGTAACCCACCCAAAGACACTTTCAGACCTGAACATGTGTGTTTGTGTGAGTGTGTGTGCATGTGCGTGCGTACGTTCTTGCTTGCGTGCGAGCTTGTTTAGTCAAGTCAAGTCACAATTTATTTTAAGTGCATGTCACAAGTCTCAACACACTTTACAGATACAATTTTAATTTATTTATATAAACAAAACACAGAACAACTTAGCATCAAGGAACTGTAAGATATCTCAGCTTGGTGAAGGCCTAGATGTATATTCAGTGATAATGGAGTGTATAGTATATAAGTATATAAGTGTGTGTTCTGAACCCAACCCTCACAGACAGCCAGAAACTGTCTGGTCTCCTACAACAACGTGGTGAAGGTGTCTGATTTTGGCATGACCAGGTGAGTTTGTGACAGACAGGTTTATGACCATTGAGGTTGTGTGTTTTCAATAAAGGCCAGAATATATGGTGATTCAGGATGAAGAGCAGTTGAAGACTTGAACCAGTGACCCACCCTGAGATAACAGGGGAACTACCACCTGTGCATTAAATGGTCAGACTCGGTAGGGGGCTAAGTGCATCTATACATGGAAGCTGCAGAGATGCACATAGATAACCGTGTGTGTCCTCTCCTCTCCTACCAGGTTTGTTCTAGACGACCAGGACACCAGCTCTCAGGGCTCTAAGTTCCCCAGCAAGTGGTCTTCTCCTGAGGTCATCAAGTACTGCAAGTTCAGCAGCAAGTCTGACGTCTGGTCATTTGGTAGATTTAGTAGTTTCTCTCTGAGACTGTTGTGCATTGTCAGACACTGAGCTTCTTCAACTTAGAAACCATTATCATACTAGAGGTATGATGAATGAATGTTGAATCTCCCCTCTCCTACCCTCTTCCTCCCCACTCCTCTCCTCGCCTCCCCTCCCCTTCTCCCCACTCTTCCCCTCTCCTTCTCCCCTCTCCTCCCCACTCCTCTCCTCTCCTGCCCTCCCCTCCTCTCCAGCCCTCCTCTCCTCTCCTGCCCTCCCCTCCTCCCCACTCCTCCCCTCTCCTCCCCACTCCTCTCCTCTCCTGCCCTCCCCTCCTCTCCTGCCCTCCCCTCCTCCCCACTCCTCCCCTCCCCTCCTCTCCTCCAGGTGTGTTTATGTGGGAGGTGTATACGGAGGGGCGTCTGCCCTATGAGAACCGGCCTAATGGTGAGGTGGTGGATGCCCTGAATGCAGGCCTGAGGCTGCTGAAACCCAGACAGGCCCCAGAGGCTGTGCACCTCCTCATGGAGTGGTGCTGGAAGGTGTAGGTGGGAAGGATCTACCTGTTTCACACACACTGTAGCTTACTGACTCACTGGACTGTTAGGTTAGGTTTGTTGGTGGGTGTGGTGTGGTTGTAGTGTGGTGGGTGGGGGGTGGGTGGTTGAGTGGGTGGGGGGGGGGGGGGGGGGGGGTGTAAGGGGGTGTGGTGGGGGTGGGGTGTTGTATGTAGGTGGGGGTGTGGGTGGGTGTGGGGGGGGTGTATGGGTGGGGGTGGGTGTAGGTGGGGTGGGGGGTGGGGTGGGGAGGGGGGGGGTTTGCGTGGGGGGTGTAGTGTGGGTGGTGGTGTGTGGGTGGGTGTAGGTGGTGGTGTGGGGGGGGGTGTTATGGGGGGTGGTGTGTGGGTGTGGTGTAGGTGTGGGGGTGGGTGGCGTTTGGGTGGGTGGTAGTTGGCGGTGTGTGGGTGTGTGTGTGTGTATTAGGCGAGGGGGGGGTTAGTGTGGGGTGCGGTGGGTATTTGTGGGTGCGGTGTAGTGTGTCGGGGGGTGGTCAGTTGGGGTGGGGGGTGTGTAGTGTGGGTGTGTGGTGGTGGTTGTGTGGTATTTATGGGTGGGTTGTAGTGGTGGGTGTGTGTGTGTGTGTATTTATGGTTGGGGTGTATGTGGGGTGTGTGTGTATTTATGGTTGGGTGTAGTGTGGGTGGGTATTTGTGGGTGGGTGTAGTGTGGGTGGGTGTGATACAGTAGACCCAAACTCAGTCCTGGGGACCCCAAGGGATGCACATTTAGTTTTTTCTCTAGAACTACACAGCTGATTCAAATAATCAAAGCTTGATGATGAGTTGATTATTGGAATCAGTGCTAGGGTAAAAAAACCGAAAGGTGCTTCCCTTGGGGTCCCCAGGACCGAGTTTGGGAAGCGTTGCAGTAGACAGACTCACCTTTATCTTACTGATTCAGCTTGGTAGGTTGGTTCACCTGTGCACTTAGTGTAGCATGTGTTTTAAGGATAATGTTCTGGGATTTATGTCTCTTCCTGTGTAGAAACCAGACGACCGTCCATCCTTTGCTCTCCTGCTGCACGAGCTGGCCTCGCTCTCAGACCTCTGAGCCTGAACGGACAAGCTATTCAACCAAACCTGGTCTGCTAACCAGCTATCCGGGGTAAATCATGCTCAACCAAACTGAAGATACTGTACAAAATATACTGTACAAAATATACTGTAGAAAATATACTGTACAAAATATACTGTACAAAATATACTTAGCGAGCTGTGTTTATGTTATTTATTAATTTCCTTCAAGTTTCTATTTACTTTGTAGCAAACCATATTTTTTATAAAATGTAGTTGTCTATTTCTCTTTTGTCTTGATTTCTTGTTTCTGTCTATTGTGTTTCATAAAGCTTACTGTTGTTTGATTTCACTCTCTGTCGCTCAAAGTCTGACTGTCCATCAGGGGGCACACACAACCCATTTACCCACGATGTCATAATGTAGGCTATTCCCATCACCTCTCTACAGACTTCCTTATGTACTAGGATCTCTGTATAGCATGCTACTGCAGTCCTAAAACGAAATAAACACAATGCATAATACTCATTATAGTTAACTTGTCTATACAGTAACTGTAGTGGACTAACTGTAGGTGGTTTTAATGTATTCAGGGTCCTCACGCAGACACACACACTGAGCCCTGATAAAGTATGAACTTATTCTGCTAAATGGCATATTATTATATTATTATTATTATTCTGAGTCTGTGGTTCCAGACAGTCCTACATGCCTGCTCTGGTTGCTGTGACAACAAGGTCTGACTGGGTACAAGTACTGGCATAGTAATACCCTGTCAGGCAGAGAGTACACATAGAATTACATATAGGATCTCTGTGGGAGTATGGACAGGGGCGGTGTGTTCAATAGGGCGATATGGGCGACGCACTGCCAAACGGGAAAAGGAAGGGATTTTTTTTCTAATCAATTATATCACGGCAACAGTAGTTATCAGTGTTGTAATCTAGACGTCTGATCTGCCACAGTGCCACTAAATGTCCAATCAGGCTAAAGTCGTGCTTCAAATGGCCCCCCCCCCTTTTGGACTCCCATGTAAAATCTATTTTTTTCAAATATCAGAGCTTTCAATACAATCTCTATGGGTTTCTGAGGGCTTGCACTTACGCGCTTTCGTCATACGTAACATAACCATGAACGTAACTAAGAAAAGAGCGGGTAGCCTCGTCAATCAATTCACTACTACTATCAAAATGGCTAGGCTTCAGTGCAACTCGATTGTGTCTTTGAAAGAAGTTCCTTTTTGTCGGCGAACAAATGAAGATAAATTGGCAACGAAACAATTAGGACCTCCCAGACCAAATTTAATAATTCAACAGGTTTCTACTAAAGGGGGGAAGTCCTACACCCGAGGATTTTCCAAAAATTGGTACGAACGAAAAACCTGGCTAGCAGGCTGCGATGTAGCTAATGCAGTCTTCTGCTACCCCCTGCTTACTCTTTCACCCTGAAGGCGGCACGGCAGACAGCACCGCTTGGACAGCGACTGGTGTGTAACGGACATGCACCATCTTTCAGGAAAGATTAAGAAACATGAGCTGTCAAAGACCCACATGGATAGCTGTTTGAGATTGTCTGCTTTGGGGAGAGTGAACATTCCCACTCAACTGGATGAGGGATACAGGCTAGCTGTCCGCCGCCACAACGATGAGGTTAGTGTTGATAATCACAAGTTTACTGGAGAACTGAAACTGACAAGGCTGACAAGATAGGACCCTTTTGTCCATTGTTATTGGATAGGAACAGAACTTATAACCAGCTCCTGACCTAAATAGATCTTAGCACAACATTTTACTCAACATATCATATTCCATATTCACTATAACAAATATATTTACTATGACATTAGCAAGAACCGCCACATCCTCAGCCGGCTAATCCAGTGTGTGAAGTTTTGCGGAGTGTTTGAGTTAGCTTTGCGAGGCAAAGATGAAACTGAGGGCTCCACCAACCCTGGTAAGCCAACACTTTTGAGATCAGTCAATAAATGCTTCTGGTATTGACTTATATGCTGCCCCTGTCTTCATGTTGTTGCTGGACATATCTTTTTTTAAATGTGTGTAGGTCACCTAAATCATCAGAAAAATTGCCCCCCCTGAGAATTTTTTCAGGAGCCGCCACTGAGTATGGATATATATACAGTGGGGAAAAAAAGTATTTAGTCAGCCACCAATTGTGCAAGTTCTCCCACTTAAAAAGATGAGAGAGGCCTGTAATTTTCATCATAGGTACACGGCAACTATGACAGACAAATTGAGAAAAAGAAATCCAGAAAATCACATTGTAGGATTTTTTATGAATTTATTTGCAAATTATGGTGGAAAATAAGTATTTGGTCACCTACAAACAAGCAAGATTTCTGTCTCTCACAGACCTGTAACTTCTCCTTTAAGAGGCTCCTCTGTCCTCCACTCCTTACCTGTATTAATGGCACCTGTTTGAACTTGTTATCAGTATAAAAGACACCTGTCCACAACCTCAAACAGTCACACTCCAAACTCCACTATGGCCAAGACCAAAGAGCTGTCAAAGGACACCAGAAACAAAATTGTAGACCTGCACCAGGCTGGGAAGACTTAATCTGCAATAGGTAAGCAGCTTGGTTTGAAGAAATCAACTGTGGGAGCAATTATTAGGAAATGGAAGACATACAAGACCACTGATAATCTCCCTCGATCTGGGGCTCCACGCAAGATCTCACCCCGTGGGGTCAAAATGATCACAAGAACGGTGAGCAAAAATCCCAGAACCACACGGGGGGACCTAGTGAATGACCTGCAGAGAGCTGGGACCAAAGTAACAAAGCCTACCATCAGTAACACACTACGCCGCCAGGGACTCAAATCCTGCAGTGCGAGACGTGTCCCCCTGCTTAAGCCAGTACATGTCCAGGCCCATCTGAAGTTTGCTAGAGTGCATTTGAATGATCCAGAAGAGGATTGGGAGAATGTCATATGGTCAGATGAAACCAAAATATAACTTTTTGGTAAAAACTCAACTCGTCGTGTTTGGAGGACAAAGAATGCTGAGTTGCATCCAAAGAACACCATACCTACTGTGAAGCATGGGGGTGGAAACATCATGCTTTGGGGCTGTTTTTCTGCAAAGGGACCAGGACGACTGATCCGTGTAAAGGAAAGATGAATGGGGCCATGTATCGTGAGATTTTGAGTGAAAACCTCCTTCCATCAGCAAGGGCATTGAAGATGAAACGTGGCTGGGTCTTTCAGCATGACAATGATCCCAAACACACCGCCCGGGCAACGAAGGAGTGGCTTCGTAAGAAGCATTTCAAGGTCCTGGAGTGGCCTAGCCAGTCTCCAGATCTCAACCTTATAGAAAATCTTTGGAGGGAGTTGAAAGTCCGTGTTGCCCAGCGACAGCCCCAAAACATCACTGCTCTAGAGGAGATCTGCATGGAGGAATGGGCCAAAATACCAGCAACAGTGTGTGAAAACCTTGTGAAGACTTACAGAAAACGTTTGACCTGTGTCATTGCCAACAAAGGGTATATAACAAAGTATTGAGAAACTTTTGTTATTGACGAAATACTTATTTTCCACCATAATTTGCAAATAAATTCATTAAAAATCCTACAATGTGATTTTCTGGATTTTTTTTCCTCATTTTGTCTGTCATAGTTGACGTGTACCTATGATGAAAATTACAGGCCTCTCTCATCTTTTTAAGTGGGAGAACTTGCACAATTGGTGGCTGACTAAATACTTTTTTTCCCCACTGTATGTAGATAGATAGATAGAATAGATAGAGATAGATCGACATAAACAGTAGATAGATATAGTAGGGTACCTATGCAGTTATAACTTATTCTATTACATTTCTATACAATCCATTGTATGGTGACTGAATTAAATACTCCAAATATTAGGCCTATACAGTTACGTCATGGACTGGACGCTGTATTCTGTGCAGTTGATGTGATCAAAGTTCAGTTTGACACCATCTGTCCTGGTCACTGGGTCAATGTGGTGCCTGTGCTGTGCATGGTAAGTAAGTAATATCCTGCAATATCCAATCAAATGGACCTGGGGAAGAATGTGAAGCACGCTTCGATGTTGGCCTAACCGCTATGATATCATTTCAAGGGGAATAGTTTGTAGCGATTAGTGATAGATAGGCGACATTGCAAATACATTGTTTCATTTTGACGATACAAAAGCCTCATCGCAAGGCGTTAGAGTGTCGGTCTGTGCAACAACGTTGGCCATATTCAGCACCACAGTTCCATCCTCCCGCCTGTGTGAGTAACTGTCTCTTTAAGGAAATGCACTTGCAGCCATTTTCTGCTCTTTGTGTGGGGTAGATTATAGCGGATAGGCGCTGAGAGAAACGAGATCATCAATCGGGGGAAAGGCCAGAAAAAACGTCAGTAAAACATTGGATTTTCGTCGCGGAGTTCGACATTGTCCGCCCAAATTTTCCTGGACGGACATGCAAATTGCAGGTATGTGCAAAATGTAGCGGAATATGCTGCCAGCGCACGGCAAATATGTGCGGGTAGCCTACGCTCGCTTCTCGACAGTGAGGCTGCGATGGATGTAGAGAACCTGCCGTGTTTCCCATCTCTTGCATGGTGCACCATCATTGTACCATTCGAAGTAATTAACCCGTCCCAGTTTATTTTAAATGTTTACATTGAAAACAAATAAACGCATTGGATTCGATCATTCATTCGTTTTTGCGGCCGTTTGCCTCTTCACTTATTCCGTGATGTGAATGAACCGCCCCGTTATTTCAGGCAGTGTACTGATAGCATCATACTACGAGAGATGGGTGGGGTGGCAGTGGCTATAGGAAAATATGCGTTTTCTTCATTTTTACATGAAAATAGGCTACGGGTGATATGAATAGAAAACAATACATTTTATTGTCTTATAATAAAACATACAACATTTATACAATTATGTTCTGTTATAGTGAAATGTTCCGAGAGATATATTGGCTACAGCTAGTGGAGGTTAGCTCTCTGACATGCTGACTAGACCGGGCGCGCGCCATCGCGTGCATGTTGATTTTGTTCACCCACACCAGACGTGATCAGGACACGCAGGTTGAAATATCAAAACGAACTCTGAACCAACTATATTAATTTGGGAACAGGTCGAAAAGCATTAAGCATTTATGTCAATTTAGCTACTAGCTTGCTGTTGCTAGCTAATTTGTCCTGGGATATAAACATTGGGTTGTTATTTTACCTGAAATGCACAAGGTCCTCTACTCTGACAATTAATCCACAGATAAAAGGGTAAACAGAGTTCGTTTCTAGTAATCTCTCCTCCTTCAGGCTTCTTCTTCTTTGGACTTTATATGGGGATTGGCAACCAACTTTAAGGTGCATTACCCCCACTAACTGGACTGGAGTGTGGACCTCAGTTCATCTTTCAATCACCCACGTGGGAATATGCTCCTAAAAACCAATGAGGAGATGGGAGATGCGGGACTTGCAGCGGGTCACAAATAGAACCAAGTTCTATTTTAGTGCCTGGCTACGCAGACGTTCGTTGACGCATGCGAGCAGTGTGGACGCAATGATTGAATAACATGTATGTGTACATTTACATGCTGTTCTAGACTGATGCACGGATGACAGGTTCACCCTCTTCCATTATGTAGCCTATCGATTCTCTAACCTCAAATTAATACATATTTTTTCCCCACCTCTCAAATAATTAATAGCCATTTTACGTTGTTTGACTGTAACATTTGAAAGGTTTGTTTATTTGGATCCCCATTAGCTTTTGCAGAAGCAGCAGCTAAGTAACAAAACACTGATACACTGATAGACAAGGACAGTCACACTCATTTGAAATGCAATGACAAACAAGACAACAACAAAAATAATACAAACAATAGAACAACAAAAATAATGTGTGTGTTAGTGTGTCTGCATGTGTTTGTGTCCCCTCATAGTCCCGCCGTTCCATGAGTTGTGGTTTAATCCATTTTGTTAAGGTAATTTTTGCTGTTTGCTTGAGTAATTGGAGATGGAAGGGAGTTCCATGCGATCATAGTTCTGTATAAAACTGTGCGTTGCCTCATTCGTTTTGGACTTGGGGACTGTGGAGAGACCTCTGGTGGCATATCTTGTGGGGTATGTATGGATGTTTGAGCTGAATGTTATTTGATTATGTAGACAATATGGAATTTTCGTCACAGTAATATTTCTCATAAAAACTAGAAGAGAAGAAGTTAATCTCTTGTCAACCATCAACCAGGAAAGACTGGCATGCATGTTGTTGATGTTAGTTCTGTATGTGCAGTTAAGGGCAAGGCGTGCTGCTCTGTTTTGAGCAAGCTGCAGCTTTGATAGGTCTTTCTTTGCTGCACTTGACAATATTACCAGACATTAAACAAGATGGGGCAAGACCAGAGCCTTAACAACTAGTACAGTTGATCTTTGTGTCAAAAATACAGGACTTATATTTTACAACAGACATACCTCTCCCCATCTTCACAACAACTTTGTCAATATGACTTGACCATGATAACTGACCATCCAATGTTACTCCTAGGAGTTCAGCTTCCTCAACTTTAACAATGTTCACAACCTTTATGTACAACTCCAGTTGAGGTTTAGGTCTTAGAGAATGTTTTGAACCAAATACAATGCATTTAGTTTTAGATGTATTTAATACCAGTTTATTATTAATCACCCATTCTGATACTGACTGTAACTCCTTATTTAGAATTTCAGTGAGCTCACTGGCTTTGGGTGCTGGCATGTAGAATGTGGAATGATCCGCATACATAGTCATTCTAGCTTTGTGTAAGACCAGTAGCAAATCAAATAGCGAAGAGTAATGGCCCAAGGCAACTGCCCTGAGGGACACCGCACAATACATATCAGATGTTAAAGAAGCTTCCATTGAAGAACACTCTCTGGGTTCTATTGGATAAATGGCTCTCCAACCATGTGATGGCAGGTGATTTACAGCCATAGGAAGTTTGTTTTTACAATAACAATTTATGATCAATAACATCAAAGGCTGCACTGAAATCTAACAATACAGCTCCAACTGTCATCTTATTATCTATTTATTTTAACCAATCATCAGTCATCTGAGTCAGTACAGTACAAGTTGAGTGCCCTTCTCTATACTGTATGCATGCTGAAAGTCTGTAGTTCATTTGTACTCTGAAAAATAGCATTGTATTTGGTCAAACACGATCCTCTCCATCAGTTTACTAAGAACAAGCAGCAAACTGATTGGGCGGCTGTTAGAGCAAGAAAGGGTACTTTACTATTTTTAGGTAGTGGAATTACTTTAGATTCCTTCCACACCTGTGGACACACACCTTTAGAAAACATTTTGTATTACTTTAGGCCCAACCTTTGTCACTTTGGGTTTCCTTGTTATTTCCACAATGTTGTTATCTTCGCAGTTTAGATTATAAATAGTGTTAACACTCAGTTGTTAATTATGCTCTGGTAATGTAAACATTCAGTTACATTGTCATTGTCTGTCCATAAAATAACATCCTTATTGCCGAGAGCCAAATTCTTCACCCACAGTCTACTCTAGTAATCCTCAAATACTTTAAGTACTTGATAGTTAAATGCTTTGTCTGGCACACTGAGAAGATCCTACATTAGTCCTAATTTCTCTTAACTGTTAGGCTAGAAATTAGGACTAATGTAGGATCTTCTCAGTGTGCCAGACAAAGCATTTAACCATCAAGTACTTAAAGTATTTGCGGATTACTAGAGTAGACTGTGGGTGAAGAATTTGGCTCCTGGCAATAAGGGGCGGCGGGTAGGTGGTTCGAATCCCCAAGCCGGCAAGGTGGAAACATCTGCCGTTCTGCCCTTGAGCAAGGCAGTTCACACCCAACAACAACTGTTCCCCGGGCGCCGATGATGTGTACGTCGATTAAGGCAGCCCCCCGCACCTCGCTGATTCAGAGGGGTTGGGTTAAATGCGGAAGACACATTTCAGTTGAATGCATTCAGTTGTGCAACTGACTAGGTATCCCCTTTCCCCTTATGGTCACTACAGCCAATGGAAATTGATATTGCTTTGGAGCAAAGCAATGCAGCGTTAGTGAAAATATGATCAATGCAAGTGGATGTCACAGATCCAACACTATTGGTAGAAAATATACCCCTCTGTTAACATCACACACATTAACAAGCATTGCACACTTCTTATCCAAATATTGACTGTTAGCACTTAGCAGCACTGTTAGCACTTAGCAGCACTGTTAGCACTTAGCAGCACTGTTAGCACTTAGCAGCACTGTTAGCACTTGGTGGCCTATAGCAGCACCCCAAAGAAGAGGCTTTAGATGAGGCAGGTGAACTTGTAACCACAACACTTCAACAGCATTTGACATGAGATCCTCTCTAAGCTTTACAGGAATATGACTCTGAACATATACAGCAACACCTCCCCCATAGGCATTCCTGTCTTTTCTGTAGATATTATCCCTGTATTGGTATTGCTATATCAAAGGAATTATCTAAGTGAGTTTCAGAGATGGCCAGTATATGAATGTTATCCGATGTTAGCAAGTTATTGATTTCATGAACCTTATTTCTAAGGCTACATACAGTGCATTCGGAAAGTATTCAGACCCCTTGTCTTTTTCCACATATTGTTACATTACAACTTTATTCTAAAATTGATTTTAAGTGAAGGGGTCAGAATACTTTCCGAATGCACTGTATATTAATATGGGCTAGCCCTTTCCTTGGTAGCTTATTGGAGATGGACTGAATAAATATATGTGTGTGTGATGTTGGGCTGAAGCTACTGAAAGATGAAGGATTCATTTATATTTGATCAACCAATTCCTAAACCAATTGTGTGGGTAGCCACTACACTTGCTGAAGGCTGACATCATCACTGTGTTCATATAGACATTCTCAGATGCTATCTGACCCCCTGTCTCCAGTCCTATTGGTTTATTCCCTCTCAGTTCTTGAACAATTATGTGATAAACTGAGCACTGATTCATTGGTGATAGCATGGCCAATTATCAATAACCACCACCTTGAATCCCAACCATAGAACTAGTAATCTACGCACTACACTACCACTACCTTGAGTTTATTTAAACCCGAGGAAAGGGGCCTACTAGGCAACAACATTCCATCTCTATTCTCTGAACCTGTCACTAGGCTGGGTCATGTGACCTTCCAAATGTATTTTGCTCGTGAATATTCATGAGGTATGTATTGTTGTTAGTTGGTTGGAATGGAGATTCATGACATGATGAGGGAGTTACTGTTGTAGTGGGAGGGTAGGTGTGTGCCCCCCCCCCCCCCCCCCCCCCCCCCCCCCCCCAGTCCAAACCATAATCTCTCCCTGAATATGAATTCCTCTGTCTGTGTTCCACCATGTCACTCATAAACAGACCCTATATTCTCCATTTGTGTGTGTGTGTGTGCGCACGTACCTCGTGCGCTCAGTGTGAGACGAGGATGGTAGCACATTTTGAGGATGCCCAGAGGGGAACCCATTGAGTGATGTTACCCGGATGTGACACTCTCTCTCTCTCTCTCTCTCTCTCTCTCTCTCTCTCTCTCTCTCTCTCTCTCTCTCTCTCTCTCTCTCTCTCTCTCTCTCTCTCTCTCTCTCTCTCTCTCTCTCTCTCTCCCTGCCTTAGACTAGCTTCTCCTTCTGTACAGGGCTGGAAGTGATAAAGGATGGCTTGGATAGAGATATCTATTTCACCACTCCCCCTCCTCCAACACTCACTCCCCCTCCTCTTACATTCACTCCTCCTACACTCAGTCCCCCTCCTCCTACACTCAATCCCCCTCCTCCCACACCCCCTCCTCCTCCTCCTACACTCACTCCTCCTCCACTCCTCCACATCCTCCTCTTCCTACACTCACTCCCCCTCCTCCTACACTCACTCACTCCTCCTCCACCTACTCTCACTCCTCCTCCGTCTACAGTCAGTTGTCCTCCTCCCACACTCACTCCTCCTTCTTCCATCCACTCCTCCTCCTCCTACTCTCACTCCTCCTCTGCCTACACCCACTCCTCCTCCTCCTACACTCCTCCTCCGCCTCCTCCTACTCTCACTCCTCCTCTGCCTACACCCACTCCTCCTCCTCCTACACTCCTCCTCCGCCTCCTCCGCCTCCTCCTACTCTCACTCCTCCTCTGCCTACACCCACTCCTCCTCCTCCTATACTCCTCATCCGCCTCCTCCTCCTCCTCCTCCTCTCACTCCTCCTCTGCCTACACTCACTCCTCCTCCTCCTACACTCAGTCCCCCTCCGCCCCCTCCCACTCCTACTCTTCTTTTTTCAGATTTCCACATAATCTATCAATTAGGGCTGACCCCAATTATTCGACTGGTCGATTGTTTGGTTGATAGGCTGCTGTTCGACCGAGATTTTTTAGTTGAGCAGTATCATATATATATATATATATATATTATATACTACCAGTCATAGTTTGGACACACCTACTCATTCAAGGGTTTTTCTTTATTTTTTTTACAATTCTTTACATTGTAGAATAATAGTGAATACATCAAAACTATGAAATAACACATATGGAATCATGTAGTAACCAAAAAAGTATTAAACAAATCCAAATATCTTATATTTGAGATTCTTCAAATAGCCACCCTTTGCCTTGATGACAGCTTTGCACACTTGACATTCTCTCAACCAGCTTCACCTGGAATGCTTTTCCAACAGTCTTGAAGGAGTTCCCACATATGCTGAGCATTTGTTGGCTGCTTTTCCTTCACTCTGCCGTCCGACTCATCCCAAATCATCAGGTCATCTGATTCAGCACTCCCTCACTCTCCTTCTTGGCTAAATAGCCCTTACACATCCTGGAGGTGTGTTGGGTCATTGTCCTGTTAAAAAACAAATGATTGTCCCACTAATCCGAAACCAGATGAGATGGCGTATCGCTGTAGAATGCTGTGGTAGCCATGCTGCTTAAGTGTGCCTTGAATTCTAAATAAATCACAGACAGTGTCATCAGCAAAGCACCCCCACACCATAACACCTCCTCCTCCATGCTTTACGGTGGGAAATACACATGCAGAGATCATCCGTTCACCCACTCCGCGTCTCACAAAGACACAGCGGTTGGAACCAAACATCTCCAATTTGGACTCCATACCAAAGGACACATTTCCACCGGTCTAATGTCCATTGCTCGTGTTTCTTGGCCCAAGCAGGTCTCTTCTTCTTATTGGTGTTCTTTAGTAGTGGTTTATTTGCAGCAATTCCACCATGAATATGAAAAATGTATGCACTCACTAACTGTAAGTCGCTCTGGATATGAGCGTCTGCTAAATGACTAAAATGTAAATGTAAATGAAAGCCTGATTCACACAGTCTCCTCTGGACAGTTGATGTTGAGATGTGTCTGTTACTTGAACTCTGTGAAACATTTATTTGGGCTGCAATTTCTGAGGCTGCTAACTCTAATGAACTTATGCTCTGCAGTAGAGGTAACTCTGGGTCTTCCATTCCTGTGGTGGTCCTCATGAGAGCCAGTTTCATCATAGTGCTTGATGGTTTTTGCGGCTGCACTTGAAGAAACCTTTGAAGTTCTTGAAATGTTCCGTATTGACTGACCTTCATGTCTTATAGTAATGATGGACTGTCATTTCTCTTTGCTTATTTGAGCTGTTCTTGCCATAATATGGACTTGGTCTTTTACCAAATATCTTCTGTGTACCCCCCCTACCTTGTCACAACACAACTGATTGGCTCAAACGCGTTAACTTTTAAGAAGGCACACTTGTTATTTGAAATGCATTCAAGGTGACTGCCTCATGAAGCTGGTTCAGAGAATGCCAAGTGTGTGCAAAGCTGTCATAAAGGCAAAGGGTGCCTATTTGAAGAATCTAAAATCTAAAATTATTCTACAATGTAGAAAATAGTAAAAATAAAGAAAAACCTTTGAATGAGTAGGTGTGTCCAAACCTTTGACTGGTACTGTATATATAAGTTTGGACACACCTACTCATTCAATGATTGTTCTACATTGTAATAATAGTGAAGACATCAAAACTATGAAATAGCACATATGGAATCTTGTAGTAACCAAAAAAGTGTTAAACACATAAAAATACAGTGGGGAAAAAAAGTATTTAGTCAACCACCAATTGTGCAAGTTCTCCCACTTAAAAAGATGAGAGAGGCCTGTAATTTTCATCATAGGTACACGTCAACTATGACAGACAAAATGAGGGAAAAAAATCCAGAAAATCACATTGTAGGATTTTTTATGAATTTATTAGCAAATTATGGTGGAAAATAAGTATTTGGTCACCTACAAACAAGCAAGATTTCTGGCTCTCACAGACCTGTAACTTCTTCTTTAAGAGGCTCCTCTGTCCTCCACTCGTTACCTGTATTAATGGCACCTGTTTGAGCTTGTTATCAGTATAAAAGACACCTGTCCACAACCTCAAACAGTCACACTCCAAACTCCACTATGGCCAAGACCAAAGAGCTGTCAAAGGACACCAGAAACAAAATTGTAGACATGCACCAGGCTGGAAAGACTGAATCTGCAATAGGTAAGCAGCTTGGTTTGAAGAAATCAACTGTGGGAGCAATTATTAGGAAATGGAAGACATACAAGACCACTGATAATCTCCCTCGATCTGGGGCTCCACGCAAGATCTCACCCCGTGGGGTCAAAATTATCACAAGAACGGTGAGCAAAAATCCCAGAACCACACGGGGGAACCTAGTGAATGACCTGCAGAGAGCTGGGACCAAAGTAACAAAGCCTACCATCAGTAACACACTACGCCGCCAGGGACTTAAATCCTGCAGTGCCAGACGTGTCCCCTTGCTTAAGCCAGTACATGTCCAGGCCCGTCTGAAGTTTGCTAGAGTGCATTTGGATGATCCAGAAGAGGATTGGGAGAATGTCATATGGTCAGATGAAACCAAAATATAACTGTTTGGTAAAAACTCAACTCGTCGTGTTTGGAGGACAAAGAATGCTGAGTTGCATCCAAAGAACACCATACCTACTGTGAAGCATGGGGGTGGAAACATCATGTTTTGGGGCTGTTTTTCTGCAAAGGGACCAGGACGACTGATCCGTTGTAAAGGAAAGAATGAATGGGGCCATGTATCGTGAGATTTTGAGTGAAAACCTCCTTCCATCAGCAAGGGCATTGAAGATGAAACGTGGCTGGGTCTTTCAGCATGACAATGATCCGAAACACACCGCCCGGGCAACGAAGGAGTGGCTTCGTAAGAAAGTCTGTGTTGCCCAGCGACAGCCCCAAAACATCACTGCTCTAGAGGAGATCTGCATGGAGGAATGGGCCAAAATACCAGCAACAGTGTGTGAAAACCTTGTGAAGACTTACAGAAAACGTTTGACCTGTGTCATTGCCAACAAAGGGTATATAACAAAGTATTGAGAAACTTTTGTTATTGACCAAATACTTATTTTCCACCGTAATTTGCAAATAAATTCATTAAAAATCCTACAATGTGATTTTCTGGATTTTTTTTCCTCATTTTGTCTGTCATAGTTGACGTGTACCTATGATGAAAATTACAGACCTCTCTCATCTTTTTAAGTGGGAGAACTTGCACAATTGGTGGCTGACTAAATACTTTTTTTCCCCACTGTATATGTTATATTCTTAAAAGTAATCACCCTTTGCCTTGATGACAGCTTTGCACACGCTTGGCATTCTCTCAACCACCTTCATGAGGTAGTCACCTGGAATGCTTTTCCAACAGTCTTGAATGAGTTCCAATATATGGTGAGCACGTAATGGCTGCTTTTCCTTCACTCTGCTGTTCAACTCATCCCAAACCAAATCTGATGCAGCACTCCATTAAAAAAACAAAACAATTATTATTATTTAACCTTCATTTAACTAGGCAAGTCAGTTAAGAACAAATTCTTATTTACAATGACGGCCTACCCCGGCCAAACCCTCCCCTAACCCGGACGATGCTGGGCCAATTGTGCGCCGTCCTACGGGACTCCCGGCCACAGCCGGTTGTGGCACAGCCCGGGAATGAACCCGGGTCTGTAACGCCTCTAGCACTGCGAGAACCATGGTTTGGTGGAACGTTGATGGAATATTTTCCCTCAGAAAATTCTGAGAACATTGTAACCACGTTCTAGAGAAGTTTGGTGTGACATTAAGGGAATGTTCTCCTAACTTTAACACCAAAACATGCAAAAAGGTTTTAGCTAACATAGATAGAATGTTCCCCTAACTAACGTAAAACGGGACACTCAAACATTACGGGAACATTACGGGTAACATTACAAAAATGTTCTCTCCCTAGAATTGTTAGCTGGGCTCTCCCCTCGTCACCCTCTCCCCTCGTCACCATCTCCCCTCGTCACCATCTCCCCTCCTCACCATCTCCCCTCCTCACCATCTCCCCTCCTCACCCTCTCCCCTCGTCACCCACTGCCCTCCTCACCCTCTCCCCTCCTCACCCACTGCCCTCCTCACCCACTCCCCTCGTCACCATATCCCCTCCTCACCCACTGCCCTCCTCACCCTCTCCCCTCGTCACCCTCTCCCCTCCTCACCCACTCCCCTCGTCACCCTCTCCCCTCGTCACCATCTCCCCTCGTCACCATCTCCCCTCGTCACCCTCTCCCCTCGTCACCCTCTCGCCTCGTCACCCTCTCCCCTCGTCACCCACTCCCCTCGTCACCCTCTCCCCTCGTCACCCTCTCCCCTCGTCACCCTCTCCCCTCTTCACCCTCTCCCCTCCTCACCCTCTCCCCTCGTCACCCACTGCCCTCGTCACCATCTCCCCTTCTCACCCTCCTTCGTCTCCCTTACTGTTCCTTCTTCTAGCTGGAGGAAATTAAGCCGATTATCAGGCATGTCAACCCCTGTCTGTCAGAATAGAGTTAAAAACACACTCCTGAGAGGCACATGATGTAGAGGCCAGGCGCTAGGCCCCGTGCCAGACACAGTGTGTTGTACTAAATGTCACCCTATTTCCTATATAGTGCACTATGTAGGGGATAGGGTGCCATTTGGGACACCATACTGTGTCTGGTTCCTACTCAGACCCAGACCAGACTGGCTGTAAGGGTATATAGTCTTCTAAACAGTGTGATATACACACTATATACACAGTGTGAAATACTGTAATCGATTGATTGATTAGCCTTTTTGCAACTAGGAACACCTTTCAGCAGTGCTGTTTGGGTTAGCTATTGATGTGCCTTTCCGCCTGATTTTTGTCAATCTTCAATCAAGTGTTAATTACCTACCTGTCTGCATGTGAATTAGCCTACTCAGCTGTTTGATTTCAGTGCAGAGCAGACAGAACCCAATGCTGTCATGTATACCAGTGTGCTACGCACATTCAGCAGTCTCATGTCTGACCGACAGTTAAACACAGGCAATTTACTGCTGTTCTCTTCTGTCTCTGGGAAGAATGACAGCGTTGTCTAGCATTAGAACATGTCTTCTTCTCACTATTGTCTTTTCATGGTGTCACAAAGGTTGTTTGTCTGATGACATTTATCTGGCAGTTGTAATAGGGAAACATGCCATGCCCAGTGCCCACACTCTCCCACACTGTGTTGAGATAGACAGGGAAGCAGACAGACAAACGTACAGGTATAGACACGCGGGTGCACAGACAGACAGACAGATGTACAGGTTACAGGTGCACATACCTACAGATATTTGCTGTAGCAAGTGGTTCCTAAAGAGGAAATGAGAGTGAATACCAGACAATGTATGACAGTTCTCATGGTGGAAGGAATCTATACTGGTTTATAGATAGTATTTGTCCTCTTTTTTTTACTGAGAGGTTGTGGTTTGCCTCTCTCTCTCTCTCTCTCTCTCTCTCTCTCTCTCTCTCTCTCTCCCTATCTCTGTATATATCTCCCTCTCTCTCTCTCCCTCTCTCTCTCTCCTCTCTCTACTCCTATCTCTCTTATCTATCTCTATCTATAGCTTCTCTCCACTCTCTGTGTATCTCTCTCTCTTCTCTACCTCTCTCTATATCCTCTCTCTCTCTCTCTGTATTAATATATCTCTCTCTCTACTATCTCTATCCTACCTCCCTCTATCTCTATCTCTTTATCTCTTATTCTCTCTTCTCCCTCCTTCTCTCTCTCTTTCCTCTTATCTCTCTCTTTCTCTCCTCTTTCTGTCTCTCTCTCTGTCATCTCTCTATTGTCTTCTCTCTCCTCTCTCTCTCTCTCTCTCTCTCTCTCTCTCATTCTTCTCTCTCTTCTCTGTTCTCTCTGTCAGACTGGCCGGTTGTGGAGTGACCTCTTTGTAGGCCATGACGCTACCCACGTGAACCGGGAGGATGCTCTGTCTAACGTGGGATTGTTGGGGAGCTGCCCCTCCCTGACCAGGCAGCCCTGCATCGAACCTCCGCCTCATCCATCATGTACAGGTACACACACACACACACACACACATCTGAGTTTTCTAATTCATTGCAAGAGTACTAAACTCCTCTTTCTCTCTCTCTTTCTTGTTCTTTCTAGGCTAACTTTGACACAAACTTTGAGGACAGGAATGCGTTTGTGACGGGGATAGCTCGCTACATCGAGCAGGCTACTGTCCACTCTAGCATGGTGAGGAAGCAACAGGGAGGGATTGGTTTGGAACGGGGCCGAGGGAGAGGACTGAGGGAGCGGTTTGGAATTGGGCCTCTGTGCTTTGTGGACACAGGGATACTTTTGTTTTTCAATGGGAACAGTTAGGGAATGGTTCTCAGACCCCTAGCATCCTTATTCTCTCTTGGCTAACACACACACACACACACACACACACACACACATTCACACACACACACCCGCCACAACAGAGCCTTGTGTTTTTGGTGTTTGGGTGTTTTATCGTCGTTTTCGCACTGAGGCTTTGGCCTTGTTAGCAGTTTCAGTTGACACAAACACACACACACACACACACACACACACTCTAAGGGAGACAATAGGCTAGACTTCCTCTTCCTGAATGTAATGAATACGGAGTGTGATTTGACTGACAGAGGAGGAAACTCTCTTAAATAAACTTGATTTTAAATCAGGAAGTTCCATTCAGATAAATGATCTTTTTTGATTTTATCACACTATTTTAATAACCATTTTATGTTTGAAACATACCTGTGAAGATGAATTAAGATAATATGCATACATTTTGTGTTGTATGTCTAATGCATATTAACCCCTTTGTCTGTTCTCTCTCCCCAGAATGAGATGCTGGAGGAGGGCCATGAGTACGCTGTCATGCTCTACACCTGGAGAAGCTGCTCAAGAGCTATACCACAGGTAACTCACTTTCTCTCTCTCTCTCTCTTTCTCTCTCTTTCTCACTCTCTCTCTCTCTCTCTTTCTCTCTCTCACTCGCTCTCTCTCTTTCTCTCTCTCAATGTCGCTCTCTCCTCACTTTCAAACAATCACAAGATAGTGAAAGCATTGACAAAGAAATAGACTTGGGCTGCATCCAGATTGCCATACCTTCATACCGATCTTGTGACATCCCGGGATATTCGGTAATACCGGCACTGAACATAAGGGGTGCTGTTTTTAAACCCCACTGAGCCTCTGTAATCTGCATTTTATACAGTCTCTGACCTAAACTATTTGCAAGACAGACATCCCAGCTCATAAAGTTATACAAATAACAAAAAAATGCTACTCACAGTTTGCTGAACGTACAAAGCAAATATTAGACAGCAAGGCCCTTGATCCAGGAGGGGATTCTCTGCTGTTACCAAGCGATGCTTGATTTTGGAAGAAGCTAACCACTTAGCTAGATAGCTAACTAGCTACTAAATTAGCAAACCAAATGCACAACTGCAGAGCATTTAGCACATTTTAGACAGTTAACTTAATAGTTATAAGATATCTAGCTGGCAAACATTTAGTTGTGAATTCCATACTGTAACTAGATCACCTGGCGTGTGCTGCGCAACAGTGAGTGACTCAAAAGGCTCCGGTCTCTCGTCGTTTTGTGCTTGTTAACAAACCCCACGTGACTGGGGACTACCGGTAAACTTCATAATGAAAAATTATGTGACAGGTGAAATGAAGAACGCGATCTTCTTTATCTTTTAACGTATTGCACATTTTGTCTGAAGGCATTTACATAAAAAGCACTTACAAATATTCAAATGTATTAACAAACTTCAAAGAAATAGCTTCAATGGTATTGAAAAACAATCCATTGGCTATTTCCAAATACTCCGGTATACGGTAAATCCCGTATACTGCCCAAGCCTACTCTGCAATGAGAAGGGTGAAGGGTGTTCTCTCAATAACCCTCGACTTCACCACACGTTCCTCATCTGTCTTGTTCTCACTTCAACAGTTCAACCCTAAACATGCAAATTAGTCTATTTTCACCACATCACTACCCACTCTACAACCACAGTCTACTTTACAGGTAACTGCCAAAATAAAGGAAACACGCGAGTAAATGAGTGATACAAAGTATTTTGAAAGCATGTGCTTCCACACAGATGCGGTTCCTGAGTTAATTAAGCAATTAACATCCCATCATGCTTAGGGTTATGTATACAAATTCTGGGCAGGTCATTATTTTGGCCATTATTTTGGCAGTTGTAGAATCTACGCCAAGGTGCATTGAAGCTGTTCTGGCTCATGGTGGCCCAACACCCCATTAAGACACTTAATGTTGGTGTTTCCTTTATTTTGGCAGTTACCTGTATATCAGCCAGAAAGGGAACCAATCATGGGAAATGCAAATAAAACATCACAAATCACCCAGAGAAACAGTTACATTTCATTTCACATTTCTCTAGTATAGGCTACTTATCGTATTGAACGTGATAAGTGATCGGTGTGGTTGGTGTTGATCATTTTCGGTTTATCATCCCAGCTCTAGTTAGGGGGATCTGCTCCTAGATCTGTGATACTGGCTAGGGACACTGTGATGTGGGTTGTTCCAGTGAGCAGGCTGTGTGACGCCGCCCCCCTGTGTTCTCCAGGTGAAGTGTAACGAGCAGCCCAACAGGGTGGAGATCTATGAGAAGACAGTGGAGGTGCTGGAACCAGAGGTCACCAAGCTCATGAAGTTCATGTACTTCCAGGTGAGAGACCATTGATGGATTGATAAATAAATAAATAAATAAATAAATTAATAAAATGAATGAACAACCTAATGTATCATATTTGAATTGGAACTCTGTCAGTCAATCATATCCTTGTCCCTTGAATGACGCAATGAAACAAATGCACGAATAAACAAATAAATGAGTCCTAGTACCAGTCAAAAGTTTTAGAACACCTACTCATTCTTTATTTTTACTATTTTCTACATTGTAGAATAATACTGAAGATGTCAAAACTATGAAATAACGCATATGGAATCATGTAGTGACCAAAGAAGTGTTAAACAAATCAAAATATAATTTATATTTGAGATTCTTCAAATAGCCACCCTTTGCCTTGATGACAGCTTTGCACATTCTTGGCATTCTCTCAACCAGCTTCATGAGGTATTCACCTGGAATGCGTTTCAATTAACAGGTGTGCCTTGTTAAAGTTAATTTGTGGAATTTCTTTCCTTCTTAATGGATTTGAGCCAATCAGTTGTGTTGTGACAAGGGAGGGGTGGTATACAGAAGATAGCCCTATTTGGTAGAAGACCAAGTCCATATTATGGCAAGAACAGCTCAAATAAGCAAAAATAAATGACAGTCCATCATTGCGTTAAGACATGAAGGTCAGTCAATCCGAAAAATGTCAAGAACTTCAAAGGTTTCCTCAAGTGTAGTCGGAAAACCATCAAGAGCTATGATGAAACTGGCTCTCATGAGGACCGCCACAGGAAAGGAAGACCCAGAGTTACCTCTGCTGCAGAGGATAAGTTCATTAGAGTTAACTGCACCTCAGATTGCAGCCCAAATAAATGCTTCACAGAGTAACAGACACATCTCAACATCAACTGTTCAGAGGAGACTGCGTGAATCAGGCCTTCATGGTTGAATTGCTGCAAAGAAACCACTACTAAAGGACACCAATAAGAAGAAGAGACCTGCTTGGGCCAAGAAACACGAGCAATGGACGTTAGACCGGTGGAAATCTGTCCTTTGGTCTGATGAGTCCAAATTTGAGATTTTTGGTTCCAAACGCTGTGTCTTTGTGAGACGCAGAGTAGGTGAACGGATGATCTCTGCATGTGTGGTTCCCACCGTGAAGCATGGAGGAGGAGGTGTGATGGCTTGGGGGTGCTTTTCTGGTGACACTGTCAATGATTGATTTAGAATTCAAGGCACACTTAACCAGCATGGCTACCACAGCATTCTGCAGCGATACGCCATCCCATCTGGTTTGCGCTTAGTGGGACTATCATTTGTTTTTCAACAGGACAATGACCCAAAACACACCTCCAGGTTTTGTAAGGGCTATTTGACCAAGGAGAGTGATGGAGTGCTGCATCAGATGACCTGGCTCCACAATCACCCGACCTCAACCCAATTGAGATGGTTTAGGATGAGTTGGACCGCAGAATGAAGGAAAAGCAGCCAACAAGTGCTCAGCATACAGTGGGGAGAACTGCCAGTTTTGCAGGTTTTCCTACTTACAAAGCATGTAGAGGTCTGTAATTTTTATCACAGGTACACTTCAACTGTGAGACGGAATCTAAAACAAAAATCCAGAAAATCACATTGTATGATTTTTAAGTGATTAATTTGCATTTTATTGCATGACATAAGTATTTGATCACCTACCAACCAGTAAGAATTCCGGCTCTCACAGACCTGTTAGTTTTTCTTTAAGAAGCCCTCCTGTTCTCCACTCATTACCTGTATTAACTGCACCTGTTTGAACTCGTTACCTGTATAAAAGACACCTGTCCACACACTCAATCAAACAGACTCCAACCTCTCCACAATGGCCAAGACCAGAGAGCTGTGTAAGGACATCAGGGATAAAATGGTATACCTGCACAAGGCTGGGATGGGCTACAGGACAATAGGCAAGCAGCCTGGTGAGAAGGCAACAACTGTTGGCGCAATTATTAGAAAATGGAAGAAGTTCACGATGACGGTCAATCAACCTTGGTCTGGGGCTCCATGCAAGATCTCACCTTGTGGGGCATCAATGATCATGAGGAAGGTGAGGGATCAGCCCAGAACTACACGGCAGGACCTGGTCAATGACCTGAAGAGAGCTGGGACCACAGTCTCAAAGAAAACCATTAGTAACACACTACGCCGTCATGGATTAAAATCCTGCAGCGCACGCAAGGTCCCCCTGCTCAAGCCAGCGCATGTCCAGGCCCATCTGAAGTTTGCCAATGACCATCTGGATGATCCAGAGGAGGAATGGGAGAAGGTCATGTGGTCTGATGAGACAAAAATAGAGCTTTTTGGTCTAAACTCCACTCGCCGTGTTTGGAGGAAGAAGAAGGATGAGTACAACCCCAAGAACACCATCCCAACCGTGAAGCATGGAGGTGGAAACATCATTCTTTGGGGATGCTTTTCTGCAAAGGGGACAGGACGACTGCACCGTATTGAGGGGAGGATGGATGGGGCCATGTATCGCGAGATCTTGGCCAACAACCTCCTTCCCTCAGTAAGAGCATTGAAGATGGGTCGTGGCTGGGTCTTCCAGCATGACAATGACCCGAATCACACAGCCAGGGCAACTAAGGAGTGGCTCCGTAAGAAGCATCTCAAGGTCCTGGAGTGGCCTAGCCAGTCTCCAGACCTGAACCCAATAGAAAATCTTTGGATGGAGCTGAAAGTCCGTATTGCCCAGCGACAGCCCCGAAACCTGAAGGATTTGGAGAAGGTCTGTATGGAGGAGTGGGCCAAAATCCCTGCTGCAGTGTGTGCGAACCAGGTCAAGACCTACAGGAAACGTATGATCTCTGTAATTGCAAACAAAGGTTTCTGTACCAAATATTAAGTTCTGCTTTTCTGATGTATCAAATACTTATGTCATGCAATAAAATGCAAATTAATTACTTTAAAATCATACAATGTGATTTTCTGGATTTTTTTTACCTATGATAAAAATTACAGACCTCTACATGCTTTGTAAGTAGGAAAACCTGCAAAATCAGCAGTGTATCAAATACTTGTTCTCCCCACTGTATGTGGGAACTTCTTCAAGACTGTTGGAAAACCATTCCACATGAAGCTGGTTGAGAGAATGCCAAGAGTGTGCAAAGCTGTCATCAAGGCAAAGGGTGGCTACTTTGAAGAATCTCAAATATAAAATATATTTGTTTAACACTTCTTTGGTTACTACATGATTCCATATGTGTTATCAATGTAGAAAATAGTACAAATAAAGAAAAACCCTGGAATGAGTAGCTGTGTCCAAACTTTTGACTGGTACTGTATCTGAGACCTCTTCTCTCTCTGTCGTCGCCTTTTCCCCTGTCCTCTCCTGCAGCGTAAGGCCATCGAGCGTTTCTGCGGGGAGGTGAAGCGTCTGTGCCACGCTGAGCGGAGGAAAGATTTTGTTTCTGAAGCCTACCTCCTCACCCTGGGCAAGTTCATCAACATGTTCGCTGTGCTCGATGAACTCAAGAACATGAAGTGCAGCGTCAAGAACGACCACTCTGCCTATAAAAGGTACAGAGGGAAGACAGACACAATATCAAATCAAATCAAATGAAATTGTATTTGCCTCATGCGCCGAATACAACAGGTGTAGACATTACAGTGAAATGCTTACTTACAAGCCCTTAACCAACAATGCAGTTTTTTAAAGAAACATTTAAAATTTAAAAAAGTGTTAATTATAGAAAAATAAAAAATAAAAGCAAATAACTAAAGAGCAGCAGTCAAAATAAATTATCAGTAGGTAGGCTATATACAGTGGGGTACCAGTACAGAGTCAATGTGTGGGGGCACTGGCTTGTCGAGGTAATTGAGGTCATATGTACATGTGGGTAGAGTTAAAGTGACTATGCATAATTAATAAACAGAGTAGCAGCAGCGTAAAAGAGGGGGATGGGGTGGGGTGGGGGGGCAGTGCAAATAGTCCGGGTAGCCATGATTAGCTGTTCAGGAGTCTTATGGCTTGGGGGTAGAAGCTGTTGAGCAGCCTTTTGGACCTAGACTTGGCGCTCCGGTACCGCTTGCCGTGCGGTAGCAGAGAGAACAGTCTATGACGAGGGTGGCTTGAGTCTTTGAAAATGTTTAGGGCCTTCCTCTGACACCGCCTGGTATAGAGGTCCTGGAAGGCAGGAAGCTTGGCCCCAGTGATGTACTGGGCCGTACGCACTACCCTCTGTAGTACCTTGCGGTCGGAGGCGGAGCAGTTGCCATACCAGGCGGTGATGCAACCAGTCAGGATGCTCTCGATGGTGCAGCTGTAGAACTTTTTGAGGATCTGAGGACCCATGCCAAATCTTTTCAGTCTCCTGAGGGGGAATAGGTTTTGTTGTGCCCTCTTCATGACTGTCTTGGTGTGTTTGGACCATGATAGTTGGTTGGTGATGTGGACACTAAGGAACTTGAAGCTCTCAACCTGTTCCACTACAGCCCTATCGATGAGAATGGGGGCGTGCTCAGTCCTCTTTTTTTCCCACAATCATCTCCTTTGTCTTGATCATGTTGAGGGAGAGGTTGTTATCCTGGCACCACACGGCCAGGTCTCTGACCTCCTCCCTATAGGCTGTCTCATCGTTGTCGGTGATCAGGCCTACCACTGTTGTGTTGTCGGCAAACTTAATGATGGTGCTGGAGTCGTGCCTGGCCATGCAGTCATGGGTGAACAGGGAGTACAGGAGGGGACTGAGCACGCACCCCTGAGGGGCCCCAATATGGGGGTGCGTCTCAATAGCCTGCAGTGGCTTCCTCTCCCTATCACCTCTCCTGCACCTGCACTGATCCTGAAAACACAGGATAGGGGAAAGCAGTGTAGTAGAGGCTAAGGGGAATTTGCTTTCACCTTGTTCCTTCACATTAGCTCAAATGATGGAAAAGTGACAGAGTGAAGGGCCAATTTATATCACTATTGAGATGCACCCAATTGACTCATGTAAAACCGAAGCTGTGAGGTGCTGCTACAGAATTAGTTCTGTGGTATTATTTGTGTTTGTCAACTATTGAGGAAGTTGATTAAACCATTCCAACGTTTCTGCAACTTCCTCCCCCTAACAAGCAACGTTTCAAATGGTCTACCTCTTGTGGCTTTGAGTCAGTGACTTTTATCACAGAGACATTTTAAACCAGAAGCTGTGTGGTGTGGCTACAGCATTAGATCTGTGGGATTATTTGTGTCTTCAGGGCAGCTCAGTTCCTGAGGAAGATGGCCGACCCTCAGTCCATCCAGGAGTCACAGAACCTCTCCATGTTCCTAGCCAATCACAACCGGATCACTCAGGTGTGTGTTGTGTGTGTGTGTGTTGTGTGTGTTGTGTGTGTGTGTGTGTGTGTGTGTTGTGTTGTGTGTGTGTGTGTTGTGTGTGTGTGTGCAGTAGCATAATTGGTGTGTATATTTCCCTCTGTAGTGTCTGCAGCAGCAGTTGGAGGTGATTCCTGGCTATGAGGAGTTGTTAGCAGACATCGTCAACATCAGTGTTGATTACTATGAGAACAAGATGTACCTGACGCCCAGCGAGAAACACATGCTGCTCAAGGTAATCGCCTCGTCTAGCTCTCTCTTACCTGCCTTTCTCTAGATACCTGTCTCTGTCTGAATCTCAACTACCTTCATTCTCTAGATACCTGTCTCTGTCTGGATCTCAACTACCTTCATTCTCTAGATACCTGTCTCTGTCTGGATCTCAACTACCTTCATTCTCTAGATACCTGTCTCTGTCTGGATCTCAACTACCTTCATTCTCTAGATACCTGTCTCTGTCTGGATCTCAACTCCTTCTTTCTCTAGATACCTGTCTCTGTCTGGATCTCAACTACCTTCATTCTCTAGATACCTGTCTCTGTCTGGATCTCAACTACATTCATTCTCTAGATACCTGTCTCTGTCTGGATCTCAACTACATTCATTCTCTAGATACCTGTCTCTGTCTGGATCTTAACTCCTTCTTTCTCTAGATACCTGTCTCTGTCTGGATCTTAACTACCTTCTTTCTCTAGATACCTGTCTCTGTCTGGATCTTAACTACCTTCTTTCTCTAGATACCTGTCTCTGTCTGGATCTTAACTCCTTATTTCTCTAGATACCTGTCTCTGTCTGGATCTTAACTACCTTCTTTCTCTAGATACCTGTCTCTGTCTGGATCTCAACTACCTTCATTCTCTAGATACCTGTCTCTGTCTGGATCTCAACTACCTTCATTCTCTAGATACCTGTCTCTGTCTGGATCTCAACTACCTTCATTCTCTAGATACCTGTCTCTGTCTGGATCTCAACTACCTTCATTCTCTAGATACCTGTCTCTGTCTGGATCTTAACTCCTTCTTTCTCTAGATACCTGTCTCTGTCTGGATCTTAACTACCTTCTTTCTCTAGATACCTGTCTCTGTCTGGAACTTAAAATGCTAATAGCCTCCTTACTCCTGCTAACTAGTCCTCAACTGTAGCTTCCAGTAGTGTTCAGAATATGTAGAGTTATTTCTGAATGTCCATCAAATATCATTGATCCAGCTTTGTGTAATATCACCCTGTGTGTGTGTCAGGTGATGGGTTTCGGTCTCTATCTGATGGACGGTAACGTCAGTAACATCTACAAACTAGACGCCAAGAAGAGGATCAACCTGGGAAAGATCGACAAGTTCTTCAAGGTCAGTGTGTTTGTGTGTGTGTGTGTGTGTGTGTGTGTGTTTGTGCTCCACACCAAAACAGCCATCTAACTTTTCCTTGTGGCCCCGTCTGTACTTCCACACCAATATGATATTCTTCGATCACACTCCTATCCTGACTGAAGCCCTTTCTCTGTGTGTGTGTCTTGTTTGACCCATTCAGCTCCAGGTGGTGCCTCTGTTTGGAGACATGCAGATAGAACTGTCACGCTACATAGAGACCAGTGCTCACTATGAGGAAAACAAGTCTAAGTAAGAACATCATCCATCTTTAAACTCACAAACTCTGAAAACTCATAAACTCAGACCTCTAACAAGTCCTGAACCCCAGCCCCTAACCCACAGGTGTAAAACTCAACCCCCTTCACCTAACCCACCGGTGTCAAACTCAATCCCAGCCCCTAACCCACAGGTGTCAAACTCATTCCACAGAGGGCCGAGTGTCTGCGGGTTTTCACTCCTCCCTTGTACTTGATTGATGAATTAAGGTCACTGATTAGTAAGGAACTTAAGGTCTTAATTGGACACAAATTTAAAGGAAATAGCAAAAACCAGCATACACTCGGCCCTCCATGGAATGAGTTTGACACCCCTCCCCTAACCCCTGACTGTCCTATAGGTGGACGTGTACCCGGAGCTCCATCTCTGCCCAGTACAACCTGTGTGAACCCTGACCTCTAACCTCTGACCTCTCTCCTACAGGTGGACGTGTACCCAGAGCTCCATCTCTCCCCAGTACAACCTGTGTGAGCAGATGGTTCAGATTCGTGACGACCACATCCGGTTCATCTCTGAGCTGGCTCGCTACAGTAACAGTGAGGTAGTGACCGGGTCAGGCCTGGACAGTCAGAAGTCAGACGAGGAGTACAGGGAACTGTTTGACCTGGCACTCAGAGGGTTACAGCTGCTGTCCAAGTGGAGCACACACGTCATGGAAGTGGTGAGTAGGGAAACGGTGTGTGTGTGTGTGTGTGTGTGTGTGTGTGTGTGTGTGTGTGTGTGTGTGTGTGTGTGTGTGTGTGTGTGTGTGTGTGTGTGTGTGTGTGTGTGTGTGTGTGTGTGTGTGCGTGCGTGTTTATGTCAAAGAAGGGGCAGTGTGTAGTCCGTGCTTGGTCCCATACATTTTCTTTTGTAATCAGTTATTTTAATTAATTAAGTGATTCTATTTCTACCTGGTCCTGTGATTTTCAGTTTCCTCTGACACCATATTCTCTCCCTCAGTACTCATGGAAGTTGGTCCACCCGACAGATAAGTTCTGTAACAAGGACTGTCCCGGCACAGCGGAGGAGTATGAGAGAGCTACACGTTACAACTACACCTCAGAGGAGAAGTTTGCCCTGGTCGAGGTCATCGCCATGATCAAGGGGCTGCAGGTCAGAAACACATACTGTACTTACACAGAGCTTTGTCATGACATCGTTGGGAAGCTTACAGAATAGTAACATACAGTGGTTTGCGAAGGTATTCACCCCTCTTGGCATTTTTCCTATTTTGTTGCCTTACAACCTGGAATTAAAATGGATTTGTTTTGGGTTTGTATCATTTGATTTACACAACATGCCTACCACTTTGAAGATGCAAAATATGTTTTATTGTGAAACAAACAAGAAATAAGACAAAAAACTGAAAAGTTGAGCGTGCATAACTATTCACCCCAGCAATCTTTAAGTCATACCACAGATTCTCAATTGGATTGAGGTCTGGGCTTTGACTAGGCCATTCCAAGACATTTAAATGTAATCCCCTTAAACCACTCGAGTGTTGCTTTAGCAGCATGCTTAGGGTCATTGTCCTGCTGGAAGGTGAACCTCCGTCCCAGACTCAAATCTCTGGAAGACTGAAACAGGTTTCCCTCAAGAATTTCCCTGTATTTAGCGCCATTCATCATTCCTTCAATTCTGACCAGTTTCCCAGTTCCTGCCGATGAAAAACATCCCCACAGCATGATGCTGCCACTACCATGCTTCACTGTGGGGATGGTGTTCTCGGGGTGATTAGAGGTGTTGGGTTTGCGCCAGACATAGCGTTTTCCTTGATGGCCCAAAAGGTCAATTTTAGTCTCATCTGACCAGAGTACCTTCTTCCATATGTTTGGGGAGTCTCCCACATGCCTTTTGGCGAACACCAAACGTGTTTGCTTATTTTTTTCTTAAAGCAATGGCATCCGTGGGATGTTCAAAGTTTCAGATATTTTTTTATAACCCAACCCTGATCTGTACTTCTCCACAACTTTGTCCCTGACCTGTTTGGAGAGCTCCTTTGTCTTCATGGTGCCGCTTGTTTGGTGGTGCCCCTTGCTTAGTGGTGTTGCAGACTCTGGAGCCATTCAGAACAGGTGTATATATACTGAGATCATGTGACAGATCATGTTACACTTAGATTGCACACAGGTGGACTTTATTTAACTAATTCTGTGACTTCTGAAGGTAATTGGTTGCACCAGATCTTATTTAGGGGCTTCATAGCAAAGGGGGTGAATACATATGCACGCACCACTTTTCCGTTATTTATTTTTTGATTTTTTGGAAATAAGTTATTTTTATAATTTCACTTCACCAATTTGGACTATTTTGTGTATGTCCATTGCATGAAATCCAAATAAAGATCAATTTAAATTACAGGTTGTAATGCAACAAAATAGGAGAAACGCCAAGGGGGATGAATACTTTGGCAAGGCACTGTCGCATAATTTCACCACTGTGGGTCTTGATTGAAATGTGGCAACATTGGTGGTGGTGATGATGGTGGTATCTGTCACGATCGTCATAATGAGTGGACCAAGGCGCAGCGTGATATGCGTACATCTTTTTAATAGTGTACTGGCAACACGATACAAAATACAAAACAACCAAACGAAACGTGAAGTCCTCGGTTAACAACACAAACCAACACGGAACACGATCCCACAAAACACAAGTGCACAACAGGCTGCCTAAGTATGGTTCCCAATCAGAGACAACAAGCAACAGCTGATTCTCGTTGCCTCTGATTGAGAACCACCCCGGCCAACCTAGAAAACACATGAACTAGAAACTGAACATAGAACACAAAACATAGACCCTACACACCCTGGCTCAACATATAAGAGTCCCCAGAGCCAGGGCGTGACAGTATCTGTGTTGTAGGTGTTGATGTTGATGATGATGATGATGATGGTATCTGTGTTGTAGGTGTTGATGTTGATGATGATGATGATGATGATGGTATCTGTGTTGTAGGTGTTGATGGGTCGTATGGAGAGCGTATTCAACCAGGCCATAAGGAACACCATCTATGCAGCCCTGCAGGACTTTGCCCAGATGACCCTCAGAGAGCCTCTACGTCAGGCCGTACGCAAGAAGAAGAACGTTCTCATCAGGTAACAAACTGATGCCTGCACTCATTCTTGTTTAACTATTAACACATTTCAGGCAAGAGAACCTCCTAAGATGTACTGTAACATCTTATTTTCTAGGTGGTCTTGATAAAAAACACCTTGAAAAAAAGGCTAAAGTCCCCTCAAAGGCTCATGTGTGCATACGGCACAATTCTCACTGTTTGCTAGACAGAAGAACCATGGACCTTTCATAGTCAGCTAGATGGCGTCCTAAATGGCACCATATCCCCCATAGGCCCTGGTCTAAAGTAGTGCACTATATAGGGAATAGTGTACCATTTGTGACACACGGATAGTCATTCCCTATGATGCTGATTATCTGATAACCCTCTGTCTCTCTCTAGTGTCCTGCAGGCAATCCGTAAGACCATCTGTGACTGGGAGGGGGCTCGGGAGCCTCCCAATGACCCCTGTCTCAGGGGGGAGAAGGACCCCAAAGGAGGGTTCGACATCAAGGTGCCCCGCAGAGCTGTGGGACCCTCAAGCACACAGGTACACCAGGAGAGAGAGAGAGCGGCAGGGAGAGAGGGGTAACAGAGGGCTAGGGGAATTAGGAAGAGGGGATGGAATAGACTGATGTTGCTCAGGGATAGAGGCAGGCTGTAGGGACAGGATCAAGTACAGGGACTTTGTAGGGGAATGGAAAGAATATCAAGTATTATTTTGTCGTTTCTCTCTCTCTCCCTCCCTAGCTGTACATGGTTCGTACCATGCTGGAGTCGTTGATAGCCGATAAGAGTGGTTCTAAGAAGACTCTACGCAGCAGTCTGGACGGACCAATAGTACTGGCTATAGAAGACTTCCACAAACACTCCTTCTTCTTCACACACCTGCTCAACTTCAGTGGTATGTACACTCACACACACACACACACACAGTCTTGTACAGCTAACCTTGTGGGGACACACAATTCAGTCCCATTCAAAATCCTATTTTCCTAAACCCCTAACCCTAAACCTAATCCTAACCTGTACTCTTACCTTAACCCAAAAACCTAACCTTAACCCTAACCCTAACCTTAACCCTAAACCTAACCCTAGCTCTTAGCTGTAACCCTTAACGTAATTGTAACCCTAACCTTAACCCTAAACCCCCTAGAAATAGCATTTCACCTGGTGTTTGTTTACTATTCTTGTGGGGACTTCTGGTACACACACACACACACACACACACACACACACACACACACACACACACACACACACACACACACACACACACGGTCATGCTTCCTTACAATACCACCCTCAATCATTTGATCACCATCAATCCTCACCTTCTTCATCTTTTTTGCTTTCCTTCCCCTCCCATCCTGTAATGATATCATGTTATTAACCTCCTGTAATGATATCATGTTATTGACCTGTAATAATATCATGTTATTGACCTCCTGTAATAATATCATGTTATTAACCTCCTGTAATGATATCATGTTATTGACCTCCTGTAATAATATCATGTTATTGACCTCCTGTAATAATGTTATTCACCTCCCGTCCTGTAATAATATCATGTTATTGACCTCCTGTAATAATATCATGTTATTCACCTCCCATCCTGTAATAATATCATGTTATTCACCTCCCGTCCCGTAGAGGTGCTGCAGCACTGCTGTTACTACCTGTTTAACACCCTAAAGTCTGTCTAATTAGCATAATAAAAAAATCCCCATAAAAATCTTTCAGTTTAAGTTAGAGATATTTTTTTGCATTGGATGCGTCTCAATCCACCACATCTGCCTATGTCGCAATTCCGCATCTGCGGTGAAAGGTAACAGAGCCAGAGCGGTGTTTGTTAGACCATGAGACATCCCCAAAATCTGTCTTCTCACAAAACCATCTGTAGCGCCCGAACGGTTTTGGCCTACGACCTCCACAAGTTTCAGGAGACTCGTCTGAAGTCAGTAGAGCCGATCTGCCAACTTCTGTCTGTAGCGTCTGAACCGTTTGGGCTATACACTAATATGGCGAGACTCTCACGAACATGTACATATCGGTTGTTTTGCTCGAGGACGCCCACAGTCCTCACAAGACTCATCTGAAGGTCTGAAGGTCTCCCGGTTCCAGTTGAGAAAATGAATGGAACTATATATGGAGACTGTTTTAATGCCCAAAATATGAGGTTAAACACATGTAAAATATATACAGTGAGGGAAAAAAGTATTTGATCCCCTGCTGATTTTGTACGTTTACCCACTGACAAAGACATGATCAATCTATAATTTTAATGGTAGGTTTATTTGAACAGTGAGAGACAGAATAACAACAAAACAATCCAGAAAAACGTTTGCATTTTAATGAGGGAAATAAGTATTTGACCCCTCTGCAAAACATGACTTAGTACTTGGTGGCAAAACCCTTGTTGGCAATCACAGAGGTCAGACGTTTCTTGTAGTTGGCCACCAGGTTTGCACACATCTCAGGAGGGATTTTGTCCCACTCCTCTTTGCAGATCTTCTCCAAGTCATTAAGGTTTCGAGGCTGACGTTTGGCAACTCTAACCTTCAGCACCCTCCACTGATTTTCTATGGGATTAAGGTCTGGAGACTGACTAGGCCACTCCAGGACCTTAATGTGCTTCTTCTTGAGCCACTCCTTTGTTGCCTTGGCCGTGTGTTTTGGGTCATTGTCATGCTGGAATACCCATCCACTACCCATTTTCAATGCCCTGGCTGAGGGAAGGAGGTTCTCACCCAAGATTTGACGGTACATGGCCCCGTCCATCGTCCCTTTGATGCAGTGAAGTTGTCCACCCCCAAAGCATAATGTTTCCACCTCCATGTTTGACAGTGGGGATGGTGTTCTTGGGGTCATAGGCAGCATTCTTCCTCCTCCAAACACGGCGACTTGAGTTGATGCCAAAGAGCTCCATTTTGATCTCATCTGACCACAACACTTTCACCCAGTTCTCCTCTGAATCATTCAGATGTTCATTGGCAAACTTCAGACGGGCACGTATATGTGCTTTCTTGAGCAGGGGGACCTTGCGGGTGCTGCAGGATTTCAGTCCTTCACGGCGTAGTGTGTTACCAATTGTTTTCTTGGTGACTATGGTCCCAGCTGCCTTGAGATCATTGACAAGATCCTCCCGTGTAGTTCTGGGCTGATTCCTCACCTTTCTCATGATCATTGCAACTCCACGAGGTGAGATCTTGCATGGAGCCCCAGGCAGAGGGAGATTGACAGTTATTTTGTGTTTCTTCCATTTGCGAATAATCACACCAACCGTTGTCACCTTCTCACCAAGCTGCTTGGCGATGGTCTTGTAGCCCATTCCAGCCTTGTGTAGGTCTACAATCTTGTCCCTGACATCCTTGGAGAGCTCTTTGGTCTTGGCCATGGTGGAGAGTTTGGAATCTGATTGATTGATTGCTTCTGTGGACAGGTGTCTTTTATACAGGTAACAAGCTGAGATTAGGAGCACTCCCTTTAAGAGTGTGCTCCTAATCTCAGCTCATTACCTGTATAAAAGACACCTGGGAGCCAGAAATCTTTTTGATTGAGAGGGGGTCAAATACTTATTTCCCTCATTAAAATGCAAATCAATTTATAACATTTTTGACATGCGTTTTTCTGGATTTTTTGTTGTTATTCTGTCTCTCACTGTTCAAATAAACCTACCATTAAAATTATAGACTGATCATTTATTTGTCAGTGGGCAAACATACAAAATCAGCAGGGGATCAAATACTTTTTTCCTTCACTGTATTTATATATATATATATATATATATATATATATATATATATATATATATATATATATATATATATATGATGTTATTGACCTATATATACACAAGGCTGGGATGGGCTACAGGACAACAGGCAAGCAGCTTGGTGAGAAGGCAACAACTGTTGGCGCAATTATTAGAAAATGGAAGAAGTTCAAGAAGACGGTCAATCACCCTCGGTCTGGGGCTCCATGCAAGATCTCACTTCGTGGGGCATCAATGATCATGAGGAAGGTGAGGGATCAGCCCAGAACTACACGGCAGGATCTTGTCAATGATCTCAAGGCAGCTGGGACCACAGTCTCAAAGAAAACAATTGGTAATATGTATTAATTGGTAACACACTACGCTGTGAAGGACTGAAATCCTGCAGCACCCGCAAGGTCCCCCTGCTCAAGAAAGCACATATACAGGCCCGTCTGAAGTTTGCCAATGAACATCTGAATGATTCAGAGGAGAACTGGGCGAAAGTGTTGTGGTCAGATGAGACCAAAATCGAGCTCTTTGGCATCAACTCAACTCGCCGTGTTTGGAGGAGGAGGAATGCTGCCTATGACCCCAAGAACACCATCCCCACCGTCAAACATGGAGGTGGAAACATTATGCTTTGGGGGTGTTTTTCTGCTAAGGGGACAGGACAACTTCACTGCATCAAAGGGACGATGGACGGGGCCATGTACCGTCAGATCTTGGGTGAGAACCTCCTTCCCTCAGCCAGGGCATTGAAAATGGGTCGTGGATGGGTATTCCAGCATGACAATGACCCAAAACACACGGCCAAGGCAACAAAGGAGTGGCTCAAGAAGAAGCACATTAAGGTCCTTGAGTGGCCTAGCCAGTCTCCAGACCTTAATCCCATAGAAAATCTGTGGAGGGAGCTGAAGGTTCGAGTTGCCAAACGTCAGGCTCGAAACCTTAATGACTTTGAGAAGATCTGCAAAGAGGAGTGGGACAAAATCCCTCCTGAGATGTGTGCAAACCTGGTGGCCAACTACAAGAAATGTCTGACCTCTGTGATTGCCAACAAGGGTTTTGCCACCAAGTACTAAGTCATGTTTTGCAGAGGGGTCAAATACTTATTTCCCTCATTAAAATGCAAATCAATTCATAACATTTTTGACATGCGTTTTTCTGGATTTCTTTGTTGTTATTCTGTCTCTCACTGTTCAAATAAACCTACCATTAAAATTATAGACTGATCATGTCTTTGTCAGTGGGCAAACGTACAAAATCAGCAGGGGATCAAATACTTTTTTCCCTCACTAATATATATATATATATATATATATATATATATATATATATATATATATATATATATATATATGTATATGTATGTGTATATATATATATGTATGTATATGTGTTTCCTGATCATTCTTATATCTCTCAGATATAGGAGATACACTTCAGAACAAACTTCCTTTTGATATGTAGTGAATCTGTATGGGCTAATAGCAGTAAGACCAAAGAGATTTTAATAAAACAAATATTTCTATATATTTTGGGGATACTTCAAGGAGTCTTAAAATTCAAAATGAAATAGCTTAATGATCCTTGGTATGACCTTCTTAAAACATCAATAGATATTGTTGGAATTTTTTTGTCACTCAAATATCACATTAGACATGACAAAATGTGTAGAATTGCAGGAAATAAGCTTTAAACCTGCAAAATTCTCTCCACCAACAAGAGCGGTGTGAACAGTTTGTGTCATGAACAGTGCTTGTGCCCATAGAAATAGACGTGTCCCGCGCACGCAGGGGATGTTCCCCAATGCTGGAAGGGGAGCCCTGAGTGAAAAAGTTTAGGAACCCCTGCTGTAGAGGCGCTGCAGCACTGTTGTGTCCTGTCTCAGCTGTGGTTCAGAGAGTTCTTCCTCTAATAATATCATGTTATTCCCTTCCTGTCCTCCAGAGGCGCTGCAGCACTGTTGTGTCCTGTCTCAGCTGTGGTTCAGAGAGTTCTTCCTCTAATAATATCATGTTATTCCCTTTCTGTCCTCCAGAGGCACTGCAGCACTGTTGTGTCCTGTCTCAGCTGTGGTTCAGAGAGTTCTTCCTCTAATAATATCATGTTATTCCCTTCCTGTCCTCCAGAGGCACTGCAGCACTGCTGTGACCTGTCTCAGCTGTGGTTCAGAGAGTTCTTCCTGGAGCTGACCATGGGTCGCAGGATCCAGTTCCCCATCGAGATGTCCATGCCCTGGATCCTCACAGACCACATACTGGAGACCAAGGAGCCATCCATGATGGAGTGAGACACTGTTTAGACCACTGTGTGTGTGTGTGTGTGTGTGTGTGTGTGTGTGTGTGTGTGTGTGTGTGTGTGTACACGCGCGTGCAGGTGAGAGAGAGGAAGTGATGGAGAGGGAGAAGGAAAGTGATGGACAGATAGTGTTTGTTTGTCTCTCTGTTGTCATTGTGTCCATACTGAGTCTGTCTGTGTTTAATGTGCCTGCTGATGCCGTCCTGCATGTTTCTCCCAGGTATGTGTTGTACCCTCTGGACCTCTACAATGACAGTGGCTACTACGCTCTGACCAAGTTCAAGAAACAGTTCCTCTACGATGAGATAGAGGCTGAGGTAAACTAGCACGAAACAAAGATGGCCGCCTCAGAAATCAAGTAATGACAAGTCATTTATCACCGATCACTACAAGAATAGTGTGAGTTACGGATGCTGCTTTTCCTACAGGTGAACCTGTGCTTCGATCAGTTTGTCTACAAACTGGCAGACCAGATATTTGCCTACTACAAAGCCATGTCTGGAAGGTAAGAGACGGATGGAGACACCATAGAAAACAGATACAAGACTGAATCATGTTGATGGGGGGGAATTAAATCAAGCAGTGAATGATGTTGTGTGTTTTGCTCCACAGTGTCCTCCTGGACAAGCGTTTCAGGGCGGAGTGTAAAAACTATGGTGTGATCATCCCCTACCCCCCTTCCAACCGTTATGAGACCCTGCTCAAACAGAGACACGTACAGGTAGGTCTGTCATACACCTCCCTGTCATACACCGCCCTGTCATACACCGCCCTGTCATACACCTCCCTGTCATACACCGCCCTGTCATACACCGCCCTGTCATACACCTCCCTGTCATACACCTCCCTGTCATACACCGCCCTGTCATACACCGCCCTGTCATACACCGCCCTGTCATACACCGCCCTGTCATACACCTCCCTGTCATACACCTCCCTGTCATACACCGCCCTGTCATACACCGCCCTGTCATACACCGCCCTGTCATACACCGCCCTGTCATACACCGCCCTGTCATACACCTCCCTGTCATACACCTCCCTGTCATACACCGCCCTGTCATACACCGCCCTGTCATACACCGCCCTGTCATACACCGCCCTGTCATACACCGCCCTGTCATACACCGCCCTGTCTTACACCTCCCTGTCATACACCGCCCTGTCATACACCGCCCTGTCATACACCGCCCTGTCATACACCGATAATTTTTAGTGGGACTGATTTTAATTTTTAACATAAAATCACACAACCTCTCTCTTCCTCTCTTTACCTCTCCTCTCGCTCCTCCTCTCTTTTCTCTCCTCATCTCTTCCCCCTCTCTCTCCCTTCCTCTCTCCTCCTCTCTTCTCTCTCCCCCTCTTTCTCTCCTCTCTCCCTTCCTCTCTCCTCCCTCTCTCCTCCCTCCCTCTCTCTCTCATCCTGTCCTCTCTCTCCAGCTCCTGGGTCGCTCCATCGATCTGAACCGTCTGATCACCCAGAGGATCTCAGCAGCCATGTACAAGTCTCTGGACCAGGCCATCAGCCGCTTTGAGAGTGAAGACCTCACCTCCATAGTGGTGAGAACACCAGGGCAGGGGCATACTGTAACTTTTGGTTCAACCTTCCAAAAACACAAACACAAAACCAACAAAAACCCCCAAAAATCCCCGCCCCGGGGGAAATGTACCTTCAGGTAGCATTTCTGGGCAAGGCCTTTGGGAAAATTTTAAACACCAGGATCATTTAAAGGGCCCCTCCCGACATTGGGCATATGCTCCATGGCCCCAAAAAAACCCAAAAACGGGAAAAGGGGAAAACCGACCCCGGAGAGGGGAGAGATAAAAAGGAAAAGAGAGGAAAGAAGAGAAAATTTGCCCGCGAAAATAAAAAAAGGAAGGAAAAACGAAGAGCGAGGAGAAAGGGGGAGAAAAAGGGAGAGAGAGGAGGAAAAAAAAAGGGAGCGAAAAAGGGAGAGAGAGAGAGAAAAAAAAAAATGGGGGAAACCGAGGAAAAGAAAAAAGAGGAAGGGAAAAAAAAAGGGGAAAGGTTGAAGGGAAAAAAAACGGAGGAGAAAAAAAAAAGCAAAAAAAAGGGAGAAAAAAAAATTTGAGAGGGGGAGGAAAAAAAAGAAGGGGAGAGAGGAAAAAAAAGAAAAGGGAAAAAAAGAGAGAGAGAGAGGGGAGGGGAGAGGAGAAAAAGAAAAAAAAGAGATATATAAAAAAATATTAAAAAAATAAAAAAATTAAAATATATAAAAAATATATTTTATATAAAAAAATTTTATATATAAAAAAAATATATAAAAAAATATAAAAAAATAATATATAAAAAATATCTAAAAAATTTTAAATATTAAAATATAATAAAATTTATATAAAAATAATAAAAAAAATTTTTTTTTAAATTTTCTTTTTAAATATTAATTTAAAATAATATTTTAAAAATTTTTAAATTTTAAAAATTTATTTTTAAAAAAAAATTTAATATTTTTTAAAAATTTTTTAAAAAAAAAAATTTAAAAAATTATTTTTTTAAAAAAAATTTTAAATTAAAAAATTTTTTATTAATTTTAAAAAAAATTTAAAAAAATTTTTTCTTTTTTTAAAAAATTTTTTTTAAAATTTTTTAAAACTTTCCCCCTTTTAAAAAATTTTTTATTAATTTTAAAAAAATTTTTTTAAAAAATTTTTTTTAAAAAAAATTTTTTTTAAAAAAAATTTTTTTAAAAAAATATAAATTTTTTTTTTTTTATTTTTACCCCCCCTTTTTTTTTTTTTTCTTCCCCCCCCCCCCCTTTTTTTCTTTCTCCCCCCAACCCCATTCTTTTTTTTTTTTTTTTCCCCAAAATTTTTTTTTTTTTCCCCCCCCCCCCCCTTTTTCCCCCTTTCCCTTTTTTTCTTTAAATTTTTTCCTCTTTTTTTCTTTTTTTTCCCCCCTTTTCCCCTTTTCTTCCTCCCCCTTTTCCCTTTCCCCCCCTTTTTAAAAATTTTTCCCCAAAAAACCCCTTTTTCCCACCATTTCCTTTTTTTTCCCCCCTTTGTCGCCTCCCCCTTTTCTTTTCTCTCCCCCCCTTCCTTTTCTTTATCCCCCCCGTTCCCCGGGCCCCCCCCCTGTCCGCCCCCCCCCTTTCCCCCCTTTTCCCTTCAAAAAACCCCCCCCGCCCCTCCCCCCCCATTTCCTCTCTCTCTCACCTATTCTCGCTCGCTCTCACCCTCTCTCGCTCTCTCTCACCCCACTTCTCTCTTCTCTCTCTCACTCTCTCTCACACCTCTCTCTCTCTCACCTCTCTCTCTCACCCCCCTCTCTCTCTCTCTCTCTCTTGCGCTCTCTGTTAGATTAATTTGTATTTTAAGAATAATGACTAAAGGATTTCACCCCAAATACAGTATAAATGTGTGAACTGTGTTAGAATTATAATGTATTGTCAACCTACTAACAGAGGGGGGTGGGAATAAACATTCCAGGGTGAAGGGGACTGAGAAAACGGGTTACAGGGGGCCTCCTAGAGGTGGGCGGAGCAGGGTGCCTTTGTGTGTCGAGGTATAAAACAGGAGTGTATGTGTTTTGGGCGCCAGAGCTCTCCATGAATAAAAATACAGATAATCTTTGTTGGTTGTGGACCTTGAATCATTTATGATTAAAACCAGAGCCTTACAACCTCTGGTAATGATTCAAGCTTAGGTTGAATTAGAGATAGAAATTCTCTTAACACTCTCTCACCCACTTCTCTCTCGCTCTCTCTCTCTCTCTCTCTCTCACCCACTTCTCTCTCGCTCTCTCTCTCTCACCCACTTCTCTCTCTCTCTCTCACCCACTTCTCTCTCGCTCTCTCTCTCTCTCTCTGTCTCTCTCCCTGTCTCTCTCTCCCTCTCTCTCTCTCTCTCTCTCTCTCTCTCTCTCTCTCTCTCTCTCTCTCTCTCTCACACCATTCCCCCCATCAGGAGTTGGAGTGGCTGATGGACATCAACAGACTGACTCATCGTCTGCTCTCGAAGCACATGACCCTGGACAGCTTTGACGCCATGTTCCGCGAGGCCAACCACAATGTGTCCGCCCCCTACGGACGCATCACGCTCCATGTCTTCTGGGAACTAAACTTTGACTTCCTCCCTAACTACTGCTACAACGGCTCCACCAACCGGTCAGTGGGGGGTGGGATCATTTTTGGTAGTCTTGGAAATGTTCACAAGCTTACAGTTATTTGCAGGTCTACCAAAACATCGCTCAGGTTCAGCGGTTGGTTATCTATATTCCATTTAGTCATTACCTAAGTGGACTCATGACCCCTGACCTCTAGCTCATTCTCTGTGTCCTCAGCTTCGTGCGGACTGCCATCCCCTTTACCCAGGAGCCTCAGCGAGACAAGCCGGCCAACGTGCAGCCGTACTACCTGTATGGGTCTAAGGTATGTACTGTATGCTATTTGGATACAATTATATAAATGAGAAGATTTTGTACCTATTTTGAGAGCATGTTTCTGATGTAGTTTTCTCTCCCCCCCCAGCCTCTGAACATTGCCTACTCCCACATCTATAGCTCTTACAGGAACTTCGTAGGCCCGCCCCACTTCAAGACCATCTGCCGTCTCCTTGGTTACCAGGGCATCGCCGTGGTGATGGAGGAACTGCTCAAGATAGTCAAGAGCCTGGTATTATGGGCTATTTGTCTCTTTTACTGAATGTACTCATACATAGCAGTCTCTGTTAAAAACAGTATATCTGACTAATCGCCTCTCCTCTCCTCTTTTTACCCTCTCCCTCTCCCTCCCCTCCCCTCCCCTCCCCTCCCCTCCCCCTCTCCTCTCCCTCTCTCTCCCCTATTCCCCCCTCCCCTCTACCTCCCCTCCCCTCTCCCTCTCCCCTCCTCTCCTCTTTTTACCCTCTCCCTCTACCCTCTCCCTCTTCTGTTCCCCCTCTAGTTGCAGGGCACTATCCTGCAGTATGTGAAGACTCTGATTGAGGTAATGCCCAAGATCTGTCGCCTGCCGCGCCACGAGTACGGATCCCCAGGTCGGTTGATGGTAGTGGAGGTAGTTTAGTGAACCTACAGCAAATGTATAGGCTTTAGCTCAGAGAGCTAACACAGCCATGACTCATACAGACAACCCAGGTTCGAAACCCGGTCAGTCCCAGACAGTAACACTTCCTGTTGTTGTCCCATCAGATTATAGTCCTCTGACAGATCAGATGAGATATGATGGATTAGCATTTCTCTCTATGAGCAGGGATAATATGCTATTTAGATTAGTGGTGTTCTGTACCGTAACAGACTACTGGACTTCCTGTATGCCTGATCTCTGTCAGCACTTCCTGATCCTCCTAGAACTATAGCTCCTGTTTCAGCTGCTGCACATTCCAGACAGGCAGGATGGGGGTCATAGAGACCACAGTGATGGTCACCATGACGCAGTTCATAATCCTACCATACCTGGATGTTCAGGGATCCCATCATGATACTGATGTTTGTTTATCAGTGAAGAACAGTCCCTTTCATAGTATTTAACTCCATGTGATCGGATCTGGATCTGTTGTTTTAACATTCAACTATTTAAACTTTGAAGATGTAACTTTTAACTGTGTTCTGGCCTCTTATAATCTCCACCCAGCACAGCCAGAAGAGGACTGGCCACCCCTCAGAGCCTGGTTCCTCTCTAGGTTTCTTCCTATGTTCCTACCTTCTAGGGAGTTTTTCTTAGCCACTGTGCTTCTGCATCTGCATTGCTTGCTCTTTGGGGTATTAGGCTGGGTATCTGTAAAGCACTTTGTTTTCTGTTTTCACTGCTGATGTAAAAAGGGCTTTATAAAATACATTTGATTGATTCTCCTTCCCTGCCAGGTATCCTGGAGTTCTTCCACCACCAGCTGAAGGACATTATAGAGTACGCTGAGCTGAAGACTGATGTCTTCCAGAGTCTCAGGGAGGTGGGGAACGCCATCCTCTTCTGTCTGCTCATCGAACAAGCTCTGGTGAGTCCCTCCTTCTCTTCTCCTCTTTCACTTCTATTCCTTCCTCTCCTCTGTTCTGTCCTTCCCTCCTTTCCCCACCCTCTTCTGCTTCACCTGTATCCCTCCTTTCCTCTCCCCTCTTCCTCCCATTTCTGCTTTCTCTTCTCGTATTCTCTCTCTCTCTCTCTCTCTCTCTCTCTCTCTCTCTCTCTCTCTCTCTCTCAGGGTCACCTTTGCATGCTCAGAAAGAGGGACTGCTACTTGTCAGGCTATTTCTCCACCTTTGGTTTTCTGTCTGGTTGAATATATCTGTTTATCTCCGTCTCAATAAAGTTTCACCCTCCAGAAATGTTGATATTGACTGTATCTGAATTGCAACTCTATTCTTTATTACACGCTGGCAAACTTCCACAGGTGGTAAGAATCTAGGTCTTGTCTTTGGTAACAAACACACACCCTGACTGATCTCCATCTCTCTCTCTCTCTCTCTGTTGGTTTGGGCTGCCACACACCCTGACTGATCTCCATCTCTCTCTCTCTCTCTCTCTCTGTTGGTTTGGGCTGCCACACACTGACTGATCTCCATCTATCTCTCTCTCTCTCTGTTGGTTTGGGCTGCCACACACCCTGACTGATCTCCATCTATATCTCTCTCTCTCTCTGTTGGTTTGGGCTGCCACACACCCTGACTGAACTCCATCTCTCTCTCTCTCTCTCTCTCTCTCTCTCTCTCTCTCTCTCTCTCTCTCTCTCTCTCTCTCTCTCTCTCTCTCTCTCTCTCTCTCTCTCTCTCTCTCTCTCTCTCTCTCTCTCTCTCTCTCTCTCTCTTTCTCTCTCTGTTGGTTTGGGCTGCCACATACCCTGACTGATCTCCATCTCTCTCTCTCTCTCTGTTGGTTTTGGGCTGCCACATTCCCTGACTGATCTCCTCTCTCTCTCTCTCTCTCTCTCTCTCTCTCTCTCTCTCTCTCTCTCTCTCTCTCTCTCTCTCTCTCTCTTTCTCTCTCTCTCTTTTGGCTTGGGCTGCCACACACCCTGACTGATCTCCATCTCTCTCTCTCTCTCTGTTGGTTTGGGCTGCCACACACCCTGACTGATCTCCATCTCTCTCTCTCTCTCTGTTGGTTTGGGCTGCCACACACCCTGACTGATCTCCATCTCTCTCTCTCTCTCTGTTGGTTTGGGCTGCTGTGTTTCTCTGCTTTTGTATTCACCATCTTACTTTGACACACAAAGTTTTACCTCCGGAGGACCATGAAAGCCAAGGATTGAAACTAAAAATAATTTAAAGAAATAAAGAACATCCAAGATTGCAATCATTATTCTATGATTGGAAATAAATGGATAATAAAAAGTGATTATCTTAAAGTATCTCTCCATGTCCTTGGCTCCCATGGTAGAGGTGACCTGTGTGTTTCTGGGTGGCTGTCTGTAAAGTATGTGCTCAACTTCTGCCTCCATACTCTCTGCCAACACTGGGTTCTCTGTCAACGCTGACTGTCCCTCTTTATACCCTCTGGTCTGTCTGTCTGTCTGTCTGTCTGTTTCACCCTCTGACTGCGTCGGTGTGTGTATAGTGTGTGTTTGTACTGGCTGATCATTGCATGCAGATTATTCTGTCTTCCATAGTCTTTTAGGCGAGGTTTCCTGATCTGGATCTCTTGTAGTTTGCAGATTTTCTTTGTTCTGTTTGTTCTAACACCACCAGTTTAACCATGAGTTTAGTTCCATATTCCAGCCATTCCTATTGGTTAGCCAGACCTGAGTGACAGTAGCCTGTAATGTGACCAGAGGTTAGGCCAGACCTATGACACGTCAGACCAGTGTGATGTACTGTACATAGTGCACGAGTCATACACACTGGGTTATCTCATCATAACTGTAGTAGCCTACTACTCACTTATCTTATCTACCTCTGACTCCCCCTCTTACTAATGAGTTTAACACCTCCCTCCCTTCCGTCACCACTAACCACCCCATGTAGTGTAGATGTGTCCAGGAGAGATGTTGGCTGTTGTTCAATATCACCTCTCTCTGCCTCTCTCTCTGCCTCTCTCTGTCTGTGTGTGTTAACCACAGTCCCAGGAGGAGGTGTGTGACCTGCTTCATGCAGCCCCCTTCCAGAACATCCTCCCCAGGGTCTACATCAAAGGTATGTGATCCAGGACCAGGTGTGTGGATCCAGATGTAGATCAAGGTGGATGGGTGGGAAAGGCAGTCAATATTGTAATGCATATCTGACTGATGTGGTTGGTGTAGTAACGTGTGTGTGTGTGTGTGTGTGTGTGTGTGTGTAGAGGGGGAGCGTCTGGAAGTCAGGATGAAGAGGCTGGAGGCTAAATATGCTCCTCTCCACCTGGTGCCCCTCATCGAGAGGCTGGGGACCCCTCAGGTCAGCTCTACCTTCTTGCCATTGCCATCCATACCTTATCACCTGGCTCTCTGTCCTGACCCACAGCCAGTAGACAGTTTCAGCAATCTTGGTTTGAAATGTAGAATTTGAAAGGGCAGCCATATTGGCACCAAAGTTCCAAGACAAGTACATTTTCCCTATTTTATCTTCTCCTCCTTACTTCATGTTCTCCTTCCTTACTTCCTTCCTTCCTTCCTCTTCTATTTCCATCTCCTAATGTGTCCTTTCCTCCTCTTTTTCAGCAAATAGCCATAGCCCGTGAGGGGGATCTGTTGACCAAGGAGCGTCTTTGCTGTGGCTTGTCCATGTTCGAGGTGATCCTTACAAGGATCCGTAGTTTCCTGCAGGACGCTGTGTGGCGAGGCCCGCCCCCCACCAACGGCGTGATGCACGTTGACGAGTGTATGGAGTTCCACCGCCTCTGGAGCGCCATGCAGTTTGTTTACTGCATCCCCGTCGGCACTCACGAGTTCACCGCAGAGTGAGTTACTGTAGGGGGCATGGCAACGTACACACACAGTAAGGAGTGAGTTACTGTAGGGGGCATGGCAACGTACACTCACAGTAAGGAGTGAGTTACTGTAGGGGGCATGGCAACGTACACACACAGTAAGGAGTGAGTTACTGTAGGGGGCATGGCAACGTACACACACAGTAAGGAGTGAGTTACTGTAGGGGGCATGGCAACGTACACACACAGTAAGGAGTGAGTTACTGTAGCGGGCATGGCAACGTACACACACAGTAAGGAGTGAGTTTACTGTAGGGGGCATGGCAACGTACACACACAGTAAGGAGTGAGTTACTGTAGGGGGCATGGCAACGTACACACACAGTAAGGAGTGAGTTACTGTAGGGGGCATGGCAACGTACACACACAGTAAGGAGTGAGTTACTGTAGGGGGCATGGCAACGTACACACACAGTAAGGAGTGAGTTACTGTAGGGGGCATGGCAGCGTACTCACACAGTAAGGAGTGAGTTACTGTAGGGGGCATGGCAACGTACACACACAGTAAGGAGTGAGTTACTGTAGGGGGCATGGCAACGTACACACACAGTAAGGAGTGAGTTACTGTAGGGGGGCATGGCAACGTACACACACAGTAAGGAGTGAGTTACTGTTACTGTAGGGGCATGGCAACGTACACACACAGTAAGGAGTGAGTTACTGTAGGGGGCATGGCAACGTACACACACAGTAAGGAGTGAGTTACTGTAGGGGGCATGGCAACGTACACACACAGTAAGGAGTGAGTTACTGTAGGGGGCATGGCAACGTACACACACAGTAAGGAGTGAGTTACTGTAGGGGGCATGGCAACGTACACACACAGTAAGGAGTGAGTTACTGTAGGGGGCATGGCAACGTACACACACAGTAAGGAGTGAGTTACTGTAGGGGGCATGGCAACGTACACACACAGTAAGGAGTGAGTTACTGTAGGGGGCATGGCAACGTACACACACAGTAAGGAGTGAGTTACTGTAGGGGGCATGGCAACGTACACACACAGTAAGGAGTGAGTTACTGTAGGGGGCATGGCAACGTACACACACAGTAAGGAGTGAGTTACTGTAGGGGGCATGGCAACGTACACTCACTCACACACACAGTAAGGAGTGAGTTACTGTAGGGGGCATGGCAACGTACACTCACTCACACACACAGTAAGGAGTGAGTTACTGTAGGGGGCATGGCAACGTACACTCACTCACACACACAGTAAGGAGTGAGTTACTGTAGCCCTCTCAGGGCACCAAAGAGTTTACTGCAGATATACAGTAGTAGATAAACCAATCAATATTCAATCAATCAATCAAGCTTGATTTGTAAAGCGTTTTCTACAAATACAAAGTACTGACTAAGTTAGTAACCGTAACCCGTCCCTGTGTGTGTCCTCTGCAGGCAGTGTTTTGGTGACGGGCTGAACTGGGCAGGCTGCTCCATCATCGTGCTGTTGGGTCAGCAGCGCCGCTTCGACCTGTTTGACTTCTGCTACCACCTGCTCAAGGTGCAGAGGCAGGACGGCAAGGACGAGATCATCAAGAACGTGGTGGGTACACACCATCGCTACGCTCAGATCTACACCGTTTTAACCAGCATGCTAACACAGAAATAAGATGCCAGAATGGATTTAGGGCACAGGAGGTATTAGCACCTTAATTGGGGAGGACGGGCTCGTGGTAATGACTGGAGCGGAATAAGTGGAATGGTATCAAATACATCAAACACATGGTTTCCATGTGTTTGATGCCATTCCATTGGCGCCGTTCCAGCCATTATTATGAGCTGTCCTCCCCTCAGCAGACTCCACTGATTTAGGGATATGTCAACTGCTGGATTGATATGAGGAGAGGAAGCTCACTATCTTTATTGTGCCAAGTCCTTGGTTACTACAATCCTGGTCAGTGGTTTTAATTATATCATGCAATTCAAACCCTCACCCTCTCTCGCTCTCTCTCTCTCTCTCTCTCTCTCTCTCTCTGTCTCACTGTCTCTCTCTCTCTCACACTCTCTCTCTCTCACACTCTCTCTGTCTCACTGTCTCTCTCTCTCTCACACTCTCTCTCTCTCTCACACTCTCTCTCTCTCTCACACTCTCTCTCTCTGTCTCTCTCTCTCTCTCTCTCTCTCTCTCTCTCGCTCTCCCTCCCTCCACAGCCGCTGAAGAAGATGGCTGATCGGATCAGGAAGTACCAGATCCTGAACAACGAGATCTTTGCCATCCTCAACAAGTACATGAAAGCTGTGGAGAGCGATAGTTCCACCGTGGAGCATGTCCGCTGCTTCCAGCCACCTATACACCAGTCCCTGGCCACAACATGCTGAGAAGAACACACACGCTACACACACACATACGCTACACACACACTCACACACACACACACAAGCCATACATGTCCCACCCACGCACACACACACAAACCCAAATCATCACCACACACTCTGCCTTTCTTTGGCCTTGTACTCAGACTCTCAGAGCCTTAGGATTCCAGAGTTCTATCTGACTGTACAGCATTTTGGCACCAAATATTCCATATCAATGACATTCCAATTTGCATTCTAGAATGCAACTGTATTGGAACTTTTGGTGACAACATGGCACCCATTAAAAAGTTTTCTGAACTCTGAATATCTTAGGCCCATAACCACAGGCTAGTTTTAGAGGTGTGGGTGTTTCAGACGTTTGTTTTCTGTTCTCAACCCATGTGACTCTAACACCCAGACTCTGCATGCCTTCTCCTGTCCCTAGGGCTATATGTCAAATGGAGGGATTCAGTAATACACAACTACCAATCCTGAGGGGTTGCGATCTGCAGTAATACTCTGCATCCCCTCTAGTCACATTCAACAGTCTATCAGATATCTCTGAGAAACCATTTAGCGAGCAACAACAATTAACCCATATAAAAGATGATAGATATGCTGGAATAATCTCCAAAACCTCAATGCATACAAATAATCTGATTCTGAAATGACCTTTGACCTGAGATTATTATTTTGTAGATTACATACGAAAGCAAACCTAACGGACATTTATTGAATTGCTTATTGAAGTCCACATGGTTGCTAATATTACGATGATACTTAATAACACCAATGTCATCAGTGTCTTTTCCCCCATAACATCCATGATATGATCATCACACAAGTCAATTAATTCATTAATGAATCCCAGAAGCTAACACAGGTGTTTCCCAAATGGCACCCTATTCCCTATATAGTGCACTACAGCGCCTACAGGGCTCTGGTCAAAGGTAATGCACTATATAGGGAATAGGGTGCCATTTGGATGCAGGCCACATCTCCCTGGACATACCCATGCTTAGTAAACCAGCATCATAGGAGTACATAGCCACACCTCATCTCTTCTGCCCTCACACAACCCTACTGTTTCACATAGCATAACAAGGACACTTGACTGCTTTTCTTAGTTGCTTTTATTTATTTTTACCCTTATTTTGGGGGGGTTTAGCCTCTGAGTATATTTTTATTCAGTTCCATTCTCCATTGTAAATGTCACTGTTGAGCTAAAAAGAGAAGTGTAGAGTGTTGTAATTATTGTTTTTAATTAATTATTAATAATTCAATTTTTCATCCTTGGTATAACTTGCCTCTACTAATGAGAAACCGCACCTACTTTTTGATTTTTCTCTGTCTTGTCAGTTTATTGAAATGTTTTTATATTCTGTATGTGCGCTTAATACAGTGATATTGTTTATCATTTTTGAAATTATTGACATCTTTGTCTGCGCTAGTGTTTCTTTTTGTGTTTTGTAAAAAAAAATTTGAAATACTTATTGGTTGTAAAATAAAAAAAGATGCCAGGATGACATTACTGTATTAGATTTGTTCAGAGAGTGAATGGAAGATGTGAGTAGGATCACAAGACCAAGCTAACTCCTGTAGAGCTCATTCCCTCTATAGAAGAATAATTAAAAGAATCAAGAAGTTGCATTTTCCCTGTTTTGGTACGAATTACACACCAGAGATGGAGAGAGGGAAATGTCCTAAATATATTCAGTATTCACTATTGTTGGACTTTCCCCCCTTTAGATTAAGCAGTGTTATCAAAATATTTTGTCCCAGTTTTTTATTCTTATGAAGGAAAATGATCGTTACCCCAATGAAGGAGCAAACACATTTTCTGTTGACTATTTTTGTTTAGTTTTTTTGTTATTGTTCCAATGGTCCTTTTATTTTATTTATTCACACAACTACACCGTATTGTTCATTGAATGGGTGAATGTGTTGATAAGTAAAAGTTATAAATGCATCATTTTCGAACCTTTTAGCATGACAAGAAAAGCGATATATTGTCATTAAGGATACATTTGTGACATGAGGTTTTTGTTCATGATATTGTTGTACATGTGATCATGTTTTGAAATACAAAAAATGAGAAAATAAGAATATAAAGATGTACAACGAATGGTCATGCAAAAGGAAATTAAATTGTTGTATTTCCACGAAATAAAAAATGTCTAACTGAAAATGTATTAAGAATCCTGTATGACCGTGTACATGGTAATTTAGAAATACTGTAAATGTATTTGAATATAGCGACAGTGATCATGAGGAGAAGGAGGGGCCAGTGGGCGCTGGCGGAAGTCTCGTTTCCTCTGCCCTGATTGGTTAAATTTGTGCTGTCTCTTTTCCGATTGGTTATGACGTAACTAGTTTTGACATTTCAGCGGGGGCACGGTTTGTGTTGTTGCTGGTGTTTTGAATTTGAAGCAGTTCTTTGGCACTCATCGTGGCTAGCTATAACGTTTAAACTGTAGCTGCTGATTTTCTATTGAACTATTTCGTTCAAACGTATGCTATGTCTTTTTCAAGAGCTCCAGTGAAACGATTTAATGAAAATATCGGTACATGAAAGCATTGATAATGATTTAACTGAGCGAACTAACGAGTTGCTTTGGCCTAGCTAGCCAGCTAATATAACGTTGTAGCTAGCTAACGTAGCTATCCAAAGTATTTTCTACAACATTGTTTACTAGCTAGCTAACGTTAACTTAGTGTTGGTTTGGTAACTAGCTAGTGCAGGACTGTCTATGAATGCCTAACGTTACTCAGATCCAAGCAAAGGGCAAAACAAGTTCACGTATTTTACGGTAGCTACATGCCATGACATGTTAGCTAGCTAATTAGATACTTATTTTGATAGCCAGCCCAATTCTAATATTTTTTTCTCACTAATTTATCTTTTGACCAATCAGTTATTTTGACAATAATTGAGCTAAATATGAGAATTGGGCTACGCGTGTAAACGCAGGCTAAGTCTTGATTTTCAACTCAATGGGCCGCTTTTCCTGACACCAATTTGGCCTAGTCCTGGAATAAAAAGCTATTTCAACAGAGAATCTCCATTAAGAATGCTTTTTAGTCTTGGACTAGGCTTAATCTGTGTTTGGGAAACCGGCCCAATAGTCTTAAAGCAAAAGTCTTTAGCTGCACGGTTAAAAAGGTATAAACTGGTTGTTATGGGTTATCTGGATCTAGTTGACAAAACAATACTGCTATCGGGTACTACCCTAACTTATCCAATAACAAATAATCACATTTTTTGTTTGTACCTTGTTTTGTAAATGTCTGACTGTGTTGTCATCCTGTCTCAAATACAACACTGCCCCTTTATGGCTCTCCTGGAGGATGGTTGGCCACCCTTCATAGCCTATAAAATATCGCAACATTTAAAATTACAACCAAATACTTTTTGTGTCTTTATAAAATAATTGCCTCATTCAATTAATCAGGGATCAAATTGCTAAGGTAGGCTACTTCTAAGCAAGGTAACTAATGAAGACATGCTTATCTATAACCTTATATATAACTGTTCATAAATTAAAGCAATAGCCGCGTGTGGAATAGATGATAATTTCAGCACTGTATTGATTGGGACAGATTTAGGTTTTCATTGAATCTCCGTTTGGATATTTGGTTACAATTAGGTTGGGAAAATGTTAGCTGAGGTGAGTGCTCATGATCATCTTTAGTCTAGTTTGCTCATCTCAAGTGGATTATTTTTCTCTTCACTCACATAGTAGCCTACTCTCAACCAAACACCCATGACTTGTGTGATAGATTTATCAATCCATGTGATTTTGTTTCACTGAATCGCTGTCTGTATATTTGGTTAATTCTCTGGCTGGGCTAATAAGTGGAGGTGGTATAGCCCATCTATTCATTGGCTTATCTATCACTGAACAGAAACATTTAGCTTGCTAATGTAGTCTAAATCAAGTGGAGGCTATTTGTTATTCACTCGCTCATATGCAACTCCAAAAGCCCACAGAGGTTGTGAAATATGAACCCAAGACTCGCATGTTTTTGAAAATATAGATTGCTATTCTTTTCTATGCATATTTTTTATTTATTTTATTTTTTAATCTTTATTTTAACAGGGAAAAACAGACTGAGACCTGGATCTCTTTTACGGCTGTGCCCTGTGTAAACATGTTGACATGTACAGTTTTAGACATACAGACAAGAACATTTCAAACATACAAAACAAAAACACATGATGATGGTCCCAATGTAACACCCTACGCCTGGCCCGTACTAGGCATATAATTTACACCTATAGGCGTAGCTCATAGAAGGGCTTATGCCCAGCTGGTGCAACCGGCCCCTGGTGATTTGAAAAATATACATTACAATTCTACTCTGATGCGGTCTACAGAAATTGGGAGAACAGTGCTTAAAACATTGCATCCAGAGGACAATCTGATCCTATTTCTGATCGGAGTAAAAGTTTGATATTGTGTATTTTTTTCTTTTTCTTGTCCATTCGGACAACTTAAATCTATATTCTGCTTGCCCAACAATTTTTATTTACAATGGTTAATGTCGAGCCCTGTTATGTGATCAAGATTAGGGATTCTGCACCTCACCTTTGCTCAAACTGTTCCTTTCAACGACATTCCAGGAGGAGCAGTGACGTGGAGGTGTTGGAGGAGGTGCACTGTGCTGCAATGAGGATGCTGCAGGAGGAACACACCACCTCCCTCAGCAAGATAGGAGACATGGCCACTGAACTGGAGAGGTAAGGAGTTGACCCTGCCCTGTTGTCCAATACGAATGTGCTTAAAGGGACAGTTTCACACTCTCACTCTCCTTTCACAAGGAAAAAACTAGTTTCACTCTTGTTTCACTAAAGTTAACTTTTGACAGATGAAAACATCTCAAACTGCATTTTAAGTGAACTGCCCCTTTAACTTTGGGGTAAAGTATTAGCAGTCATGGCTCTGTAAAAGCCAATTTTATGGTCAGTACTGAATCTGCAGTGTCAGTACAGCATTTACGGACCGTTCAGGACATTCATACTTCATTCAGACTCTTCGTGGAGCAGAGCTGTTGTGAACGAAGTTGTCAAGGAAGTGCGTTTGTGTTTATACAGGACGTACCGTCCCCACCTACCGTCAACCAATCATGCGGCGCTATACAGAGCCCTCCGCATTGTTACAACATTTGGGAGGTGCACGGCATCGCCGTACAGAGCTTG